TCTTGTATCGAAATGTCAAGAATGGACGACGCATTCGTGAATCCATCATCAAAGGAACTATGCCTTTATCATGCATAATCGATGCTCGTATGGTAATGAAACTCATTTGTTTATTATGTATTCGTCTTGTTATTAGAATGGAAACTAACGGTTCAACATTTGGTACTAGGTTCTCGACATTTTTGAGCTTCAGCTAGCTTGCATACGTGCTTTGCTAGCTCAGAGGCAGGAAACCATGAAGACACGTTCGTTATACTCGGAAATACTGTTTAATATGTCTCCGATCTCAAATGTACGTGTGAAGTCGCATATTCGGATATAGTCAATCACTCTTTTGCTCAAAGGATTAATGACTATCGTCTTTAGATAACAGAGTCTCTGAAGCAATTTGGAGTATCAGATTCAACATCTTCACTGATTCACTTGTTTATTGGTGATGAGGCACCAAGTGATGAGGTGATTTACAGCACTACTTGGGGGTTGTTTTTGCGTATGGTTTAGTAACGACCTTTCTCTATTATAGGATGTAGACGTAGCTGATTCTCTAATACAAGGAAATCAAGCTCCTGTAACAGAATTGTCGGAATGCTGTGATATGAACCTCATAAGAAAGGTGCCCGGTCATTGATTCCATCGCCATGTTTGGGTTTGTATTCATCTTCCTTTTTGCTTTGAATAGCTATACAAGTTGTCAGACATACAACAAGGTCGAGATGTCGCATTCAAGAATGTCGTGAATGCTATGGCCTTGAAAGGATTTTCTCAAATCTTGTGAACCTATCTGCATCGACATTTTTCTACATCACATTACAATCGTCGACAAAGATGTACAGCAACTGGACATAGATAACCTGTTTGATATGGACTTACATACTATGGACTGTCTACACCGAAATCTTTCTGCTGGATGAGGAGGTTTTGATAAAGAGTTTGGAGATTTTTTCAAACATGCTGGTGGAGTACTATTCCGACACTCGAGTGCAAGTGGTTGCTTGAAAGGGTGTTCTGTTGCCAAAATAGTCATGAAGGAAACGATAATGCCTTGTACACGAGTCTGACCTGTCGAAAGCCGGAGAGCAATGGAAAAAAACTCTTATATGTTTTTTTTTGGGGGAGGTTGATGCTATTATCTTGGTTGTGAGATGCAGGCTTTGGCTTCGAAAGGAGAATCATTTCATCAAGGCTGCTTAAATCGTTCTCAAGTCACTGTTACTAGATGTTGGTTCAGCTCTCGCGACCATCTACATCTCCGATTGTGGTCTATTGCTGCTACTGAGATCTGTCGGTCGTGAAATGGACAGTTTCCTTGTTGGTGTGAGAATGCGAATGATATCAACACGGCACAGAAAGGCTTAAAGGGATACGTCGACTACTCTGACTGTGGGTGCAGCGTTGCAAGCAGGACCTTTTCATGGTATTTTGTTGCACCCAAGTGGCTCTGAGTTTTTTCCTACCAGTTTATTGGCAGTAAGGGTGAATACACTACTGCATAACCACACTGAATATTGGAAAGCTTTACCTTTTCTCACTACGTTTGGAGGCTTCTACAATTGATGGCACCACAGCTACGTTTGAGTCAGATCCACTTGAACCTGCATTGGGAGGTGCGTTTTTTTTTCTTTGAAAGGGATGGATTGCCAAACAGTCTCCACAGAAAGCTTTGTGTGCAACATCGGCCTTTCTTAGCGCATGGCATGAGGTTTCACCGTTGGATCTGACTACTCCAGTGTGTTTGATTTAACCTCCTAGGCTCAGTATTATGGATATATGAATGCAGGACGAAGTAATGGGATGTCTTGAACCGTATACATTTGAGGTGTCAAGCAAGTAATATGTTATTGATTGTGAGAAAAAATAAAAAGTTGAGGTTTTGTACAAAACACGGCTTTGTCTTTCTGGCGTGAATAAGTATGTTGTGCTGTGGATGATGCGAATAGTGGTGCAAAAACAAACAACAAAATTAAAGATATCCCTTCCAAATAAAAATAAACAACACTCAAACCAACCCTCAAATCTCTCACTCTTCAACAGGCACCTTCTCCCCTGGCGTAACAAACGATATCGGCACCCACCCCTTGATGTTAACCTCTGTAACTCTCTGTCCCCTCTCAACCAATTTCTGTCCATACAGCCAAGTCCCACCTTTCTTCTTGACCATAACCACATCCCCCTTGTACAAATCCATCTCTTTCGCCTGCCGAGCGACGTAATCGTGTTGGGCATGCACGAGTTGGAATTCATCGAATTGGTGGATTAGTGCGTCGTGTGTCTATCCAAAAAAACAAACAGTCAGCAAACAAAAAACGCACGATATAGAATATAGACCCCACTTACGATAACAGGCGTAACAGGATACTCTCTCCCAACAGACGCTCGCCTCACCAGCGTCCCGTTATTACGTGCTGGACTGACGGGCTGTGATGGCACAGGATACTCTCTCCCTATCGACGCCCTCCTCACCAACCCACTATTAAGAGCTGGACTAACGGGCTGTGATGGCGGTACCAGTGCATCCTGCTGTACCATTTGCTGCTGCTGCTGTATAGTCGAATCAGATCCTCGTGTAGTATTAGAAGGTGATCTCTTCAGCAACGAGTTCCGGAATCGTACTGTGCGAGGTGGTGGATCAGGTGCTGTTCCATCCGTATTATTGTTACTGTTGTTGCCCCACATTTTCATAAATGATCCATTCCTCTTTACTTTTGGGGCTTGCTGTTCCGGTGGTGGCGGTGGTGGTGGTTGTATAACAGAGTTACTGAACTCAGGAGATGCCCGTGTTATCACCGCATACCCGCTCGTGCTATTTACCGGTTGCTCACTACTTGTAGCTGGATCAGGACGACTAGATACCCGTGGCAACGTCCCGCTATTCCTTTTATTGCTATTATCAGCATCAACGGCGCCAGCACCATCTCCACGACTCACAATCCCATCCGATACTACAGCAGCACCAGCAGCATTATCACCTCTAACTCCAACACCACTCGCAGTACTACTCAGCCCATTCGGTTTCGGAGTCCTTCGTAAGCTAACACTTCGATAAGCGTTATCGTTCGGCAGGTATAGTTCGCCCGTTGAGGAGTCTAGGTTTCGTTTATCACGGTTGTTTCTTGAGAGGGATGAGCCTGAGAGGAGGGTTGTGCCGCCTAGGACAGCAGCGGCGGTTGTGGAGCCTGTTGTTGTTGTGTTTTCGGAGGTTGGGTGCATTGTGCGGAGGTCTATTGTTGGGATTTGTTGTTGTGTTGGGGGTGGGTGGGAGTCGAATGTTGTGCTGTTTGCACTAAAAAAGGAAGAAAAAAACCATGAGATCTATCTGAAAGACATTCAACGCGAACATTTTGGCTGCATACACTACACGAACACCAGGCACAGCATGTCCCATCTCACTCTCCAGCCCTCGTGCAAACTCTGTGACTCTACTAAACTGCTCGGCTTCATGCCGTGCCAGCCCTCTAAACCGATCATGTATCGTATTATCTACACGAGGAACGAAAGAGCTTTAGCTCCAGCATCAGATGAACTCCAAATATCACTCCCAAACATTATATACTCACACAACCGAACCTGCTCCTGCAATATATTCCCATGATTAACACTCTTCAACGCCTTCAACTCTGCCGTCAGCGCAGCAAAACTGCGTCTCGACGCATCTTCCTCATCCGTATTCGTCCTCCTTCGTGATTTGCGATTAGATGTCTCGGCCTTCTTGATATTGTCTTCGATTTCACGGGTTGTTTTCGCGAGTTGCTTTTCATTGACGAGCGAGTTGTGTGCGCTGTCTTCGAGACCTCGTTGTATTGGCTCTTCGAATTCTCGTTTTAGGATGTCACACTATGGTACCAAGGAGTGGTTAGTGACGCTTTAATGACAACAGTTCGAGTAATACCATTTCAGTGAATGTAGTGTGTAGTATCAAATGCAACTCTCCGCATCTCTTGAACCCTATTCACATCCACAAAGTCAGCAAAATGTACCAAACCCCCACGACTTGATCCAACAACACAAACCTTCTTTCCCGGCCGCTCTAGCCCCGACATCAAACGCCTTTGTCTTTGCAAGGTCGTTTGTAGCATCAGCAAAATCCTGCAATGCGCCGGCCGCCATTTGGAGTGCCATGCGAACCTTCTTTGTCGTTATTAGGGTTTGTGTAATCTTTTGGTAGCCTAGTTCGACCTCCTTTTTAGTGACGAAATCTGTGTTTTGATCGTAGAGAGACTGCATGCCGTCAGGTATCGAGTGGGGTTGTTGGGGTGGTGCTTGCATCTTTGGCAGACCCGAAAAAAAGTTGGTTGTGAGTTTCGGAGCACGGCGTATCAAGATGTTCGGTATACCTTGAGCCACCTTGTGTATGGGGCCTGCTGTAACAGATCCCCCTTTGCAAGCTGTGCAGTTCGCACCCTTTAAGTTTAAGGAGGTTTCTTGTGTTTTTTTTAAAACCACCAAACTTTTGCCTTCAACCTGGTGAAATGTAACTAGGCGGTCGCTGCCACACGGTAGGGTAACTAGGGAGTTCGTACACGCATCCCTTACTCGGCCGTGTCCGTTTACGCGATCACTTATTGCCCAAACTGATGAAATCACGTTTCCGTCATACAACGTAAACGTCTCTATGTATATGATCTATTTTAATAAACACTAGCGTAAAGCCATGTATCCCAGACAATTATTGAGCTTATGCAAGTCTATACATCTATTTATACAATTCTACATGGTCCACCCGTATTAACATCACCCCTCACACTTTACTTGGCACTCTCATTAGCCCTCAGATGCATAATAATAGCCGTACAATCATCATATCTCACCATCTTCTGATGATACAATGCGTCTCCACCCTTTCTCTCTCGTGTTGCGAGTCCAGCAGCAGCAGTATCGATTCTAGACTGCAGTGTTGTAGTCCCATTACTACGACGATCTGGGCGTCCACTACCACTAGCAGCCAGCTCTTCATCATCAGTCGTATATCCAGAATCAGAGCGATCATCGACATAAGGTTGCTTGCCGTTAGACCCATCGAGCTGGTATCCAATCCACTCCATCACGGTATCGTTTTGATGGGCGCCTTGTACGCGGAGATGGTCCCATAACCCATCGGTAGCTGATACGATTATATAGTCATTACGTGGTTCGAGGAGAACGAAGGAGACATCGGGTGCGGATGATAATACAGGTGGTTCGAGTTTGAAGACGAGGTCACCAAGTGATGCGGTTAGATTTAATGTTCGGCGGTAGCTGATTCCTAGTTTACGGACTGCGTCACCGACACTAACGGGTGGTCGATATATACGTCCACCAGTCAATTCCGTGTATGGACGTCGTCCACGTACAGATGGTGCTTGTACCGATATAGGCAAGATCTGTCCTAGATGGTTTACAAACTGTCCGCCAGCAGAGCTTATAAAAAACACACGTTCTGGGTGGGTCATGTCGTGGTCTTCGGTACCGAATACTAGTTGCCAGTTGCCGTTACGTTGTGGTTGTGGTGGTCGAAGGGATGCTGGACGGGCAGCAATGACGGTTCTTGTGTCGCCAACATTGGCGACTGCGAAATAGTTGCGGTGTAGTAATATAAGTTGGAGGGTGCATCCATCGTCGATTGGTCGTAGAGACGGTTCCGAGCCAGCTCGAACCCATTCCCTGTATTGAGCAGTCTTTGCGTTACAGAATTCTTGATCCATGGACTAAGGGGGTTAGACAAATGGCATATGAGTTTGGGTTTCTATGTACCAGCTGGCGTACAATAGAACAAAAGCGAGGAACGGATTTAGTTTAACATCTCATTCAGCATACCTGGAAGAGCCTCTGTATCTTCTGCTGGAATCGTTCCCGATTAGCAATTTCATCAAAGTCCCAATCTTCTTCCTTCATGAGTGCCTTTACATGTTCAACACACCGAGCAACAAAGAATTGTGCAGCTGATTCACCACCATGGCCATCCGCCAAGACCCAAAAGCGTGTCGGGCCCTCAAAACCTTCCACACGTTGCTGTGTAGGCCAATAACAATCTTCGAGAGCGTGATGTATAGGTTCCTTTGTGACGCTCAAGCCTAGAGTTCCAGGAGTCACGGTATTTCTGTAGCCCTACAATGTGTGTGGTTGGTATTCTTGTTATGACACAATCAATGGTAAAGACAAACAACATACTCGATCAGTGCTTGCACCCCACGTGAGATTGTGATCACCCAAGCTCGAATTAGACTTGTTACCCCAGAATGACATCCTGTTTGCGAGAACGGATTGTCTCTTTGGGCTTTTGACCTCTGGTACAGCAGCTGCTAGTGCATTGGTGCTAGACACAGGAGTCTCTGTTCCAGGGGTGGTAGTAACAGGCGAAGATGACGCCGACCTGGATAGGTTTCTGGGCCATTGCAAGCGGGGAGCACTCTTCACTCTTCTTGCAGCCGGTAAGGTGGCTACTAGATCAGTCTCCATTTGTTGTATAGTATCTAGGAGATCTTTGGGAGTAAGAGAGCTAGAGTGACCAGGGGCGACTTGTATGAAGGGGATTTATTTGTGGAGTCAGTTGGTGGTAGTTGGTTTCAGCAATTAGTTCGAGCAATTTGGAAATTGGGAAGAAAATGTGAATTCGACCAATCAGGATGGACTCTTTCGTTCTTTTCGTTGAAATTGCTTGATGCATTCAAAGCAATGGGCCTGACCATGAATGAAGCACTTGAGATCAATGTTGGCTACAAACCGGGGAAGTATGTAGCTTTGCAGGTTCGATTGTTTTGGAGAGAAAAAGCGAGTGGTCATTTCGCGTCCAGATGCCAACCGTATTGATCTATATGCGCGTCTACTCATAATAAATATATATCCGCCTGGTTACTTTATCCGTTTCAGGCCTATTCTGCAGCTGTACGCTCATGTGTTCTTCAGAGCGAAAAGTGTTCTAAAATTTGTTGCAAAAAGCTAATTGCCTGATGACAGGCTAGAAACCAAGCTGGCATCTTTTGCATCTCATCATATCGCGACTATAAATCATGAAGGTGCCATATACTTGGATACAGCTACACTCTCTTGATTCTCATTGAGAAACAGCTTTTTCAATTACCAGAAAACTAACATCAAACAATCACATCCTTTTCTAGTTTGGCAAGCACATTGTAGCCCAACAGAACGATTATGGAGGCGTCCATTATCTCAACTACAAGGCCCTCAAGAAAATTATCAACTCGGTCGAGCAAATCGTCGCTTCGGAATATGTCTCATTCACAACGCTCGCTGCCCAAAATCCACCGGGCATGTCAAACATATCCTCAAAGGAATCTACGGAATTCACGGCTCAAAAGACCGCATTCTTCTTTAAACTCGAACGAGAGCTGGAAAAGGTAGTTGTTTGTTGACCTTGTATATTGTGTGGGGGTTAAACGAGTCTAAGGCTTATATACTCTATAGGTGAATTCATTCTACTTGCAAAAGGAAGCCGAATTCAAAGTCAGAGCTCGCTCGCTGGTCGACAAGAAGCGTATTTTGATGGCCAGACAAGGTCCGCAAGCCAACGCTTCCTTGATGAGTCTGAAAGATGCCTTCTTTCAGTTTCAACAGGATTTGACAAAGCTTGGTGTATGTATTGTTGTAGTCACTGTTATGTGCACGCGCACCGTCACGTTGATCCGTCTAGCTCGACTCTAACTGTTCTTTTTTCGCCAGAAATATGTTGAAACAAATGCAACCGGTTTCCGGAAAATCCTAAAGAAATGGGACAAACGATCCAAATCAACCACCCAGGAATTATATCTATCGAGACAAATTGAAATCCAACCTTGCTTCAACAATGAAGTATTGGCCGACTTGACAGATATAGCTGCCACCAACATTGCCGAATTGGAAGCTATCGTACCTGGTACAGGTGTAGCTGACTCAACCATGCATATGGATATATCATCATCGAGCACAGAACAGCCGATAACAGATGATGCCGAAACCGAATTGACACGAGCTCTAAGTGTCTCAGATCCAATCCGTGTCCAACAGCATCTAGAACGACGTAAAATACCAGGCCATGTAGAAGACAAGGATTATCTGTCACGGATCTTTCTAAGAGCTTGCTCAGAATCGTCTATTGAATGTCTCAACATGTTGCTGGCTACTGCTGAAGTGAATTGTAACTATATGGATGACATTTCCGATCGAACGTGTCTGCACGAGACTGCTATTACAGGTCGATTAGATGTTATGAAAGCCTGTTTTACTCAGGGTGCGTCTATAGAAGCTCTAGATGTATATGGACGTAAACCTATACATTATGCTGCCATGTATGGACGATACGATGCCACCACGTTCCTCATGTCTGTAGGAGCCTCTGTAGACCCACACGATCATGATGGATGCTCACCACTTGTATACTCCATAATGGGAGGACACACGAAATGTGCTGAATCCCTCATCGAAAAAGCTGCCAATGTTGAACCAGCTTCTCCGACTTCACCAATCCCATTATCTCTCGCATGTCAATACGGCCATTTAGAAATAGCTACATTATTATTATACCGTGGTGCGCATATGATACCTGATGCAGATGGCTTACTTCCTCTGCACCTAACTGCCAGACAAGGCCACGACACCGTCACCAAACTCCTCATCGAACACGGAGCAGATGTAGATGGCCCCGACGGTCTCAACGGATGGACGTCGATATTCTATGCCGCTTCAGAGGGTAATCTGAAGTGTGTCCAGGTCCTTATAGCTGCTGGATGTCGAGTTGATATGAAGGATGAGCATTCATGGTACCCCTGGACGTATGCATTGTGGAGGGGCCATGTGCAGATTGCGAGATTGATTGCTGTTGCTGGAGGTGCTGTTGCTGATAATGTGGCTCAGCAGCAGGCTGCTGATCAGGGGTTGAAACCTATGGCTCCTAGTGGACTGTTTATGGAGGATACGGAAATGACTAGTGCTGATATGGATGCTGTGCCTCCGTTGAATTTGCCACCGCCTATGATTCCGTTTAGGATATAGTAAGTTCATTTGTAGTTGTTTGGGCTGTGGTTTGTTCATGGAGCATACGGCACTATACTAGATGGATTTTCTTTCCCTTTGAAAGCAAAGAATTTTCACTCAAAACTCATATGATTAATTCGAAAATAGTGGTCACAACTACTTGGATAAAAACGTATATCTCCAAATCCAGTTTGGTGCTCAACAGAATGGTAGTGGATCACCTATAAAGCTATTCGGATCACGACAATTATCGTCTCTAAAACTCGTCATATCTACTCGTCCCGAAGCTGGTGTACCATACTCGGTCATCTTACCACTCAAAGATGAATCAGAAGTATATACATTCCTAGTAGATGAGCTCTCATCAAGTGCGATCGAATTTGACATTTATCCCACATTTGGTACTCGAGCTATTGGACAAGGTGTAGTTCTGCCTTCTCAGATACAACTGTTGGTCGAAAAGAGCTGGTCGGGCGCCGGAGAAGGTGAACGTATAATATGTCCGTTATATGATACCCATCTCAAGACAGTCGGTGAATTATCATTCGACCTGTCTGTCGTCAAACCCTTCCATCATCCATCGTTATCTATTGGTGGTAAAGTAGAAACGTATTGGAAGTCAACTCGAGTCATTAATAACACCGACAAGACGAACAAGATGGGTAATGCAGCTGGAACTAGCAGTAGTCTTGGAGTAGGAGGAGGATTCTCACAATTCGAATCAGCACATCATATACAATCATTTATAACAGCATCATCACTAGCTGAAGAATACATTCACGCCGTGATTCAAATCACTCGTGATGGTATACCCGTCGTGTATCCTGAATGGCATCTACCTATAGAAGGATTCTCGATTGGAGTGTCAAGTGTGACATTCCAGCAGGCTAAAACACTACTGACTCGTGCTCGTCTTAACGATGGACGGGTATCATCTCCATCATCACCTATACATAAAAATATTAACAATCATCATAGTACATCATCAAACAACCACAAACCTATAATATCTATATCGCCAGAGTCTGTTATGGCTGGAGTCGTTAGTGCTGATTCAGAGTCTATGAGGAATAGTGCTAGTGCAAGACTGAGTACTGCTTTTGTATTGAGCAAGTCGAGTCGTGTGTCTAGTGCCGAGCTGAGTAAATTGGTGTATGATTCCTTCTTGTCTTTGGAGGAGATTTTGACGGTGTGTGTTTTATCGTTTGGGTGTTTGTCTATAATGAGGCGCTTTGACCTTTTCGCCCATTCTTGTGTTTTTGGGCTGCTACAACATCTCACCCACGTTTTTATCACCCCATACTTAGACACTCCCATCATCAGTCGGCGTATCCATCGAAATCAAATACCCAACATCTTCCGAACGCCAGCTCCACAACCTGCACGACCTTCTCTCCATCGACGACCAAGTAGACATGATCCTGAAAAAAGTATACGATCACGCATCGCAGCGATCCATAGTCCTCTCATCATTCAATCCATCCGTATGTACAGCCATGAATTGGAAACAGCCCAACTATGGAGTGTTTTATTGTACACGATGTGGATTTGGTACTAAAGGAGGACTAAATGGAACTGAAGAGTTACCGGAGCCGGATAAAGACAGACGGTGTGGAAGTATTAAGGAGGCTGTTAGGTTTGCCAAGAATTCGAATCTGCTGGGTGTTGTTTGTGAAGCTACGCCGTTGGTGAGTTATTCATCGTGCTATGGTTGTCCTTTTTGCATTTGGCATGTCGCCAAAAACCACACTCTACAGAAACAAAATGGATTCTAACACGTCAATCACATACTAGATTCAAGTCCCATCATTAATCACAGCAATCAAGGAATCCGGACTGATTGTCGCATCATTCGGGATTGCAAATGATGACATTGGCAATGTGCGAGCACAAGAAAGTCATGGTGTTGACGCCATCATTTCGGATAATGTTTTGAGGTATAGAATTGAGCCTGTATAGAGTCATGCTATGTTATATCTTTTATTACGCAAAAAAGTCATAGAATTTTGTTAGCCCCAATTGATATGAGTTATGAAAATATATACCCATTCTTTATCCGAGACCTCCTTGAAGTTTTTTTTTTGTTCCTTTGGCTGAAAGACAGAACAGATAGAGGTATTTGCCAAATATTTTTTGAACGAACTTTATATTAGAAAGGTTCATAAAACAGCACGTTATAGCAAAAAATTCCCTTTGGTCCCCAAAAGCAACACCAGCCACCGCCAAAACCAACCACACACAAAAAGTATCGACATCAGATTTGAGAAAGAGCTTTGCCCCAACCACTACAACACACTCTAAGCCCCACCGATCAATATCATGCAGAGATAAATTGAACACCAGCTTTGTACCTCGTTGAACAACAATCCCCAAATCCCTGTAGCACCTTTTCATTGTTATCAATCTTGCACTAAGAAGAAGGGTGGAGAGACTGTGTCATTGGGATTTACAAAGGTGTGTTGCCAAAAACACCACATACAACCGCGTGTACATTATCCTTTGTATGATCTCCTGGCCCGTAACAACAGAAATGGGTTTGTCCATCGTTTGGAACAAACGGAGCAATGCCTTTTGGATCTGCAATGCCGCATGATGCTATTGCGAATCTAGGGAATAGGGATGAGATGGTAAGGAGGTGGAATAAGTGGTTTGGAGATATTGGGGACTTACAGGACTGGCGACTGTTGTGGTTCTGGAGCAGAGTGCACGTGTGAGAGTGAGCACACGGCAAGGATGACGGTGGTGAAGAGCTTCATGGTTGAGTGCTTGCTTGTTGGTGCTTGTGGAACAGTGGTGCGTTGAAGAGTGGAAGGTTTGCTTGGATGTTGTGTTGGAGTTACAACCGTTATAGATTTAAATATTTGGGGCTACATTTTGACAGAAATATTCCGAAAAGAATCCGGAATGCAAGGTAGCCTGACTTTCTGCTGAATACAAGTATTTAAATAGTACCGTAGCAGAGTGGGTTTGGATTGGGTTGGGTTTTTTGAGATGTTGGTAAAACCACCACCGAAACAACAGGGGAGGTACTTGGAAGAGGAATAATGTGGTTTGTTTAGGTAGTGGCGATCTTTGTGCACTCTTGAAAGTGTTGTGAAATCACGAAAACTTCAAATCAAGAGCACATTTTGTAAAACGAGAACCGATAAAACACAGAGCTTTTGATTGACAACCACGAGAGCCAACCACACAGTAGAACACACCACGAATAACGAGGAAGAAGAGAGGCTTTCACCCAGACCTACAGAGTTTTCTGGTTTAGGCTGACTTGAAACAACAGCTATACTTTCTGGAGAGATATGTTTGGTACTTGAGTTTTTGTAATTTGAAAAAGATTTTGTAAATTCGAAAGCACTAGACATTCACCCATTCTCCCTGCCCTTCATCCTATCGTCTCAATCCCATAAACAACACCCCACACACCCAAGCAGCCACACACCACAACCGACACACAAATTTCAACCGCACAGATAAAGAAATTTCAACGCCATGAGGATCAAGTTCTTAGACCATTGGGGAGATAAGTAAACTCAGCGGAAGCATTGTAGCGTGAAGAACAACACTCCTCAAATGCTGTCGTGATTTTGTCGACCTGATCGAGAGTGCACTAGTCGGAGGGGAGGACAAAGAGAGGGTCATTTTTTTGATTTATCCAGTCTACCGCACAAAAGACCACATACCACGTGTTTATCATCTCTCATATGATCGCCTGACCCAAAACAACAGACACGAGTTTGGTTGGCGTTTGGAGCAAAGTGAACGATTCCTTCCGGATCCTTAATACCGCATTCTGCGATGGCTTGACTAGGAGATCGACAAGTTTAGGTTTCGAGACGATTCCAGACGAAAAAGGTGTCAATTGCTTCGAGTTGGTAATAGGTACTTGGGTTGTTTTTTATGGGATCCAGAGTGTACGTATGAGACTGAGCACACAGCGAGGATCGGGTTAGCGAGGAATCTCATGGTTGGGTTGTGGTTTTGGTTTGTTCAATGCTTTGGTTTGTGAGGAGTAGAATGTTTTTTTTTGAAATGTTGTGCTGAAGGTACAACGGTTGGAGCTACAAGGGAAAGTTTAGAGCTACAAGGAAATGGTGGAGCTACACGTTAAAGTTTGGAGCTACAGGCAACTAGGTTGGCACACTTTCGCACAACCAATAGAGCAAACAGAGAGATTTGTGCGGAGACCTCCATCCAGGTTCCACAGTCATGCGAGAGAAGCAGCAGTATTGGTAGGTCTTGCGGACTTGCTGATTGTGATCGACTCGGAACTGTATTCAGGAACGGGTTAGGGTGATTACTCAACAGCTCTGTGAGAGGACACAAAACTCGCGTTTGGCGTCATGCGTACCATGCAGCGAAACAACAGAAACGCGTCTGTCCGGAGTTTGGTACAAAATTGGTACAAAGGAAAAGTCTGAGGGATGAGAGGCTATGGCTTGCAATGGCTTGACTGTATATATAAAGAGTGAGTGTTTGGAAACTTGCATCATTCTTGGCGAATAGCTTACTTTGCTGGAGAGGAATCTGGCTCAAATGCAGGAGTCGAAGCTACGTATGAGCTCAACCACGCATCTAGAGTCATAAAGAGGTTGAAGTTGACCGTGCTTTGTGTTTTTGCGTCTTTACATAATTGAGATGTGAAAAGTTTCCTGAAAATATAGCTGGAGTTGGCGGAAAAGATCATCATTGAATAGATGAAGGTAAAAGGCAAAACATGAATCGGGGATAATCGTGGCGAGATTAGGTAACGTTTGTCGTGAGGGACAAGAAGTTGGTTTCCACTTAGCCACGGCAGCATAGGCGTGAAAGCCAAGTAGGGAATATTAGAATTGATGATTTTCTCCCGTGAAATTCAAGTTTTCATTCTTCCAAAGATGTTGTAAGTAGGCTCTTCGGAGGCTTACAACTTGTAAACCACTGTGGTCGGCACGTTCCTTACATCCAAGGATGATAACAATAAAAAGTGCATGAAATGATGATAAAGAGTATAAGAAGTCTTTCTTGTTTATTCCGTCGACCGAGTTCAGGTTTGATGTTTGGTCAACAAGACAATCAAGCAATTCACATGCCCGTTTAAGTGAAGGAACTTGCACAACAGACAGCTGATGCAAGAAGAGAAAATTCGTTCTAATAATAAAGTAAACGCGTCATGAGCTGATACACCGACCGTTGATCTAGTGAACAACATTTAAGGTTTGGTGTCAAAGTTATGCATCTGATTTTGATTGCACCGCAAACACACTCAACCTCAAAAACAGTTAAAACGAGGTGTCAGTACGCGTCAAATCCATGTCTGAACAGTACGGTAGGTGTCATCTGGTCTGTCTTGTTTGATTGCTGCATCAACTTGACATTGTCACGAGTTGTCAAGCACATCCAAACATCCCCCCACTATCTAATCTTGCATGGACAGGAGAGAGCTAATCCTCTTTTGTTTGGGACTCACCACAGGAATATCACTCGCTACCATCGCTACCTCCTTTTTTGTGCCCTCGACCTCCTCATACTCGTCTACCTCACCTCCAGTCATGTCCCCAAACGAAAACAACCACTCTACTGTCAATGGACTGCCAACTACTAGGAGGAAATCTACTACTACCACCACTACTCCAGTATCTTCTCTATCCCCATCCTTTCACGAAATAGAAGCTGCTTGGACTGTCCTGCCATCAAAACTAGAAGAAATATCATCTCACTTCATCCAGGAACTAGTCAAGGGTCTCGCTGCCGACGGTCACGATATAAAAGCAATCCCTTCTTATGTCACTCGTCGTCCAACCGGAACTGAAACTGGCTGCTACTTTGCTCTCGACTTTGGAGGCTCCAACTTTCGAGTATGTCAAGTCATCCTTCTAGGTGCTGGCAATACCGCTGTCAAACAACAGAAAGATGCTATATCGGATCATCTCAAAGCTGGAACTGCTGAAGAATTATTCAACTTTTTCGCTGAAAGGACGAGAGACTTCTTGTCGAAACATGGATTGGGTAATGGTGGGGGAGCAAAGATGGGGTTTACCTTCTCGTATCCTGTCACGCAGACTGCTCTCAACCATGGTACAATATTTATGAAGCGATTATGCTCCATGGCTTTTCTGACATGCATTCAACGCTTTTAGGTTCTCTCATGCACTGGAACAAGGGATTCACTACATCTGGTGTGATAGGTGTCGATGCTGTTGACTTGCTACAGACTGCCTTCCACAAACAGGTAATTTACGATTAGAAACAAATCATACTCGAGGAACGTCACTAAACTGGAATTCTGACACTCAAACCATACTTTGCCAGGGTCTCGACTTGCACGTGTCTGCACTCGTCAACGACACTGTCGGAACCCTCATCGCACACACATACCAAGGACCAGACACATACATTGGCGTAATTCTAGGTACAGGCTCAAACGCCGCATACGTCGAATGCATCGACAATATACCCAAATGGCATGGTCCTCGTCCACCTACAGAACAAATGATTATCAACTGTGAATGGGGTGCATTCGATTGTGCCAGACGTATCCTGCCAGTCACCAAATATGATAATATCGTCGATGCTGCTTCACCAAACCCAAACATGCAAATATTTGAAAAGATGATGTCGGGTAAATATCTAGGTGAATTGACGAGGCTTGTTATGCTTGATTTGGTCGAGAAGGGTGAATTGTTTGGGGGAGAAGCGTCGACAGAGTTGAATAGCACTTACTCGTTTGACACTTCTTATATGTCTCGTATTGAAAGGTCAGTTTGTGCTTGACATTAATGATTTATATGCGCTTTTTTGCTGCTGAAGTCGCATTTCTTGAATCTTCAACTATTGAAACTAAGTCGATTCTATACTTTGCAGGGACGTCTCACCAGAACTCGCTGAAACTGAAACTATTCTCAACGTTGTCATGCATATCAGAGAATCTACTCTGAACGATCGCATGATTGTCAAAAGACTCTGTTACCTTGTTGGTCGCCGTTCTGCTCGATTGGCTTCTGCTGGAATCGCAGGTACTTTTGTGCAGATTTGTTGATGGTTGGGTTTCTTCAAATATCGGTCAGACCTGTCTTATGATCCATCAGTCAAATCTTTCTGCATGAAAGATCTACCAACATGGTCGATATGACTTTCACCGTACTCAATATTTGCTATTTTTGTACTTTAGGCCTTGTGAAAAAGATTAACAAACTAGATGGTTGTACAGTAGCCATTGATGGCTCACTATTCGTGCAGTACCCTCGATACGCCAATCGAATGCGAGGAGCATTGCAGGAACTGTTGGGAGCTGACGCTGAAAATATATCTCTTGATCAAGGTAATGCAAAAAAAAAAAAAAAACAATTCCGCCGTGATCGCATGATGGTGACCTCTGATAGCTAATCACCATTTACTACTTGCTGTCTTAAGCTCGTGATGGATCTGGCATTGGTGCCGCATTGATTGCTGCTCTTGCTGACGTATGATTTCTCCGAGAACTCTTTTTCTTGTATGGTGAACACAAAGCCTCCAAGTTATCGCTGTCGAAATGTTGCATATATTATAGAAACGAAAAAGTTTAGTTAATGAAAATGCTCTTCTTTTGTCACGACATGTTTCACTCGTCGTTCGACACTGTTTTGCTGGTGTAGAAGTTGCTTTGGAAAGAGCTGAATTGGTTGTTATAGCAACTTTATCATTGTTCATTACTGGAGGGTACTAGAAGAAATTTGAGGTAGTCAACCACAGCCAAAAAAACTGAATATAGTGGAATCCTCAAATGATTGACATTTTCACCGCAAAAGTAGGATACACATTTCTCAAACCTTCAAGAACGAATATGCCAATACTTGTGCTCTGTGAGCAGAACCAATGAAGAGTACTGTCATAGAGATTCAGTCTCCAAGACAGCCAAGCAAAAATAAAAACCCGCAAACATGCCAACCGGATGATGATACTTGGTACACCTCGAAGAGCACTGATGACCTCACAACCACCTCTCCATCCATTCCATGGTTCTTGAATACCACTGGAACAAGCAGAGGCAGTGACGTCCTTCAAGCAGACACAATGTCAATGTATCCAGAGACAATCACAATGTATTTTGGATACACAGCAAGTGAGAGTGTTTCATCCTCTTACTGGGTGATGGTGTTGTTGAATCGAGATGAGTGCAATCACTGCAGGGAATTCGGGTTTGCTTGTTCTCGTAGGATGGGAGGGTTAAAAGGTCAATCGATTTCAGCAGCTACCAAATATCTGGCATGTTCATGGACCAGCATGCGAATTGTAGCTCTTGTGTTAGTTCAACTAGATTGAACGGGATGTAAGAAAGGGTGTTTCCAAGAATGAGCACCAAAAAAAAAAACGTACTGGAGGTCAGGTCGATTGCTTGGCAAGCAACATTCAGTGCCTTTCAGCAGATACTCTAGGCATTAAAGTCAATTTGATTCGTCAAGGGGCAGCCATCTTCTCTCACATCAGTTGAAGCAGCGTATTCAGTCAATGTTCGTTGCACACAGTTGTAACTCAACAGTCCTGCGTAAAATGTGAAGACAAACCAGTCTGAGATGGGCAGCCAGCAATCGTAGCTCTAAATCTTGCAAACGGATGCAATGTCAGAAATCATCAAAACCCGAAAAAATCGTGGTCTCTAAACCATCCATCATGAGATGACTCTTTAAACGATCAACTTCTCCCATGTCTTACCCACATATAGGTCTCAGCTCAAAAACCTGTGGATTTATGATTGGCACCGAGGTTATGTAGACATGTTTGTCGCATACTGTCTCAATTTGTTATCCACGAATCTCCCACGTCATGGTACCAAAGATCCCATCATTGAAAAGGTGCCAGCTCAACTGAATAAACTCAAATATATGCATGGTAATGGAATATCTTGTGCCCTTCTTGAACGTATGGCCAAAACACGACCCAAGACAAATATGAAGCCATGTCTGAACATCTGTGAGGTAGATCCAAAGAATGGAATCTACGGGTCGTATTCGAGAGAAAGAACGGGTGAAGTTACTTTGGGCGTATATGATACGTCTGGAGGTCGAATCTTGTGGAGTAATAATAGAGAAGAGCATCCTGGTGCATTCATTCACAAATTGACGGCACGACTTGCTATAAAGCTCAACGATCATGAAGAGTCATAAAGGAGCTGATGGTGGATGTAAAGGGAAGTGAGGTTGGAAGTTGCCTGTGGTGCCTTGATCAAAATTATATAACCCCTATAAGATGTAGGGCTCGTTTGTACTCATAACCGTAGAATATAGAATAAAAATATATCCTTGAATTGGACAAATGGCTGGAGCGCAACTTGATCCGCAGTTCGTCGTAGTCTTCGTGTCAAACATCTAGCAGCGAAGCAACAAACCACCAAAGAATCTTTCTTATAAAGGCGAGGTAAGGCACCACTAACAAGTCACGTTGAGATGCCGAATTGACCCTTTAATCGCACACAATTCGATGAATGATGGAGAACCTTGTTTTCTGCGTGTTTTCTTGTTTCAAGTGCATCCAAATACTAACCTCATTTCTACAATAGGAAACCAGGCATCAAATACAACCCGTATATCACAAAACCTGACTCTCTATCGTTCTCGTCTATCTTGTTTGTGACGTATCGTCAAACATCAACCATTTTTTTTATGTGTTTGTCTGATTTTTGCATTTTTGATGAATGCCACAACACCTCGCAACGATCCGGACTCCATGTATTTTCCCTTCAATCATGGATGCATACCATTTGCAAACGAGGAAGAATAGTAGTTACTACTCTTGAATCCAATCTCATAGTCCACGACGCATGAAACTCTGTACGTTGATTTGGATACTTTGGTGATTTGAACATTTTCGCTTGTTGCTACTTTTGTAGTTTGCTTTTATGTTTGGTTGTGGTTACAGAATATAAATGCTTGTGGTTTTTGAGAAAACTGCTGTGACTGTGGTTTGCTTCGACTTTCCTTCTTTTGTTGCAACGGATGAACGTCATTCTCTCTGGCACGGGTTTGCTCTCTCATCCCGCTAGATAGAGGATGTCACATAGCATCCAAGATCACTGATGCAAGATTATAGTGCAAGCTTCATGACATTTTACCTCTATTGTCGAACTTGCTCACACGTTTTCATTGCAACATGCCAGAGTTTCCATTCTATTGTAAGTCGTCATTATAAGACAAGAAATACAAATTATCATTGTATATCCTCTCTTACTCTCACCCTGTCACTTTCACAGACAAAAACATCTACTTTGACTTCACACCACCATCCTTCTTGGCATCCTCCTTAAGCGTAACGGTTCTATTAACTACAATCCGTTCCGGTGTTGAATCAGGATCAACACAAAAGTATCCAACACGTAAGAATTGGAATTTATCTTCATTCTTGCATCCCAATATACCGATATCGACCATAGCATCTGTTTTGATGACAAGCGAGTCTGGATTGATATCATTCAGCCATCCAGCTTCATTGTCGGATGGATCACTGTGATAAAAGAGATGGGATAGGATACGGGCTTCTATACGTACAGGTGAATTATGTTTGGGTGAGTCGGCAATCCATTGGATGTATGTTTTGGGCTTTTTGGTTTCTGGAGGTTCGTATCTGACTAAGACTTCAGTGACTTGTCCTGTTGTGGCATCCTTTACTACACTTGTAGCTGTGATGGGACATGGCACATTCAACAACCCAATTGTTTTACCAATAGCCAGACGGTAAAAGTTTGGATCATCGTCTACTTCACGGAAATCAGACCTATCTATGTATACGGTACGAGTAAACGGAATGGTTCGTTCTCCCATTGATTCGTCGCGAGGATTCTTTTTCACCGTCAGCATTTCCAGATAATCGGCTGGTAGATTCGATATCGTTATCTTCAGTGGGTCCAGACAGGCCATGAGACGAGGAGCTACATCGTTTAGATGGTCTCGTACAAAGTTCTCCAATCGTTCGACAGGAATCATGGACAGATTCGTGGTAACTCCTCCATCACGTACAAAGGCATTGATGGCTTCCGGTGTGAAACCTCGTCGACGTACACCTGCGATAGTATATAATCGTGGATCGTCCCATCCCATGACAAATCCACCTGTTACGAGTTGATTGAGCCTACGTTTCGATGTAATGGCATAAGACAGATTGAGACGGGCGTATTCCCACTGTACAGGTTTATATAGTTCGAGAGCATCTACTAGCCAATAATACGATTCTCTCGACATTCGGAATTCGACGGTACATAATGAGTGGGTAATGTCTTCAAACGAGTCGTTGAGACAATGGGTATAATCATATGTTGGGTATATACACCATGCGTCTCCTGTACGCACATGAGATGTATACATGACTCTATAAGCTACCAAATCCCAAAACTGAGGGTTTGGATTACTCATATCCATCTTCATTCGTAGCGTAGCTTCACCTTCTGCATATCGACCTTGTTTCATCTTTTCAAACTCGGCTATGGATTCAGCGATAGGTCGACTTCTATGGCTACATTCTACTCGTGGGCCTTTACTATCACCTCCTCTCATAGAATGCATTTCTTCAGCTGTACAATGGCATATATAGGCCTTGTCTCGTCTAATCAAATCAACAGCTAAATCATACAGCTTCTGGAAGTGATCAGAAGCATAGGTTATCTTCCATGGCTCAAAGCCCAACCATCGTATAGTATCCAAGATGGCGACAAAGTACTTGTCTTCTTCTGCTTCTGGATTTGTATCATCGTATCTCAGATAGCAGTTTCCATTGAATGCTTGTGCATAACAGAAATTGACATTGATTGCTTTAGCATGTCCAATATGTAAAAATCCATTAGGTTCTGGTGGGAATCGAGTCATGACTTTACCACCTGTACGTTTTAAATGCTCAACCATCAATTCTGGCTTTATTTGAGGGTTTTCACCAGCCTTGTGTAGTTGGGTGAGCTGTCCACTATGTATAAAGTCATAGCTCTTGGCCATTTCAGCTATTCGACCAAAGACATTTGTTGAGGCTGGTGCTGCTGAACTTGCTTCTACAGGCGATTTTACAGCTGAGACAGCTTCCTTCTTCTTGTCTTCCTTTTTCTAATAGAAGAATAGAGGATAGTGTTAAAAGTGACAACGAAACAAGCCGATCCTTCAAGATTTATGATTTCAACCTTTTTTGGATCATCGCGTTCATCCTTGGGACCCAAAGCAGCCAACATTTGGTTTTCTAGCTCTTCCTTGACTTCCAATGGTTTGGCCCATCTCAACGACGTTCTCAAATCACCGAGAAACTTTGGCAGCATGGTGTATCGATCCTTTTCTAGCTCTTTACGTCTTGACGCTAACAGAGCCTTGACTGTGTCCTGAATCTGGTCGGGAGTAACCACGACGCCTATATATAGAAAAACATGTCCGTTAAGAGGAATGATGCGGCGGGCAAAAAAAACGGCAAGCTTCGGCATAGTGCATACGTACCAACACCGCATGCTGTGTCGAACTTGGCGATATCAGGAGTACCATTTACACTTTCGCAGAACTTGATAGCAGCTGAACGTGAAATGTAAAAGCATGAGCCATCGATGTAGAAGACAAGAACTAGCTTACAACACATTCCACCTGATATTTGATCATTAGTCAATAGCCTTCGATCCTTGATGGCAGCCACTAGATACGATAGATGTGGCATAGCTTTCGGGGAGATGTTTGCTGCTAGTGCATACAGCAAGTTTCCTAGAGCCTTGTCGACGACATCCACACCTCCAACCTACACGAACGTTGTGTGATTAGGCTTCAACTTCTAACACGTCCGTCAACCCAAACGAGATGCTATCGTGTTCACATACTTCGGTGATGATAGTGTCTAGTAACGGAGCAATCTTCTTGTTTCCAGCGGTATCTTTGGCCTGTTTTTCAGGAAAGCCAATTCGCTTGAATTTCTCGACCAATTCATCAGACATTGCGAGTTTCCGTGGTGTATCAACTATGCGAGGAGGCTTGACGTGTAAAAATCTATATGGAACAGCTGAATTGTGCTGTTTTGGAGGACCTAATGTAGAGAATATGTCAACCTTCAGCACGCAAAATATATGTCTAGTTTCTTGGTTGAATTTACGAGTGAGTAATAAGCTAGTAGATGATGCGCGTAGCCTTGTGATTATGATACGATGCTGCATACAAAAGCCAAGCTGCAGCAGGGCTTTCCTCAGTCGTGAGCTTCAAATGTGATGTTTCGAAATTTTGGAAGATCAGCACGAGAAGACTTCATGGCAATAAAACTTAAGGCGAGAGTGTCAGAACCGTGTATCCGATACTTTTACACGTGGTGACATTTTAAGTCACGTACCTTTGGCTTAAATGCGTGCATGTTCGTAGGTTCGTATTGGAATTGTCTGAAATCGCAAATAGCTCAAAGCGTTACATGGAGATCAGTGAGAAATACGATCAATGTCAATTCTTTAATGTAAAATACGCGAGATAAGCGCTTTATACTGCATGGTTTTGCACTTGATGTCACTTGAGAACTTGACTCAAAATTCTGATTTCCTTCAAATCGTTAGAGCTTGTAAGGAAGATGGGTAATAGTGTTGGATCAAACTGCCATCACTTCAAATATTGTAAGTAATGTCACGTCCAGCGGCGGCAACAGTAGTATCGACACCATTCAAGGTCATTTCCATTGCTAAGGAATTGTCATTGGAGGAAGTCGTCGCAAATCCAGCTGCTAGTATAAGGACAACTGCTACCTCCTTCTTCCCTCTACGCCAATCTACCTCTAGTAGTGCGGCCTCATTGAGCTCTTCTCCTCCACCATCTGCATCAAGTCCTGTTGGCTCACCATCGCAAACTACAAATACTGCTGCCAGTGCTGCGGGCCAGAGTACTGTTAAATCTTCTGTGGAGGCTGTTGAATTATGTGGTATTTTACAATTATGTGTTTATTGGTGGTGGTGTTTGGATTCTTGAAGCTTACTCGACTCGTCTTGTTGTAGGCAACAATGTATTCATTGGAACATCAGAAGGATACATGCTGCATTACGTATTGGAGACTGAAGACTCGGGCCAGCCTGGATCGCCATTCACGAGTCGCTTGCATCAGAAACGATTCTTGGGAATGGGTCGAAAGGCTGTTGATGGTGTATTAGCTGTTCCTACGGAATCTAAGCTTATAGCTTTATGTGGTATGCGTCGTCATCTTCGCGTTGACTTGAATGGTACTGAAGATTCGTTAATACTAGACGCCTCATTGACATTTTACGATATGGACACACTGCAACCTCTCTCTGAACTCCCGAGAATTCCTGGTGTAATGAGCTTCTGCGGAGATAAATTATTACATAGTCCTATGCGGTTTTGTGTCGGAAAGAGGCGGGCGCTGTATACTATGCAGCTGGGAGATGTCGTGACTCCCGAAAAGGTCTGATTTGATACAGGCGTGAGCTCATCTTCCAATCTCTCTTCTAATCTCTTTTCGATCACAGGAATTATCATTACCAGACGGCGCTCTGATATTGAAAAGAGTGGGATCTACAATATGTGCGGCTGATACTGGATCCTACAAGATTATAAATTTGGACAAGGGGGAGACAATACCGTTACTGACGTATGACCGTGCGGCGTTTAGACCAACGCTGACGTCGGTGGGTGATAATGGAGAGTTTTTGTTGGTGACGGCTGGTACTGCAGCTCAGGGAACTGCTCTGGGAGTGTTTGTCTCGTCAACTGGTGAACCTGTCAAAGGTAATTTTGTACATGTAAGGGGTAGCTGATCGATTAACACCCATTTGATACTAAAATCTAGGTACATTGACGTGGCCGGTAATGCCCAAGTCGGTTGGTGAGCAGCATGAATTTATCGTTATTTACGTTTTTTGTCCATCGTGGGTTCACTATAACTCATCATTCTTTTTTATCATTTCTAGCCTACCACTTCCCATACGTTGCTGCACTCTTACGAAACAATTCAATACACATCCATAATGTGTTTTCACAAGAATTGGTACAAATGATCTCCATGCCACCAAATTCAGAACCTCGATTCATCGTGGAAGCATCCTTTGAATTGGATGTTCCTGCCGGAGGAAGTGGTGTGCCCGGGACAGTCAGACTAGTAGTCGCATGCCGAGAGATGGTTTTGGGCCTCAAAATGTCTTCGTTGGATAGTCAAGTGAATGAACTATTTGAAGCAAAGAAAGTCGAAAAGGCTATTGCTTTAGCAGAGCAGATAGAGCAAGGACAGATGGACGATGATGGACGACGGGTGAATGATTTTTGATTATTACGATAAGTCTTGTGTTAATCTGAATATTTTTTTTTGCGTCTGCCTTTTCTTTTAGAAAATCAAGTTGCAAAAGCTCTATCAACGAGCTGGCCTCATATACCTACGAGAAACTCTCTTTGAGGACTCGTTAAGAATGTTTAAGAAGGGCCACCTGGATCCTAGAGCCTTGTTGGCCATCTTTCCAGAGTACATGACTAGCTCTGGAACCGAGTCCAGCGCTTCAATCTTGGATAAGGATGTACTGGAACTTGTCAATCAAGCTGGAAATATCAATAATATTGGTATAGCTCTTGTTTAAGTCCTTTTTTTGTTTCTCCCACTCAACATCACGTTGTGCAAATAGTGGATACCAACCTGACTACCGAGTATCCTGATGCTGATCCTGAAACGTTAGAGTCATTTCGATTGGCACTCATTGCAAATGCTAAGGTACCTTGCATCCATTTCGTTTTCTGAAACTTGGTTCCTCAGAGAACCTGCCTTGATATTTAATAGGACGTCCTCGTCAAGTACTTGGCTTTCGCTCGCGATAATCCAGTCGGACTGGGCCGTAAAGAGGCAAGTTAAATGTACACGCTCGCACGTTCGACCGAAGCAAAACTTATTTTTTTGAGCCAAACTTATAGGAGATCGATACCACCCTTCTTCGCATTCACGCTGATAACGATTCTAAAGCAATGTATGAGCTGCTTAATTCTGATAATCATTGTCGGTTGAAAGATGGTGAAGTGATCTTAACTGAAAAGAAGGTACATAATCTTCTTAAATTGAGTTTTTTTGTTGGTCGGTCTAATCACCCGTTCGACAGAGATTTTATGCATTGAGCTTGTTGTTTAAGAAGCACGGATTGATTCAGGAGGCTCTTGATATTTGGATCAAGTAGGTACATCAGCGTCTAGTGTGTGTGGTCAATCGTCTGACCACTCCTATCAACACATAGGATTGCATCAAAAGAGTACGATGATCCAGATTTTGGTGGAATGGGTCAAATAGTAGACTTTTTACATACCGTTGAAGATTCGGAAATCATATGGAAGTACGCAGAATTTGTCCTGAAGATGGATTCTGCTCAAGGAATTAGAGTAAGAGCTGTAGATCAACTCGGCATTGCCAGATACCGGCTAATAGTTTTTTGTGTATCCCAGATATTTACAGAAGAGACCACTGCTGAATCACGGTTCAAGCCAGACGATGTGATTGAGTACCTGCTGCAGCATCATAGGCCGTCTCTGAGCACGTACTATGAGTATTTGATTCATCAGAGAGGAATTCAGGTTGAGATTTGAGTACAGGGTCTTCGTAGTTTTCCGCGTCTGAACTGTCTCCTTTTTGTGCTTAGGACGAAACAAAGCATACTAGTCTGGCTATGATATATGTGGAACACGTGCTGGATCTCGCTAGTGAAGAGAAACTCATCGCTCAAGGTCTGTGTTAATCATCTCAACCAACGCATCAGTCTCTTTCATTGTTTGCCCTGGTCGTTGCTTACATAATCTCTTTTAACATCAGAGCAAGCATTCAAAACCAAACCCATTCGCTGCTCTTATCAGGCCTTTCTAGCCTCATTGTCTGACCAGGGAGATGAATTAGCTGGTGCACGGACAAGGCTGATACGATTCCTTAATTCGTCTGAGCGAATACGGCTACCGCCAATTAAAGCTCGACTAGATTCAATGCCCAGGTTATATGCTGAGCATGCCATATTACTTGGCAAGGTATAAATTACTATACCTATCTATTGTCGTGTTTTTTTTTTCTCTTGAAAGGTTTACACTCCCTCCTACTCAATCTAGTTGAATGAACACGAAGCTACACTACGCATGCTGGTCCAAAACATGCGGGATTTCGTAGCTGCCGAAATATATTGCAGCTCAACCATCCCAACTCCTACGAGGAGAGCATCACCAACACCTCCTCGTAGCGATTCACCATCTCGGCCGCAATCTCGACTCAGCAACAACACAACCACTAGAACGGCATCACCAAGTAAAGACGACAAGAGGCTCTCAGTAGCCTCGAATGCATATATATCGTTATTGTCTCCTGATGCAGATACGGCGAGAAGGACGTTATTGTTTCAGCTGTTTCAAATGTATTTAAAGGATGATTCGAGAGATGAGTTGGCAGATGAGATAGTGAGGTTGTTGGGTGTTTATAGTGGGGATTTTGATGTCATACAGGTATGCGCGGGGATGAAAGTGAAGCACGTTCACATGCTGCGTGAGTGATTCAATTTTTTCTTGAATAGGTGTTGAAGCTGATACCCGATCATTGGTCTTTGGCAATGCTAGTGCCTTTTATTAGTGCCGCGTCACGGCGGAGCACTCATATACGTCGGGAAGTCAGTGTCACAAAAGCATTGGCTCGTGGCGAGAATCTCAAGGTGAGAGTGGTGTTGACAGTATCTTGTCTTTGTTTGCATGGGGTGAACTCACTCGGCACTTCTCTTTCGTTACAGGTCAATAACGAATACGTAAACATCCATCTAACAACACCACCAATTCGCATATCACACAACCAGCAATGCGCGAAATGCAGATTACCGATTGGTGATCCACCTGTCTTTGCACGATATCCGCAATGGCCGGACGACGTGTTTCATTTGCATTGTCGGATTCCTACTAGTAGTAGTACATCATCTTCAATAGCGAGACCAGTCTCAACTGTACAACCATAGATATAACTTTTTGACTGTAAAATAGACATTTGGAATTCGTTGCATCAACGTAAAGTCAATCATTACGAAGAATTTTGCACACAACAACAGAGCTATCTTTCACAATTCCATAAACAAGTTAGGACAGAGCAGCAACGGTGAACCACTTTATGACTGATGAGACAGAATTGTTATCTCAGCGGGACGGCTCTTGATTTCAGCTCTTGATTGCAGATAGTGTGGCTCTATCAAAGAGAGTCCTTTCGTCGGTCCTAAACCTTCTACTACCATAAGCCACAGCAAGAAAATCAGTATCAGATCAAATGTTTGGTGTTTCATTCAATTTTGAAACAAAACAAGAGTAATAATCCGTCCACTCCAAACTCAATTCACCATCATTCAGACAGCAACAGTCAACAAGACGACAAAATGGGGTGAAGAAATCGAATTATGATATCATGACTCTATATTCTTCATCGTCTCTCTCTTCATTACAACATAACCAACAACACCCCTCCTATCTCGCATGCCCATTAGCAACACCACCACCACCACCTTGCTGCAACTGTTGTCGCGCTGCCTGCTCAGCCTGCGCTTTAGCAGCTTCCTCATTCGCCCGTTTCTGCATCTCTTCTTGAGCAGTATGCAAAATCTTTTGCACTTTGGCTTGCAAGTCTCCAGGTAGTGATGACAAGAGCTGCATGGCGTTTGGTGATGTAGTGACCCAGGAATGGAATTGCGTGTAAGGGTCGACGGTATCGAGTGGTGAAAAGTAATAGACGTCTTCTTCCATTTCGTCTTCTATACTGTCTTCGTCGCCGTCTCGGTATCCTCGTGCCTACGATGCGGTTGTTATCATCAGCAAAAAAATAAAGGAGAGAAGAGCTTGATCTTACTTGAGCAGCGAGGTATTCTAGGTACTCATCATCCTCATTATGAACGTCATCATCATCAGCTTCAGCTAAAAAAGCGAGTTTCCGTCAGTTGCAACGCCCCAGCGACAAACACTTCTCACAACAATCACTCACGATGAGAACTCAAATCAGTCGACGTATTACCAGTCCCTTCACCTTCCTCCTCATCGTCTATTTCTTCATCGTCGTCGTCATCTCCCTCGTATTGCCTTTCAAGATCTTTACGACCTAGTGAAACAAAAAACGATTTGAGCTTCTTCCTCATGAAGTCTCAACTACATCCCGACCACAACTCACGTTTGAGAGCTTCAGGATACGACTCAAACACCTTCACAATTCCATACACAAGTTGAGATACACTTGTTTGCAACGGTCCAGGGATGAGGTTTGGATCAGCTTGAAGGATCGTACATAATGCGAGTATACAGAGTTTTTTGTCTTGAACCCTTTGAGAGCGAAAAAAGAAACATCAGTCCTTGAAAAACATTCACAGGAATCTGGCAGACCACAAAGCGTTTTACCTCATGAAATCATCCAAATGAGCAAACCAGAACGTGAAGAAGTTAACGGTATAGTTTTCACGTTCAAGACATTGGAGAGTTATTTGAAGGTTGTAGTATGTGCAATTCAGGACCTAGGTATAGAAAAGTTTAAGCAAAACATTCGGTCCATACACTTCTTTTTTGCTTTACTCACAATCTCAACAATATGCACCCTTAAAGCCATAGAATCCAGCTCTTCGGGATTCCTCAAGAATTGAATGGCAATGCCCATGAATTTTGGAATGTACTGAGGAACGAAGAAAAAACAAGACTGTAAGTCGAACCATGATTCATTCATTCAACCCCAACAAACACTCACTTGATCTAAAACACCTCTAAGATTGAGCATCATGGATTCAATCAATTGGCATCCTCTTATACGATCTGATGGAGATTCAGAGTGAACAGACTATTGGGACAAAAAAAACCGGGTTAGCTGTTCATCCCAATGCTCCCTCACAACAGCTTAAAACATGATGCACTTACAGTCTCGGCAATATCGTACATCATAGTCAAATACTGGGGCGTTTCAGCAATTACCAGACTGCCATAACACAAAAAGTTCTCAAGTGATGGTAGCATTTCTGAGCATATGCAAAAAGAGCGCATTTAACAACTAGCTACGGAATGAAACCACTTCTCCACGCACCTTCTATATGATCACAAGCATCCTCTTTGAATGCCTTGTAAATCAACCCAAAAACATTCCACATGGCAGGTGATATCCTCTTGGAGCAGAATGTACATGTGTCAATGATTTCAAAAGCTTCCTCATACAAGTCGATGACATTCTTTTCCAAAACGTATTGAACGACCGGAATACATGTCAGTTCGAGTTCGTTCATGATCTGTTAGACGTGAGGAATGCGTGAGAAAATCCTGCTTGGGCGCAAGCAGAAAAAAACAGCATGTGACGCTGACACATGCTTCAATTGGTCAACAAACCTCAGGTGATGATTCAACAGCTAGCACTAACGAGCTCATGGTCTTCAACACACCCATAGCAGCCATCGTCTTATCCACATCACTCTCATCCATTTCTGGTTCATCGGCATTGTTGTATACTTCACCAATGATTCTCAGGAAGGTATCACGCTAAAAAAACGTAATGTTAACGACTTATTGTAACCACGTCAAACTGGCTACTTTCTCTTACCAACTGAGTGGTAAGTTGAACAGCAAATGGTGTGAGTTCTGTGGCAAACTCTTGTACAAGTTGCTCCATAACTTCTGTAAGTGTGTCCATGTCGATTTCATTGGTCAAGTTGAGCAAGACTAAAATGGCAACATGTGAATATCTTGTCTTTTTAGCATATAGGCTCGATTCAATCGGCGATTTACCTTGCATAATATTCTGAGCATGAGGTTTCATTGCTTCTTGTACTATTCAGATGTACAGAATTAGGAATTTACCATCGGCAGCCGAACATCCAAATTAAGACATACTTGAGTCATGACGGAAAAACGAGTTGAGACATAATGCTGCTTCCACACGAACGGGGAGTTCAGTATCTTGCAAACAGTTCAGTATGTGTTGGAAGGCAGTATGAAGATTCTAGAAGAGAGAGATCTCCGAGTGAGTATACATGAGTATACAAGACGGCGCTAGTTCGCTTCTTTGCGTGTCACTTGCGAGCTCTTAATATTCACCTCTTCATTTTGGAACTCTAAATCACTAAACACTCGAATTACGTCACAAGCCTACAATTTGCAGACAGGAAATAAATCAGATTTCGACCAAAAAACCTGCGTGACGACCTTATAGTCGTTCGTCAACGTCAACTTACCCTTGACCTCATGAATGGTACTGGACTCCTAAACTCTGGATAAACTTCTCGCACTAAGAACTCTTCCATTTGGCCTCTCAGTGATGATTTCTAAGGCAACCAAGATTGGATTCAGTGATACTGATAATAATAGTTATAGACGCGTTTTTTGAGGTCACAATCATCCAGCACCAAAGAAAACCTAACTTCTGAGGCGTTACCTTGCTCAAAATCTGATCCGCAAGCCTAGCAACCATTGACAAGGCACCATCCTTCATCCTAGGATCTCTGGCGTTCGGTGGTTGAGCATTATATTGTACAAGAATGTTGTTGACAAATGCCATGACGGGCAAGAAGGTTTGTTTGAATCGGTCCTTGACGATGGTAAATAGCAAGTGTTCGGCAGTGACTACGGGTGATCTGAATTCTTCCATTGGGTCTGTAAAGTCAAAGTGGTAAGCATTTCGTCGAGGGAAAAAAAGCCATTGAGAAAGCAGCAAACATTGCTCTCTGAGACAATGAATGCAACCCTGACACACAAAGTATTCAAGATTTCTAACTTTGGTACTTTTGAGTCCGACAACTTACCAACTTTCTTATGAATATACTCTACAGGATCATTCTCCCAAGTCTCCTTGTCTTCATCCGAGAAACACAATAAGGGAAAGATGAATGATATAACCAATGGCTCCAAAGAACCCTTCATCAACTGCCATGTTGTCTTGTGCTTGACACTAGCAGAGTTTGTGTCAATATATCGTTTAAACGGTCAGTTTTTTTGTTGGTTGACACACTCACCATTCACAAAAGAAGAGCGCAATCAACTGCTTTGCGCGATTCGTCATCCAAACACCTGATATACACAATTGCAACTGTTGCAGGTATGCTCGTACGATTTCGGGAGCAAAGTTTTCCATAAACATTTTCGCGAATGCCGCATGAGCTTTTTCATTCTTGTCACCGCCTGGAGCTGGTGTGTTTGGATTTCCATGTCTTTGAAAACAAGATAGGTGGTCAGTCATGGTAGGTGCAAACGATGCAAAACAAGCAGCTCCAACGATACGAACTATGTCAACTCACTTTGACAAGAGACGATATAAGCACTGATAAGCCCATTTCTTTGCCTTCCACCATGCATGTTTTTCTCTAACTTCTACGTCAGCAGGCATCTGTATGGTTGACAAGTCCTTTTTGATGGTATTTACAAACAAGGTAGCCCATTGGACGAGAGATGTGACTTCTTGTAGTGGCTTTGGAAGTGCATGCTAGACAAGACAAGAAAACACAGAGTCGGTTCGAAGTCGATGCTCGTAGCATGGTTTTGTTTTTGTTCTCGTACCTGTATGGCCATTGAGTATATTTTCAATATGATTTTCAGCATCTCAGCAGCCTCAGTGGTATCTTGAGCTACTAGAGGATTGGCGATTGCTAATAAAGTTGGGAAGGTAGTTTTGATGATTTTGCTCAATGGTCCTCTCTTTTCTATAGTCTTCCACCTATTGTAGTATCAGGTTAGGCACAAACATTAGCAACTTGTACAAGTAGAATCTTACTGGTAGACTTTGACGAGCTCCTGCAAGCAAATGAGACCTCCAAGTATCGTTTCTCTGACATTTGACCTGAGCAAGGTGTCTACGTTTGGTAGATACTCTGGCCATTTTTCGGGATAGTCTACGCCGAGCATGCTGGCCAAGCAAGTGGACAATTGCAGTCTGTGTGGAGAGATGCAGTGTGAATACAGGCGTTCTGAACGGAGCTTCCGACGCCATTGCCTTCGCGAGGTCTTTTTGTGTTTACCTAATGATATGAGGAGCATGCACGATTGACTGCAACATGTTTTGCTTTACGACGATCGTGTCGTGGGGACCGATAAGTTGCCCTTCAGACGCATCTCTCCCCCATCTTCCATTGATTTGATTCTTGAAGTAGATTGCAGCTAAAAAAAACCATTGAAACAGAAGGCGGATGAGCTCAATAGTTCCTCAGGCAAGCTCAACAGCAACGCATGTGTACCAGCTTGTCTGACAGTAGCATCAGATTCAGGCGAGACAATGATTTGAAGCAAAGTTGAAAGAAATCCGTCGACATTCGTCAACTAGAGACCATGAATTGGTTAGATCCAGCATGTTGATGAGTGTGGCAAACATTTGCAAACGAGTGTATGATATAGATGAGAGAACAACAAACAACAACATCAAGTACAAATACGACATGCCTGTTTTAGCTGTCTCTCCGAGTTCTCTCTGATTCCGACATCAGGACTGAAGGAGGCAGCAAACAATGAATACGCAGCTCCAACATTGGCCATTGCGCTTCCGTTCATCGATTCCCTCAAATGAAAATAGGCTCTCCTCTCTCTCGTCTTGATTCAAAAAGAACAGCAAAAAAATGTTCACGACAAAAAAATCAGATGGGAGGAAGAGGAGTATTCGCTCTGAATTCACGTGCAAACAGAGTATTGGAATGGTATAAAAAGACACGTAAAGCGAAAACGGATCAAGCAACCACTAATTTGCTATTTTGTTGACTTTTGCTTGAGCAATCTAACATACAAAAGGAGGGGATAAATCGTGTACGTTTCGCGGTAGAATCATTTCTCTTAATATTATGAAGCGATCTACACTCTTACAAGTCTAGCTTTCCGTGTTGTTGAACTCGCTTTGTCGGCTTGACGCGTCACCCACATTCAGTCAGTTCAAAACATCATCTAGCAAGGAGAGAGAATAAGCAATCATGAGTCGAGGAGGTAGTTGTAAGTCCAACCCCATTTTATATCGCATTTATACCACTGCTCCTGTCAACTGCGCTGTATCATTGACATTACTCTCCACTAGCTGGATATGATCGAATGATTACCGTCTTTTCGCCTGATGGACGACTATATCAAGTTGGTACGATAATAAATTTCATAATATTTGCTATTATATCATGTCATTCTATGCTCATTACCTGTATTAACACTCTCCCATCATCATTAGAATATGCATTCAAGGCAATATCCGGTGCTGGCCAGACATCGGTGGGAATACGAGGCCTCGACTCGGCTGTCGTCGTCACCCAGAAGAAAGTCCCTGTAAGCAATTTATATATTTTATGTAATAGTTGTTGGTTTGGAGTCTCGTGTACTGTGGAGAGAAACACAAATAGACACAATCTCACACATTACAAACCTTTAGGACAAGATGTTGGATCCATCTACAATCACTCACATCTTCCAATTGACTCCTTATCTGGGCTGTGTCATGACTGGTCTCATTGGTAAGAACAAAAGATATTGATCTTGGACCCTACTACTGCAACAGTCGCACTCTGTCATCTTCCACAGCCCTCTTTATACACCATACTAATTCGCATATCTTATCACAGCTGATGCTAGAGCTCAAGTCGCTCGTGCTCGAATGGAAGCTGCCGAATGGAGATATAAATACGGATACGAAATCACTGCTGACATGTTGGCTAAACGTGTGGCAAACATCAACCAAGTATATACCCAACATGCTGCTATGAGGCCTCTAGGTGTCTGTAAGTACATTATAACTTGGATTGTTGAAGATACAGCGACATTAGGGGGTTTCTTTGTTGTTGCTTGTACTGCTTCAACACACCCATCATCGTCAACCCACTTACCCAACATATTGCCATTTAGCCATGATTCTCATTGGTTATGATGAAGAAAAGGGTGCTCAATTGTTCAAATGTGATCCTGCTGGATACTATGTTGGTTACAAGGCTACTGCGGCAGGTGCCAAACAACAAGAAGCTCTAAATCACTTGGAAAAGAAGCTTAAAAAGGAACCCAAGTTGTCTGATGACGACACTGTTGAGGTGAAATGCACTAATGTTTGGGACATCTGTGATGTTATTTCCGATTTTTTTCTGCCTTATCGTCGTATCCTCACCATTCCTATCTCTAATCTCAAACGCTAGCTGGCCATAACAACACTATCAACCATCTTGTCAATGGATTTCAAGGCTGCTGATATCGAAATTGCAGTCGTATCCAAATCAAGCCCCAAATTCCAAACACTGTCGTCTGCTGAAATTGAAGCTCATTTGACTCGAATCACTGAAAAGGATTAAAAATATCTTGTTTGGAGATTGTAGTTTGCTTGGAAGATCAAAGAGATGAAAATACACTATACTTGTACCATATTCCAAGGTGTCTTTGATACCCGAGGTCTCGAAGGTTGTTTGTTGAGAAGCGCATGAGAAGGTAATGAGCTCTGGTGACTTGGTTCAGTGTTTTGGTTAGTAAGACACTGCAAAAAACCGCTGGAGATGGCTCAGGATGTGATGTGTGACGAACGATACAATTCCTGCCCAAATACAACGATTCTGAGACCTCGATTATGGCAACCGTGGAAGCTCCCTTTCAGTCTCTTCGTTGCATCAACTAAGCTCAATGGACAAACGGACCCTGCACTAACGTGACCTTCTCCTCTCTCACCAGTATTTCCAGCCAGATAAATGGTTTCATACAACCACACTTCATAATTTTCAGTAATTTGCTGATCCCATTGCTTACGCAATTTCCATAGTAGAGAGAGGTCGTTAAATAGGAAAAGAATCTTGCAGAGATGTAGAGAAAAATCTTCAGGTTTTTTTGCGTATGTGAACAGTTGGTGGGCTCATACACCAAATCTTCAGGCCGTTCTCTAGTTCACTTTCCGGCCGTGATTTTCCGTAGCGTTACTAAAAGTTGAGTCTCCAATTTTTAGTGTTGCGCTTGGATCGTTGCTGGTGCACCTAGTAGACAAGATATGGGTCAGGGATTGTTCGTCAGAAGCCAAAAGAACTCTTGAGACTGCATCTAAAACGGACGTCAGAGCAGCTTCCAGATTGTAGTGTTAAAATACTGTCGGCTGAAGTGAGCAAAAACTGTGGGTCCACTAAATTCTCTCCCGCCACTTAAAACGTCCATTGTATACTATAAGATAAACTTTTTCGGGAGGTTTTGAAAATTTTGCAGTCGTGAAACATGTCTCTGTTGAGACTTGAAACAGTCTCATATGCCACGGAATATATCGCCTCTGAAACATTTCAAACGGCCGCATTTCTCAAAAACAACTGATTTCAACCACAAACAAGGCTTTTTAGCAGTCATCTCACTTGCATACTACACGTGCCAGAGCAATTCAGCTAGTCACCTCCACCCTTCTGATTTGCGGGATACTCCCAAAACACCAAAACCCGTCAAACCCACCAACCCTTCTAAAAATGTCAACAGCCATTCAAATCCTCCTATTTCTCCTCATATCCTCACAATCCGACGCCCAATGGACCATATCCACGTACTATAGAAGAGACTGCTCCTCACCATCCACCATAATCTTCGTGACTTCGTGACATATGACATTAATGACATTGACAAGTGCTGCCAACGAAGTCCCTTAGAGAAGTCATAGACTGCACTCTGATTGACTACCTGGCTATTGATACGACTAATGGGACTTGCAACTATACCAGTTGAGTCCTACTGAGCCTCATTATCTGTACGCTTCAAAATCTCACAAAAAACACTCCTGAAGCCAAACAGCAACCTTCAACACACTCGTACCAGGCTACACAACATACAACGACGACTGTCTCCCCATCAGCGACTGCTTCCCACGCTACCCATTCACCAACCGCACAGATGGACAGATGGACGAACTCTGCAAAGAGTGTATAACAACATATCATCGTTTGGAGGTGCATTGTTCGCAAATGGCGCACCACCAGTAGTAATACCACCGTTTCACCGAGGATTGTTTAAAGGTGCTCTTAGTGCTGTGATTGCGTGTTGTGGTGGCTGTTGTTGGTGCTCCGGTATTGGTGATGTGACTTTGGAAGTGATTCCAGGGTCGTGTTGCTCGTTTGTTAAGAATTCTTCTTTCGGTTTAGGTACATGCTAGTAGAAAAATGGAGGGGAGCGAAAGTCGCAGCAGTTTTCGTTCCGAAACTATTGGTTCCTGAGATTCAGATGTCTGGACTGAACACCTCGAGTTACGAATCGACGAGAGTAGTGCCCGAAAGGGAATTGAGGAACTCATTTTGTGAATAATTTTCGAGGGCGTTTAGTGTGTGTTTAATCGCTCAGCTGTTTGTGAGTGAGTTCATATTGAATAACGTGTTGTCTCGTTACCTTGAGTATAATTTTTAATATTAAAAACATGGCAGGTTGTGGCGAATACGAAATTTGTGCATCATGTTATCGTACATTATGCCGTTCTTTGCTGGCAGTGAATATAGGTTTTATACAACACAATGTTTTGAAACACCTTTTGAAACGGCCGCATTTCTCAAAAACCAACAATTCTTACCACAAAGAAGCACTGAAAAAGGGTCAGATCGTCTGCGAACGAGATATTTAATCGGTGTAAGGCCGCTATCCAGGTAGAAACTCCAACTTTGCCATTACTCACCAAGTACAAAACCAGCAAAACCATTTGTTTCAGAACAAGCCCTCAAAATGGTGACATCCATACGAATCTTCTTATTACTGCTTATGTCCTCATCAGCAAACGCACAATGGGTCATTTCCACATACTATAAGGGAAACTGCTCCCCATCTAACCTAGTCTTCATGAACTTGTCAAGTCAAGCCAACGACCCTTCTTGTAAAGTAAGGTTGGCACCGTTTCCTTCAATTTGCCTAAAAAGTAGTGCGTTCAATTACACCACACTGTCATGTATGTACGTTGATCCGATCGCGTATGTTGAATCTCAGTTTGGGAATGTGAGTGTGTTGGTGACTGGTGCTGGATACGTTGTTAAGGACTCTACTTTGTATTCTACAGGTAACTCGTAAGAAGAATTGTTGCTAGTTTTGTTTTTTCGAAACGGTTCAACCAAGCAATGGTTGACTATTCTTGTAACATCCTTTTCCAGAGTGGTCATTGATTGACTATCTAGCTATCGACAAAACGAATGGGACGTGTAACTATACCAGTTGAGTCTCGTTTGATTCTCGCTTTCCTTCTCATCGTTTCCAAAGGCTCATACCAAACACATCTCAAAACAAAGCACCCTTTAACACCGTCTTGCCCGGATACACCACATACCGTAACTCTGATTGTCTACCCATCATCAACGGCTCTCCACAATACTTATTGCGAAATAGTCCAGATGGGAGGGCACTTCAAAGGCTATACACCGACATATCATCTTTTAGACGAGCCTTTGTGAGTGATAATGGTGCACCACCAACAACCGTACGACCATCCGATCAGCAGGGCATGTCTACTGGTGTTTGAATTGCTGTGATAGGGACTGTCTCGTTGACTGGAGCTGCTGTTGCGGGATTGGTGATGTGAGTTGCTAGGCGGGGTTTGGTTCTTTTACCGTTGAGCACATTTCATAATTGGGAAGCTGACATTGCTGAGTATTCATATAGACCCATTATCGCACTTAGACGGAGACGAGAAGTTATTGAAGCAGGGCTTCATTCCGAAATAGGTAGTTCGTAAAGTTCAGCAGGTCACGGCTTCGACAAGTAAAGGAATTGAGTACAATAAAAACTCCTTTAATCTCTACCTTTGATGCGTCCCTGAGTGTTCTGACTTCAATGCACCAAGTACTGCTGGCTGCGAATGCTTTGAATTTATCTTGCACCGCCGCATTTTGGAAAACCACTGCCTTTCCACTAAACAACCACCTAGCGACAATTAGTTCGCTCGATGAATCTGGTCATGAACTGAATCCCAAGGTAATTCACCTCTGACCGGCATAGCTATTTCGAAGCCAGCACTATTTTCTTTTTCGGCCTGCTGATGTGTCACCCATGCTGTGTCCGACCTAACCAAACATAAATGTTGATATAGACGACCTGTAACGATGGCATCCACACTCCTGCTACTCTTACTCATTATCGCATCATCCCACGCACAATGGTCCATCCTTACCATGTACAACGGGTCCTGCATCCCATCGAACATAATCTACATGTCGCTGGAGTTATACATTCCCGACACTAGTAGATTTCCACCACAGAAAGCTTGCCAATCCGCCATACAACCAGACACAACAGTGTGTATTCCAGGATATTCAACCGTTCCATACAACAATACGGTCAATTCTTGTCTGTACATTAATCCGTTGGATTATATTGCGTCTCAGTTTGGGAATGATACAGAGGTGCTGATATCGGGCTCATCGCTGGAGGACCCTACTTCTCTGAATCAGAACTTTAGTGGTAGAGGTATGTGGTTGATGGTTTTGTTTTGCACGCCGTGCACGCCTTCATATTTACAAAACACACCTCTCCTCCCTAGACTGCCCTCAGATAAAATTGCTGGAGGTCCGCATAGTCAATGGCACTTGTTTCAGTTGAGTTGTCTGCCCCATTCTGCACGTCCATTTTCGGTCTGGGTTAAAACTCATCCTTCGTACACAGACAACACCACAAGCACCATCGTACCAGGGTACAGTACCTTCACATCTGGCTGTCTTGATACATACAGCTGCTCTACGCAAAACAGCGCCCACCCGATACCCACTGGATACGCCAGTCACCAACAAACATTCACCAAAATATCATCTTTTGGAGGTACCTTCCTACCGAACGTGCCATTACCATTCGTATTACCTATTGGAGCAAAGATTGGTTTGGGATTTACAGGTGCATTTTTTCTTCTGTGCGCTGCAGCTGTAACGTAAGTTCCTTTGTTGTTTGGTTGAAGTATTAGCGTTTTCGAGACTGATTTAATAACGCGAGTTTTGCTGTTCATAATTTAAGGTTAGTGTGCACGATAAGGAGGCGTAGACGGAGGAAAGCAGAATTGTCTGCTCCTCCTCCTGCTTATGCACTTCAGGCGGTTAACCTTGTCAGTTTAATACCAAAGACAGAACATGATTGAATAGTGCTTTTCTCTCTATTTGCTCTATGAAAGTAAAGTAAATGGGGTTGAGCTGTCTCCCTTCATTGCAATATCAATGTGTTCAATTGGGCAACATGAAATATCCTAATCCCATCCTAATACATAATAAACTGTTTGCAGCTACATTTTGAATGTTAAAGTATTGATCGCGTTTGGATACTAGTAGGCTGCTTCAAATTCTGCCTTCAACAATGCCGCAATTCGTGAAATCACCTAAGTCTTACAGCAGTGCGGACCTTACAGTGTGGTCCTCTACATAGTGGGCGATTGTGCGACATTTTTTCCCTTCCGAATCGCCGGTCGTATTAAATTCGTAACCCAGACTGATCAAAACACACTCACAATCATCTCCGTATTACAATAATCTGTTTGTATTTCACATATCAAAACAATGGAGTTTCCGCTTGTTTGTCTCAATATTATTGCCTTCTTCAATACCTTCCACGCTTATCACCACCACTACTGCTACCACCGGCCGGCTCGAAATTCATTTTCCGTTTACTACCCGCACCACCATCATAATCCTCCTTTTTACCAGCTACAGCAGCAGCCATAGATCCCCCTCGCACTTCTTTAACAGGCTCACGGCCCCGCTTAGCAGTACTCAAGAAGGAGTCAATACCAAACATATCAGCCTCCTCCTTTTCAAATTGCACTGGTCCATCTCTCGCTGATCCTGATTGTGAGACACCCGGACCACCTTCTGTGCCCTTGAAACCTCGATGAGGAGCATTACCGCTTCCTTCAAGGATTCGATCTATACGTTCGGTATCGACTCCTGGTGCTACATCGGTGGTGGTCTTCTTGGGTCGATATATGGCGGATGCGCTGCCACCCGCGAATAGAGCTTTATCGTATATGCCATAGGAATCATCGTTTCCAAAACCAGAGCCAATGCCTTCCGATTGGTTGAAGAGACGTTGATCAAACATGGCTTCTTTCGACATTGTTGGTTTGGCAAGACCTAAGGCAATCTTTTCGGATATATCTCTCTCGTCACTATTCGTGGGAAGAAAAGTTTGAATTAGTGCAGAAAAAAGTAGCGTCCTCATAGTTGAAGAATTACCTCTTGGATAACACTCTCTGCTTGGTCTCAGCACCCATATGTGTCATTCTCATTTCTCGTTCACGTTTCTTTTGTTGCTCTCTTCTGAGTGAATCACGTTCCTTGGCAGCACGACGAGTCTCTTCATCCTCGTCGTCATCCTCATCACTCACAGCTCTTCGAGATTCTGGTGACTGTGATGGCGTCATGCCACCTTTACGAATACCTAATGGTATAGCATTGGAATTCGTTCCAATACCATCTCCACCCCCAGCACTACTACTAGTTGGCAATATACCACTTCTAGATTCTCGAGCCTGTTGAGCCAATGTTCTCAACTTGTCTTCCTTTTCCTTCTTTTCTTTGGCAGCTAGTCTAGACTGCATTTCAGCACGTACTCGAACTTCTTCTCGAGCATGTCGATCAGCGATAAACAAGGCTTCAGATAATTTAGCAAATCCATCATTTATAGTTATTTCCTGTAGGCCACGACCGTCTGCTGCTAATCGTTTGTCCAGAGGTATGGTGTACCCTTTGGCATTCTTCCAGTTCGATATGGTGGGAGGTATGTACCATGCTTTTTGTTCTTCTACAGATACTTTACGAGGTGGTGAATGCATTACGGGAGGTGGTGGCGAGCCCTGTCCACGAGGCATCTTTTTAATCTTGAATCGTGGAGGTTCTAATGGATCTATTGGAGCTTCCACCATACGAATGATTCGGGATTGAGTGCCTGTAGCATTATTTCCAGCTTGGGTTGATGTGTATTTTATATAGGCTGGGCCTTTATCATCTTCACCATCTTTGTCTGCGCGCTGCTGACCAGCAGTGATTCTCGCTGGTAGAGAGAAGATACGATGAGAAAAACACTGTAGATGGAGGCTCAACATGTTCTTGCAAAACTTCTCATTCAAACTCTTACATGACAAGACCTTTTCCAAAGCAGCTCTAGTCTTTTCCGTAGTCTCCTGAACGACATCTTCACCAGGCTTGTCCCACGAATCATCAGCCTTTATATCCATGGGCACCAAGTCCTTGAACTGAGTTTGCATGCCAGCTATACTAGCACTACTTTTATCAGCGTGCTTTAGGACACTGTCGTACCTTATTCTGCCACTGGCATCAGTAGTCAATGGGATAGTCGATGATGTCTTGCCAGCTCTAGTTCGTCCCATATCGAGTGGATATTGAGCCACATGAATTTCGGGAAATGCACCTCCATCTCCGTAGTCTTCGGGTGTCTTTGGTATAAAGTTTCGTCGTTGGCCATATGCTGGAATCTGTTTTCGTATTGGTGCTGATGGCTTTAGTGATGCTTGTTGGTCATTGTCATCGTCGTCTTCTTCTGCTGCGTGTGAAGAAATGATTGCTCTAGGAGCTGGTAGTAAACTAGCAGTAATAAGGAAGAGTAATCAATTAGGCCTGATAATGACGTTCAACTTGCCAGCAAACTTACCTCGAAAAAGACATTTTGTTCCTTGTTTTCGTTCAAAGATGTTTTTTGGAAGTTTGAAAAGAATCTAAGTTGAAAGCAGCTGAATAGCTCAATAAAGGGAGCGCAACGTGTAGACATATATTCATATTTCGGTATGAGGAGGCGTCAGTCGAGTCTAAACAGTCAATGCCTTAACAGCAAATCTCAAAGAATTCGCGTCGGTGAGAATGGCTCTAACGCGGTGCTCCTAGAAACCTTCTTCTCTTGGAAAGCAACTTTGAAGACTCGTTAAATCTTTACTATTGGGCTACTGTGCCACTAGAATCTGCAGTCGCTGGTGCAACTATTCGCTTACACAAATGTCGATAGCCATGTTTTTTGCTATCTAAATCAAACCATTTCAGCAACATCGTATGATATTCAGGTCGTTCATCAGGTCTTCTATATTTATTTTTTGCGGTTTTTATACACGAATTGTAATGCTAATATGCTAAATACCAAAAAACTTGGCCTCTAAATAGTATACGCATCCATCCCCTCTTTCCAAACCGACCACTCTTTCTACCACCCTCCATGCTGTTGCTGCCCAGCACCACGTCCACCACCAAAAACACTCCCATTCCCACTCCCGTTCGCATTTCCATTAGCAGGTGGCAGAGCATTCAACCAGCTGATTTCAGATGTTGTTGGCTGTTGTGATGCTGCTGTTGTTGAAGGAAGTCGACCGAACACATCTCCTCCATTACCAAATGAGAATGGTTGCGAAGCCGAAGAAGGGGAAGGAGATGGACGATATGCTGCTTGATGTCCTATATTATTCCATGATGACAAGCCTCGTCCTAGACCTGCTCCTGGCAGGTTCTGGGGGGGTGCGAATGCGCTCCATGATATTTCAGGGCGTACGGTTGCTGAGAGACCTGGTGGTGGTCTGAATATAAGGAGCAAGATGATTAGAAAAAGTTCATGACTCATTTTGAGATTCTCCAGAATTTTTTTGTGCTCATCTTGCATTCAGCAAACATCAAAACAACATACCTAGACTGATTCATCCCAGACCCTAATAGATCATATCGAGTACTAGCAGCCTTCACCTCATCAGCAGTCATTTTAGGTTTGTTACCTCCTCGTGAAGGAGGAGATCCCATAAGTCCCAACCACTTCATCATAGCTTCCTCCTGTTCAGACACATCTCCTTGACTCTTATTACTATTGAAATTATTGCTATTGCTGTTCTGGATGTTACCACCATCACGGCCATCGCCTGATTGCATGTCCTCTATATCACGAGCATACTGGTTTCGATTCAATGATGCTTGTTTAGCAGTCACATTCTGTGCAGCTGTCAGTGCACTGTTTATGATAGGGTTTGGTCGGACCATGTTTGCGAAATAGTCGGTTTGAGGTGCTAGTGTTGTTGGGACAAATACAGGAGCCATTGGATTTGTTGGTGAAGAAGTACGAGTGGGGTGCTGGAAAGATGGATATGCTGACCGTTGTGCCATGCTATGAGGAGAGGCAGATTGAGCTCCACCGTTACCCCAAGGTGATTGTTGTAGATGTGGTGGAGGCAATTGCTGTACGTTACTACCACTGGCCGATTGTGGCATAAAGGTGGTACTAGCTTGCTGAGCAGCGACTGGTTGTTGAATAAAGGTACCGTTACTGTTGTTTCTATGAGGACCTGGCGCCCACATGGCAGTCTCATCGACATCTTCATCCTCTGCGTCCATCATTTGAACATCACGTCGAGCAGGTGATGTTTCTTCTGGACGTGTCAACAAAGCCTTGCTGGTAAATCCGAATGATTTGGTTGGTGATATGGATGCCGTAGTTCCTGCACTAGGAGTTATGGCAAAGTAGTCATATTCGTTTCCATCAGGTGAGGATCTTATAGCATGGTGTATTGTTTGCTTTTCCTAAAAAGTGACAACCGAAAAAGTTAGTATCAGGGTCCTAGGCCAAAAACATGTCTGAAGCGGGAAAATGTAGCTCAAATGACACACTGCTTTACTCACTCTACATAATTGCTTGGCAAGTCCAATGATTTGATGAGCTCGAATCATATTCTCGTCGTCTTCTGATTGACGAGAGGAATGTGCAGCACTCACCACCATATCAACTAGATCATTCTGTTTACTACCATCCATGACATCATCATCACTATTTACAGGAGTGAATGTAGCAAAATCTACATCTTCACTCAAGAAGGTCGATTTAGTCACATCTGCATCACTCGAGTCGTTCAACGTTACGGCACTCAATCCATTGAGTGCATCAGCTAGAGCTGTCCAAGCAGTTCGAGTTATTAGGGCTGCATCATTTACAGTCAACCATTTAACTACTAGTTTAAGGGCTGGGAGATACTTGGCGCTTTGCTTGAGAGCATCTGGAGAAGTTGGTGGTGGAGCTACGGCAAAGGAGAGAGCTGAGTTGGTACTTGATCCAGTGGTGACGAATTTACCAGCGACCAGGGTTGATATGGTTTGGATCATTTGAGACAAGAGTTCTTCTACAGCTGCCATCATTCGGTTGTCGAGATTCATCTTCATGGTAATGTCTGCAGACGAAGCCATATAAAGACATCCGATGGATACAATAAAGACTTGCGTCAAGATGGAAGACGATATGGTGCCCTTCTTGACTAGATTCTCTCTAAATGCATTGCTGACTACTCCCTTTGCTTCATTCACAGGTGTTCTAGAAAACGAATTGAGAGTGAGACACAAGAAGGTGGCCTTAACAATGGAAGATGTCGTCACCGAGTTCACACTTCAATAGAACTTACTTGTGGTCTAGAGAAAAGACAGCACCATGAAACGCCAAGAACAAGTCAACAAACTTGGAGTAGTCTGACCGACCATCGGGAAGTCTTTTACCACTGGCTTTCTGCAGCAAGATCAGGAGATTATCTCTGGCAGCCGAAAATGGATGTGCCACCAGTAAACTACGTATTTGAGGAGAAAAAGGAGACACTTTTAGACGCGTACAGGATACACACCCTGGCAACCTGCTTCCGTTTAAGTCGACTGTCGTTCATACCTTCTGAGATAATGCTCGACTGCTCCAAGTTCGTTTCCTTCAAGGGATTCGACGACAGCGAGTTGATTATGAGGATTTCCGTAAGCAGGAGCTAATTGTGCTGCCAGGCGGTAAAACAGTTTGGCAGTACTATAATTCTTTTCTTTACGATCAGAGTAGAACTCTTTGTATCGGGCTAGTGCAAAAAAAGCAAGGCTTAAGTTAGTGGATGTTTGAGAACTACTATCAAAGACATTTCCGCGGGCGGTGTAAGTCAGCATGACGTGTAACATACTTATATCACCCAATTGCAAGAGAACTCTATGACACACGAGTGTAGCTCTGACCTGAGTCTCAGCAGAGACAGTGTTTTTAGATATTGTCGCCTTTTGACGTGCAGCATCTGCACCATTTGGTTCCGTGCCGAGACGATTCAAGACTAGCTTTTCGACTATATCCAGATCGTATTCGGTCTTCAATTTCCGTAGCAAGTTTAGATAGAAGCCAGCCGATTCCATCAGGAATTGATGGAAGGAAGCCGATAAGACTTTCAAGTCATTTTTACGTTCTTTGGCAGCAGCCTTGTCGTCGACACCTGAAAGACCCTAAGTAATGAGAGAGGAGCGTATGAGATGCGTGCATCTGAGGCCAAACGATTCCAGACGTTGGATGTGCAGTGACTGAACATACGAGACGAATACGTTTCCGAAAGTCCTCAATGACTCTATAGTGGACGGTCTTCCATAGGATTGCGTCAACATCCTTGTCAACAGCAAAGTCCAAATGTCTAATTAGAATATCCGCAAACCCATCTCTGACTCTAAACGAACAAAAGTTTGTTGGTTTGACGTTGAATCCCAATGTGTTGCGAGTCTGTTTTGGGCACCTTGTTCGTAGAAGAGAGACGTCGGGATCGAATTGAGGATGAGTCTTTGATATGTCACGCAGTTCCTTGTCTTGTCTATTAACACTGGAATGGAAGAAAGTCAGTGAATACGTTGAGCTTTTGGACAAAACCCCAGAAAAGACTCAAGAATGTTTGATCTCAGTTACCTCAAGAGGAGATCATGTGCCGTAGAGGAGTCCTTGGCCACAGGCATCATTAAGGTGTCGACGTATGCTTCTCTGGTCTTATGAAACCAGTTGGTGATGTGTCTGTGATGTCGTAAACCAAAGTATGAATTTGAAGTTTTGATTTATTTAATCATGAACCACACTATGAAGGCAACTACGACGTGTATTTACGCGTTCATATCCGGTTCCGACCCAAAATTGTCTTGTAAAGCATGGGGTTCTGTGTTTATAGGCTCAATTCTACAATTTCACAATTTAGAAGACAACCTACAAGATGACAGAACCAGACCTAGGAGTCTGGCTGCCTGGCTGCCTACTGCAGGTTGATAAAATACTCGAATTTTTGCATGATGATGGGATTTTGGATATTACAAATCTTGCTCACGTAGCCTTATGATCAACGCATTGGAATGTCTGCCAGCAATTTCTACCCTGTTTCGATACTAATCATAGTTGAGTAGGCTCTCCGTATTCTTTACAGGTCATTGCCAGCTCATAAGGAGAAACATCGTCCTTTTGCCATCATGATTTGGATGTAATCTTGACGAATCAACTGCATTTGGCCAACTCACAATGTTACCAGAAGTGAATCCAATAACGACAATACGTCCCCTTCATAGCAATGCTAGAGTGGAAAATCGTGGGTTGAGTGTTGATAACTGACACTTTGACAAGTAATACCTGCTCAGCCCAGACATCGCCACCACCTTCGGATCCAAAGACTTGTTCGCCGACTTTGAAGTTTGATTGATTTGGTCCTACTTCAGTAAAGACACCGGCAAACTCGAAAGTTGAAAGATATCAGTAGACAAGCTGTCAAACAAGAGAATTAGAGGATACAAGACATTTTCCGTACCTGATAACAAGTAAAGAATGGAAATGTAAGTTTGAATTGATGTTGTCCCATGATTTGAAATCCTTCATAGAACTCTAATACAGTAGCGAGAATCTTTGACAATGACAAGCGGCGGGTTATATGAGTTTGCAAAAACTTGATTTTCACAGAGAAGAGATTTTTCTTCTGCTCACTGAGTTCAAAGAAGTTCATTTTGATAACAATACAAAACATGTTTGATGGCCACTTCATCCTTTCCCTTCCACCTTGTTCTTCCTACACTTGCTCACCTTTACCATCAGCCCATCTTGAGGACAGGTGCGGTCAGGCACTTGCTTTAGTGTTAATTCAGACGGACCTGAAAGCCACTTCTCGATATTGTATGCCTTCATTGCTTTGGGTTTCTTTGCGTCAAAATGTTAAATTCAGAAATTGGTGCGACATGACTCGTTTTGTTGGTTGAAGCGTCAATGCTACAGCGAATACCGATGTAAAAATTATAGGATTTGAAGAAGCTTGGGTCACTTCCAAAACCACAATCGTTCGAAACCCTTGTACACTACCTTCCTTCAGAATTCAGCATGCACGCGTTAGAAACCAATGAAGGCGAAACATGCAAAAGTGAAAATGTGATGTCCGAACCGAGTATAGAAGTTTTTCTCAGGTTTTCTTCACTTTTGATCGTCGTTCATCTCATTCACAATATTTGCCGACAACTCAACTGCGAGACACCATCTCCCTACTGATCACATCGATTAAGTGCTAGGATACGTGGAAAATGATGGATTCATGGACGTCAAAACTCTTACTCAGTAGCTCTGGCATCGCCGAAACAGTGGAACGAATATGTAAGAGCGGCCCTTTTGCGCGGTCATGCGGTCATCAACAACTCACTCATCGTAAGTACCTTAAACACTCTCTTACAATGATGTAAGGATATACAAGTAATTAGCTCCTCCCTTCCACCACCACCGTCGCCTTTGTTACCACGTCATTCAACTTTGGCGAATTCTGAGAGCCTACTATGCTTAAACGTGTAAAAACTTGTCAAAACAATTATACCTTTAATGCTGAAGATACAACCATTGTCAGCATCAAAATGCCCTCGTGTTGTTCAATGACGCGATTCACACTCCCAAAAAAACCGCAACATGGCCAAACCAATGGCAGCAGCTATACGGGCCGCGTCAAGGACGTACATGACTACTGGCCTCTCCCTGGAAACATCTAATGGTCTAATAGGAGCTATTGGCAATACGCCATTGATTCGTTTGTCCAAGCTTTCGCAAGAAACAGGATGTGACATTCTAGGCAAAGCAGAGTTTATGAATCCAGGTATGAAGAGCTTCATGTGCTGATATGACAGTACAGGCCCGTCAGCTGATCTTAAAATCTGTTTCTTCTATAGGTGGTTCGGTGAAAGATCGAGCAGCATTATATGTCGTTAAGGATGCTGAAGAACGAGGTCTCATCAAACCAGGAGGAACTATAGTAGAAGGAACAGCTGGAAACACTGGAATTGGGCTTGCTCATGTTTGTAGAGCGAGAGGATATCGTTGTGTGATGCAAGTTACAACTTCTTCGCCCTCTATTTTGGTTGGATTACTAACACACGTTTTTCATGAAAAATAGATACATGCCAAATACTCAAAGTCAAGAGAAAATCGACCTGTTGAAGATGCTGGGTGCTGATGTACGCCCTGTGCCTGCTGTAGCCTTCACAGAACCAACCAATTACAACCATCAGGCTCGAGACTATGCCAAGTCAATTCCAAATGCTGTTTGGACCAACCAGTTTGATAATGTAAGCTCGTCTAAGATCGTTTCTGGTTCGCTTGAATGTTTTTGGTACTGGTCAAGGGCCTGAAATGAACATTACTCTAACAAGCCGTATCGCTAGACGGCAAACAGGAGAGCTCACATAGAAACAACAGGTCCCGAAATATGGAAGCAAACTGCTGGAACAGTAGATGCCTTCACATGCGCTACAGGAACAGGTGGTACCCTAGCAGGAACAGCTCGCTTCCTCAAAGAGGTGTCTCGTGGACGAGTCAGAAACTACCTGGCAGATCCACCAGGCTCTGTCCTAAACCAGTACAAAACAAACGGAGTTCTCGAACGTACCGGTACGACTTCCATTACCGAAGGAATTGGTCAGGGACGTCTTACAGACAACTTGAAGGACGATATTGAACATAATGTTGACGAAGCTTTCACTGTCCCCGACGAAGAAAGCATCAAGATGGTGTTTAGGTTGCTGGATGAAGAAGGATTGTTTGTTGGTGCTTCGTCGGCGCTGAATGTGTGTGCTGCTGTTGAGGTGGCTAAACGGTTGGGGCCTGGACATCGTATTGCTACTATAATCTGCGATGGTGCGTACAGGTATCAGAGTAGACTATTTAGTCGCAAATGGATTGAAAGCAAGGGACTGTTAAATGCTATTCCAGAGCATCTGCACAAATACATTAGTCTTGCATAAGCCATCATGTTTGGAAAGCATTATTGAATAGACTTATACATTAAATGAAGCTCGGTAGTGTCTTTGATTAGACTGTTTTGGGTTCCCGCTTCTGAAAGACGACGTCAACAGCTATGTAAGCGTTCCGTCATTGTCACATCTAACTCTACAGTTTTTTACAACTTCGCATTCGAAATGATGTCAGAGGCAATGAGTGGTGTATTATGAGTATAGAGCTTTTCATCCAGCAAAGCAAATATTAAATACAGACACAACTATCATTCTTTACAGATTTTTGCCCGACACGTGATTACATGACAAGGTTGCGGGCAATGAATGCACATGGTGGCATGGCGAGTTTCTGATCTACGACTCTCAGCATCACGCCAAAGTTGGAGTATGTCATCCCTTGTACCTCAGAAGTCGAAGTGCAAAGACTGACATGTGTTCTAAAGTTGGGGTGGAAAAGCATGTGAGAATGGATTTGGAAGCTCGACAAGGCGAAAAAGGGGCTATCAAGCATACCTCCAAACATATCCAGTGATTGTATCACGAACACCAGTAGGTGGTTCTAGATTATCCGCATAGCTCAGATCAAGAAGGTCAAGTAATTCATTTTCATGCTGGACGTCCAACACATCCAGAACCTTCTGGGAGCCCGATACCGCCACCAGCAGCGAAGCCATACCTAATATCCCATCTCCGGCAGTATTCACTTTGGTAACCACGACATCTTCGATTTGCGCCGCGAGTGATTTAGCAGCGAGTATCAAGCAGGCAACCATTACAGTTTGTGGTTGCAAAGCGAGTGGTAGTTTGTCACTAACGAGACCTCTAGCAGCTGTAGCATTAACCGAAGACGTTGCTGGCTTATTATTATTCCCTAAAAGCATCCTATATATTATCCTTGTGAGGTTGAAGGAACCATGATTGGATCCAATGGAGAGCAGCCAGAGCATGGACGTTACAGCCAGACGTTCCACTAGTGCAGGGTTGAGTTCGCCTGAGCTGGCTTCAGTGAGCTTGGTTTTGAATGTGTTGAGAGCAGGTCGAGTCTTGTCCAAGATCTTTTGCCATTGCATCAGGAAGAGGTGTTGAGCGAGTTTCTTGTCTTTGATTATTATACGTGAGCCTGGTGGTCTCGTCAAGGGGACGGGACTAGATGCTTTGTGCACATCTAGCAAGACTGGTGATTTATAATGTGTTAGCCAAAGAAAATGATAATGCGTCGATCGAGGCATTGGCAGTGTTTAGAAAGAAAAGGAGAGAGCGAAATGACTTATTATTACCAGTATGTATCTGCACCGACATTGCAGTGATGATTCTCATCCTCGTACCCTCGAGTCCAGACCTCATTGCCTTCGAAAGCATGGATATTTTCTGCAGTTCGTTGCATTGCAGATAGGCAGACAGCGTGACGAATATATCAGTTGGCAGCAGTTCAAGGCCATGCTCTGATTCCATCATTGTTATTGTCTTGTGTCGTGTGGTTTTAGTTCATGCAAGTTTCGTTTTCCTCCCACGATCATTTGTTTGGCATGGGCTGAGCCACACGGCTGCTGATGTGATGGCGATTGCCTCAAAACCAAGAAGTTTCCAGGATGACGGAATGCCCAACAAGACACCTTTCCTGAGCGGCCAACAATTAACGAAAACAGTTTCAAGTCTGATTTGTGTGGGTATTGAACTAATCCCAGTATTTCACAATGGACAATTTTAAATTTTATATGTATTAAGCTTTTCTCGCGTCAGAGGGAAGCTTGACTACACAACAGAGCCAAATCTCCAAGAAGGTTTACATACAATTGTATAAGTTATAAGTACCCGTGACCGAATGACATAATACGTAGAAACTGATCTTACCAGGATCAACAGTCGATCGTCGAAAAAGTTTACAAACCATTGTAAAATATAACTAAAAGTAAAAAATGCTATGTCCCCATCTAAACAGCTCTGTATAGAGTATATGAGTCTGTCCATTTGTGCTGAGTAGACCACTGGCAACTTGCAATAAATCCAAAGCCTATACCAAAACCTAAGTATGCTTGTTCATAAAGATAAGCCAATCGATATTGCTTCACCCTTCACATGAAGCCCTTGGTCTTGGTTTGAGACACGAAGCATGAGCCGATGTTGGTATCTACTTCCGAGACTGCACGTGTTCCAACATCTGCTTGCTTGAGCCAAACAAGACAGCGCTAACACCACCACCTACATAAGCTGTTTTATCATGTTCATTGCAGTAAGCTGAACATGTTGAGCGTTGGTAGGCGTATATAAGGCGTGTTTCAGCAACGTCCTTGAGTTGCCCCAACAAGAGAGAGACTATCCGATATGTCACTCCGAGCCATTGTGAATGTAGTGCTTCTAGCTTTCGAATGTATTCACACGATACATCGTTTACCGAGCTGGTTCTGTGTGCCATCCTTGTTTTACGATGCTAGCAACAGAATCAAATGACGGCTTGTTGAGGGGCATTTTAGGCTCGATCGGTGCTGAATAATCTAAGAATACGACGCATTCTAAGTACAAGAATAGATTTCAGAGTTCCTCAAATACGAGATGGATGTGTGGTCATTGTCTAAATGCGTAAATTTGAAAATGCTGAAAACTAGTAAGCATTGTGAAGAGGAGAGGCACATACCTGATGGTAGCAAGAGCATTAAAAGTTGATTTTCAGTTTTCTTGTATCCATATACGGTATGATTTACTCTGCTGCAAGACCAAGGATGAGGACACTCGTCGTTGCGTAAGTTGCGTACCGAACACCAACAAAGTCGAAAGTCACACTGCTGCTTGTATTTGGCCATTCACGCGCTGCAACGAGGAGGAAGGAGCCCAAACAACATACGTTTCCTTCTGCGGATCTTCTTAATATCGCTTGTTCTCGACGGGAGAGCATTCCAGTATTTATGCCCATTTATGCCCATACAGATATATTACGGATACACGGCCATATAGTCTTCCACAACGAACTCTGTGTCTCGTTTATTGAACCATTTGGGTCTTCCATCATACTCGCATTATACCCTGTTTGAGTTAAGAGAGTCTCCTACTATAGCCCACAGACATTCAATTCTTTAAAGCACGTTGATGTTTTCAGGCATATGTAAGCTATATTAATGAGGGTAGAGCTTCATAAAAAAGGCAACAAGAAAAGACTAACTACAGAATTACAGGGGGTATGCAAAAGTACACGTGATTATAAGACAAGGTTGCGGGCAATAAATGCACATGGTGGCATAGCAAGTTTTTGATCTACTACTCGTAGCATTAATCCAAAGTTGGAGTATGTCATGCCTTGGACCTCAGAAGTCGAAGTGCATAGATTTACGTGGGTTCTAAAATGGTGGGGAAAGTATGTTACGACGATTTTATATTTCGTAAAAAGACAGGAGGTTCTTCAGCATACCTCCAAACATATACGGTGATTGGATCGCTAAGACTAGTAGGTGGTTCGAGATTATCCGCATAGCTCAGATCGAGCATGTCGAGTAGTTCGAGTTCACGTTGTACATCCAATACGTCGAGGACCTTCTGAGCACCAGATACTGCCACGAGGAGAGAAGCCATACCTAAAATCCCATCATCGGTAGTATTTACTTTGGTAACCACAGTCTCTTCGACTTGTTGCGCGAGTGATTTAGCAGCGAGTATTAGGGATGCGACCATTACAGTTTGAGGCTGGAGAGCAAGAGGCAGTTTATCACCAACAAGACCTCTAGCAGCTGTAGCATTATCGGATGTTGGCATACTGGTATTATTATTGTTGCTCACCAAAATCATACGGTAGATTATTCTGGTGAGGTTGAAGGAACCATTGTTGGAGCCGATCGACAAGACCCAGAGCATCGATGTTACAGCCAGACGTTCTACTAATGCCTTGCTGAGAGTTGTCGAGCTAGCTTCAGTGAGTTTGTGTTTAAACGTGGTTATAGCAGGTCGAATACGGTTCAAGATGTTTTGCCATTGCATCAGAAAGATGTGCTGAGCGAGTCTCTTGTCTTTTATAATGATTCTGGAGGCTGTTGGTCTTGCCAAGGCAATGGGACTACATGTCTTGTGTACGTCTAATAAAACTGGTGAGGAAAAAAATGGAGTTAGCCATATGAAATAGGTGAAAGAATCGATGTATCAATCGGGGGGTCTTTCGACAACAGGAACAAGCTTAAGGTCTCACCACTATGGATCTGAGCAGACATACTAGCCACGATCCTCGCCTTGGTAGCAATTAGACCATTTCGGAGTGCCTTGGACGTCATGGATATTTTCTGGAGTTCGTTGCATTGAAGGAATGCAGTCAGAGTCACGAATATATCAGTTGGCAAGAGTTCAAGACAGTGTAGCTCGGCCATTGGATGTTGTTCTTGTCTATTGTAGTGTGAGAAATTAATATGCCATCCTTTCGCTATTTTTTATTGCTATAGGTTCCGATTATTAAAACTACAACCGTGTCACTATAAATGAGACTACTACAACTACTATCAAAACACGTCCCCGTGATATGCCAGTGTTTTGTGAAGTTGTCGATCTTGCGAAATCGGGTTTGTTTGTCGGACACCCGGCCAAACCCGTTTACGTAAAACCGTGGCGTTTCAAAACCTTATATTTTGCGACACTGCCAACCAGAACCGTGGAGAGGGCCTGTTCAAAGCTACCAGTCTAAGCTTTTCTTTGAATCGCAGGATGGAACTGGACTGATTCGAGTAAGATCAATGTGGAACTGTCCTCAAAATGACTTCTTCAACTCCCACAACCAGTATGCTTTTTTTCGCGTCAAAGTCGATCGGGCTACCAGGATCAAAACCAAAAGGTGCATCGGCAAGAAGGTTTTATATAATTATAATGTCCAATACTCTTGTTCATAACATAAATACATGCAAAGGATCAGCATCGTCGATCTTGACTTAGAACATTTTTATAGACAGAGAGTTAAGCACAACCAGAAGTGACGACATCACCATCAACACGGCAGCAATCTCCGGTGATATACGAGCCTGCCATGCAGCATACAGCAATCCACTAGCAAACGGAATACATATAGCATTAAATCCAAAAGCCCAAACCAGGTTCCATCTAATCTTATTCATAACGTGATGAGCCAGTCGATATGCTTCCAATACAGCCCATGGTCCTGGTTTGAGACATATAACATCAGCCGACGAGGTTGCAACATCCGATGCTGCATAGACCGAGATGCCGACATCAGCTTGGGCAAGACAGACAGCATCGTTAACTCCATCACCTACATATGCTATTTTATTGCGTTTGCCTGTTCGTAGCTTGTGGCTGCAGGTCGAGCATGTTTGAGCACTTTGAAGGCGTTTCAAGACTAGAGCCTTGCTTTCAGGAAGTAGAGCGGCGTGTACGTGGTCTTCTGGGATTCCTATAAGTCTGGCGACGTGATTGGCAGCGTCCCATCTATCACCAGTAATCATATGTACACATATACCACGAGAGTGAAAGGATGATACAACCATTTTGGCACTTTCGTGGATTTGGTCGGTAAGAGCCAATATACTTATAATATAGATACTCGAGTCATCACCATTGGTTTGACTTTTGGCGATATAGATCAGAGAAGCAGCCTTTACAGATCCCTGACTCAAGAATTGCGTAGCTTCCTTTTCGTAATTGACATCCAGATACTCTGCTCCAAGAACCTCCATCCAACTAGCAGATCCAAGATACAACGTCATATCATGGAAGCTACACTTGATTCCTCTACCAGGTATCTCTCTCGTCTCAACGACATCATCGTCTGTTCCGAAACGTGTGTCTTTTGCCCATGATGAGAAACATTTAGCCAATGGATGAGAACTATGTTGTTCAGCCTTTTCTATATACCATTTCAGTTCGTCCATCGTCATATCGGGGGCGAGAAGCGCGGTTTCAGACACTATTGGTGTGCCTCGAGTCAAAGTTCCGGTCTTGTCAAAGGCGATGGTAGTTGTGGGTGCAAGGCGTTCTATACCGTCACCACCAGTCTTGAATAAGATTCCCTTCTTAGCGGCGACCCCTATATTATGGAATGTGATTGGTCAATGTATCGACTCAGAGTTTGACTTTCTGAACAACAAAAAGAGACAGAGGTAACCCAATTGGAAGGTGGCTACTCACCAGTACCAACCATCACAGCACAAGGCACTGCCAAACCGAAGCCACATGGACATGCAATGACCAAAACACTGAAAAGGGAAGGCTTGTTAGCAACAAAAAACGCCCTCAATGAAAATCACGCAATTTCTCACCTAATGGCAAAGAAGAGTGCAAACACAACCGTATTAGACCCATCACTAATCCAACTCTCCGGCACCTTTCCACAGGCTCCCAGCACTCCCCATATCACAAAAGTACACAACGCAATCCCCACAACAGTCGGTGCAAACACTGAACTAATCCGATTAGCAATCCCTTCAATACTGGCTCGATTAGCTTGAGCTGATTCGACCATCCGAATAATCTTTGCTAGTGATGTATCAGATCCTACTCGGGATGCCTGAATCACCATTGGTGATTGACTATTGATGCTTCCACAGGATACTTTGGCTCCTGTTGTTTTATGTACTGGAACACTTTCACCAGTGAGCATACTCTCGTCGACGTATGAGCTTTCGGAGAGGACTGTTCCGTCACATGGGATTGCGGTATGGCTGCCAACAGACAGGATATCGTTTACGAGGATGGAGTCGGCTTGGATGGTTTCTCGTGCTTCATAAGGAGTGTTGTAGTTTACGATTCGTTCGGCAGTGTTTGGCTTCAGGTTGCCTAGTGCTTTCAGGGCATTCGTTGTTGATGTTCGAGACCTACAATGAGTCATAATATCAGTAAGGCTGATTGCAAAAGCGACACATTGCAGACAAAAGGCAAAAAGAGAAAGCTAACGAAGTAGATACCAGAATTCCAGGTATTTTCCAATAAGCACAAACGTAATAACAAACACCGACGTATCAAAAAACGGATCAAATGACGCCTGACCCGTAGCAGACAGACATATAGATACTATCGAAGCAACATACGCCGACAAAGTAGCCAAGCTTATCAAAACATCCATATTGGCAGCCCGTGTCTTGACGATAGCATAATAAGCACTCTTCATAAACGGGAATCCACATCCAAATTGTATCAATGTAGCAAATACAGCCATGATGATATCCATTCGTTGAACACCACCGATAGTGTAGTGCATCCAGTGAGAGTATGGGTTTGATGATGGTAGTACCAGAGGCAACATTCCAGCCAGGGCAGCGGGTATGGCAAATATTACAGCTGCGAAGACTCGATGTCGTAGTGTTCGTTTGTCTTCTTCTTGACGTTTAGAGAGATCTGCAACACTCGGTCCAGACAAGACCGTAGTGGCGAAACCGAGTTCGCTCATCTTTTGAGCTATAGTTTCTGGAGTCCTTGATGCATCGTGTATGACAACAGCATCATTTGTCTATGTTTGAAGGGAAAAGGTTGGCGTCAGAGTCGCGCTTTTGCAGAAGAGCGTTGAAGTGGGTTTGAGCGTTTTTTTGTCTTTCGCTGGATCTTACCAGCAAATTCACCATACACGACTTGACTCCGTGAACTTGTTTCATAGACTGCTCGATCTTATCAACACAAGATGCACAACGCAGTCCTTTTACCGACAACCGAGTGGTGATTGTCTTGCCTTCAGACTTGTCATCGCGACTCTTTACGACAACTTTGACGGTATCAGAAGTTGGCTGAAAGAAGAAGAAAATTAGGATTAGCTCACGCCAGAAAAAATAACTCAAGTCTTATTGCATACCTCTTTGTCAGCAATCAGAGTTTGGGACGACTCACTACGCTCCGACGGCTGCCTGCTAGACATGTCGCGTGAATCGCGAGCAACGAGATGCATACCATATCCAGCATCGTCTACAGCGCTAATAGCAGCCTTCCAGTCAAATTCTTGAGAATGCGATATAACTCCTCCAGGAGCACTTCCTGGTGTCGGTTCATAAGCGAGACGGAGCGATACTACTCCGGGTACTTGTGAAAGCACTGATTCCAACGTCCGAATGCATGCATCACACGATACGTCTTCGAACGTGACGGTGATGTGTGCCATCTTGTTTTTGCAGTGTAAGCAACAATTTCAGAATGACGACTTGTTGAGGGATTGTTTAGGCTCGATCGGTGGTGTGTTATCTGGTTCAAATGAAGCTTGATTATTTTACAATGGATGTGAGCGTTCTCTGCATGCATTGAGTGTGTGGTTTTCTTCTAAACCCATATATGCTAAACAATCAAAGCGAGAAGCTGTGACGAGGAGATGGGCTTACCTGACGGTAACAAGTTTTCTCTGAGTTTTTAGTCAGCTTACTTGCATTCGCATACACGATATGATATCTTGTCTTGACGGTGAGCGCATTCTGCCCGCACATCATTGCTGTCGGCAATAAACTCTCAAAAAAAGAAACAGCAAAATCAACTCGTCTCTTTGGCATTCACGTGGGCTGCAAAGAGACAGAGTAGAGGGGGAGAGCAGCAAACATCTCACTAACTGGATCTTGTTAATATCACTTCTTCGTACGGAAACCATGCCAACATTCGTGACAAAGAACTTTAAGCTTGCGTCAGGAGTTGAACTACCCATTCTTGAGATCGAATACGTAACATATGGTAAGCCTATTTGCAATTTCAACCGAAGATATAGCTCACAATTCGTACTATAAGGCAAGCTGAACTCTTCTGGCGACAATGGAGTGTTAACGACCCACGGTTTCACATCAAGGTATGGATTGTTGATCTACTCAGGAGCCCAACTTATGAGCTAACTTTAACCAAATAGTCACTACATTTTGGATACTGAAGCGTATGGCAAAAAGTACTCAGGCTGGTGGAATGGAATTGTTGGCGAAGGCAAGGCTATAGACACCAAAAAGTACTTTGTGGTGTCATCAAACATGCTCGGTTAGTTCTTTCAGCACTCTTGTCTATCAGATTTTGGCCTTTAGCTGAAGCTATGTTACGTTACAGGCAGCAGTTACGGATCAACATCACCTCGCAGCACCAATCCCGCAACCAAGAAGCCGTATGGACCTAGTTTTCCAGATATCACGTTGTCGGATATTGTTGCAGCTCAAATGGCACTATTGACGAGCTTGGGAGTAAAGCATCTGTTTGCAGTCGCCGGAGTGTCATGTATGTTAACGAGTCTTGTGACGAAACGCTCCGATTGTTTTAGATAACGGATAGGCAAATATCGATTCATTCTTGCAACAATTTCATAAACTTATTTCTTTACTAGATGGTGGTTTCCAAGCTTTTCAATGGGGCGTTCAGTACCCTGAATTTGTCAGTGCTATCATCCCTACTGTAACGAATTCCAAAACCTTCATTCCCGCAGGCGCTGAAGAGGGACTACGAAAACAATTAGCAACCGATCCAAACTGGAATGGTGGTGACTATTACGACATTGAAGGCGGAATCTCGCAAGTCATGATTGCGAACCGTTTGAACACACTGAAACAGTATGGGGTGGATACTAGTCTGGAAGAACGATTAGGATCTGCTGAAGCTGCACAAGCTGCCATGCAGACAAGTGCTGAGGATTGGGCCAAGGAGTTTGATGGGAACTGTAAGTGCATCTCCTCCAGTCTCATTCTGATGTCGGTACGAGTATCTAATATACCCAATCATGCGTAGCAATGTTGACCTTGTTCAAGGCCATAACCACGTATAACGCTGAAGCTGAGTTCTCAAAGATGAAGGATGTCAAGGTTTTGCTAGTATTGTGTACCACAGGTAAAGGTAGCATTAATGTGGACCCGTTATTGAGATATAATTGCTAAGGCAATCTTACTTTGGTTGTATAGACAAGGTGTTCCCTCCAGCTCTTGGGGGCCCAATCATCAAGGCGTTAAAAGATGCCGGCGTAAAGGATGCAACGTACTATGAACTTGATTCTATTCATGGGCACTTAGCATCGACTATTGATATGGCTTGGGAGCCAACTCTACGAGATTTCATTGCTCGCGTCGAAAAAGAAGTGAAGGAACAATAATGATTGTAATGAGTTTCATAAGCTAGTCACTAAAGTAAATTCCTTTTCTCGGAGTCGTGAAGCCTTGACTTTGGTTCTTTCTATGGTGTCAGGTCTTCGTTACTGTTGGGTACCTAGTCGTCATAAGGGAGAACAGCTGGCCACACCGAAACAGTTGAATTGTGTCTATTTCATTGCTCTCTGTATATAACATGCGCTGTCTGTTATTGGTTTCTGTAAACACGCGTATTGAAAAGGGAGAGAAAAATCATATGTAAAGGGTGCCATTCTTCAACACAAGTAACAGGTAATAGTTTTCCTTCTCTTATCCTTCAACCTCAGGAATGATGCATATTTCAATAATCCCCTTCCTCTCCATCACTTTCAAAGTCACTCTCGTCTTCACTGTCATAGTCTACAGCAGAGATGTGCCTTGTTAGACAAACACGGCCGACTTGAGTCAAGAGCGGCCATCACAACTCACCACCAGTCATGGGATGATATTCACCACAATGAGTACAATATCGAGCTTGATGACTATCCCTACAATGCTCGTGGTATTCGAGCCAGCCACAATGTACAGTAGCAATAGGCGGCAACAGCGCACCATGAGGTGCTCTCAAAGCATCTCGTCGAGAGATTTCTTTACAAAGCTCACAAGTAACGACATTGATTGGTGTTAGAGTAGTCAAATCTTGCCAGAATTGACCCACTGTGATTGTAAATATGTGGCGTAATGTGTAGTCCATAGGCGGACGCTCTACATCACGGAGTATAGCTGGCTTTTGTGGTGGTTTGGTGACGTTTCGAGAGCTCGAGTCCTTCTTAGCTTTTTTGTATGCCTGTGAAGGAAGTAACGGAAGGAGACGTGTTTCTAACAAATATCGATTTGATATGCAACACTTGTGATGAACAAACTCACCTTCAAACGGCTCTCATATGCACCCAACGTTTTCTTTCTACGAACATCCTTTTCGTTATTCATTTCAGCAATACTACCCCACTTTTCCTCAGCGAGCTCCTTAGCGAGAGCATCACTGACAATCTCGTGAGAATTGAATGGGCCCTGGTTGTCTGTAACATATATAGGCATCCTTTTGACATCCTTTTAGGTAAGCAAGTACTTGTTCATGGCTGCACTCTTTGAGAGGATGCCAAATCGTTGATTATCTCGAAGACATGCGTTACAGACCCGTTCATTGGTGAATACGAATATCTGATTCGCATAGTCTTGACATTTGGAGCATTACTGAGTAGCGACGAGAGAAGAAAAGTATTGTCTAACAAGCCAAAAGTGTCAAAACATTAAGCAAACACACAGAGACGTTGAAACGAATCTCACTTGAGAGTAAAAGGCAACCTATCAACCTTTGCAGTCTCTTTCTCAATCCAGGACAGCATGCTCTCCTTCCTATCTTCCTCTCGTTCACTACCTGCAATTACTCCTCGAAGATGTTTCAAGATTCATTTGAAAAAGCTGTCATTGTAGTAATCCAGACTTGTATATAGGCTCTTAGAGACCTTTGAGAGCGCTACGTAAGCGGGAATATGCAGGTAGTCACCAATTGAAAAGAGTAGCTCTAATGGCAATCCATTCAAAGTATTTTGTGGTGCCATTTGTACAATATCCTTCGTATCGGCAGTAGCATCCTTCGGAGCCTCAGTAGATATAGCTGCCTTCTTGCTCCTGGTTTGCATCTTGCTGGCAATGATGAGTTTGCTGCTGAGTTTCAAACTGCGTCAAAATCACGAGTAAAGCGTCGAGTCCAACCACGCACCAGCAACAACGCTTCTTTCACCCCTTTTTTGGAGAGTTTCCATGGTTTTCGGATATCGTGGTTCATTACAAAGTCTGTTTCGCTATTCTATTGTTTCTAATCGCGTCACTGCTAGCAGGAACAAACATAACAGACCTTGATGTTGTGTCAATGCCATCTGTATGCTATCTGGTATATATTTTGGCTAAATACACTTATTCACAAGCAAGAAATACAATAATACACAAGGGAGCATTCATTATTCGAGCCATACACGGCTTCGGAATCTCAGCACGTTTCACTTTACTGATTGTAAACACCTTCCACTTCCTCCTCATTGAAATCTCTATCACCATTATTCTCGTCACTAACATAGTCTATCAAAGTGTGGAGGAGGTGTCTCGTTATCATTAACTGGAGACTCTGACAATCAGTGGTTGGAACACATTGAACACATGGCAACACTCCTTGAACGTGAATGTAATGGTCGAGTGTTGTCCGAATTTGGCCTCCGCAAGTCTTCCACATAACAGCAGTGAGCATAGTATTGAGTTTGTGGCCACCAGTCTCAGCAAACTTGAGCACTTTGATTTTAAGGATCAATATGTATCTAGTGAGGCGATAGAACGCGCATTACCAACATACGAGCACAGACAGGCGTGAAGATATGTCTGAATATCTACAACTCTACAGAAATCCCAATGATACAAGAGACCTTGTCTGCGTATGTTGGCTCTGGTAATATGCTGCTGTGGACTGCCAGAAGAAGGACAATCCTGGTGCATATGTTCGAAGACTGAAAGCAAGACTTGAAATAGACGCTCAACAATCTTGAAGGATCGTAAAGAGGAGAATGGAACGGGAAGTTACTATATGTTGTTGGTAGTGTCCTGCTTTGGAAGTAGTTGAGGAAATTTTGTAAAGAGGAAGGTATAAAGGAAGCGATGTTGAAAAGTTGAAAACCCTAGTAGGTTTATGCTCATAAACCGTGTTTGATGAAATCCCCGTAAAACCATACTTGTGGTCGCAAACCCGTAGAATAGAAACATATCCGCCCATAACAACATGAAGTGCATCCCGAAATTTGCTTTTGAAACACACTATATTCAATAACACTCACAGCTATTTTAATAATCGTCTCCTCGTGACACAACTTCCTTGCATGTCGGCCTAAGTATAATAGTATGCTAAAAAATACGATCAGAATCTTGGTGAATACGAACACAGTCACATAATACTATACACATACCTCATATTGAGCTGTATACGATCCCTTGATATCAACCAATGGAGGATAATCCGTGACTGCACCAACATCAACAAGATTCTTCAGAGCGAGAAGATACTTGCTATCATAGCGATCTAAGTAACGACGGCAGAATGGAAGGGTGTTGAAGTGTTTTGTTATCGTTGCTAATAGTTGCTTGGCCCTTGGTAATCTGTTAAAGATAGTCCCAAAAGAAGAGTGCGTGAGTGAGGACAAGTGTCACACATCGATTGGTAGCGCAAGTAGATATTTTTGCTACTACTCACCTCAATGGAATATGTCCAGCATCAAAAGTCTTTGCGTAATGACTGCACTCCATATCTTCGTGGACATATCCTTTGCCAGTTGAGCCGAATGTCTCGATAGCGAATATCTCACCCTCCTATAATCATTGTCATGTGAGTTTCGATAAAGAAAATGGAACCTAAACTATATGAATGAAGTACCTCCATCTTGGTCTGTTCACCACCTTTCACAATAGGAACAGTCTTCCCACCATGTATTTGGTAACGTCCAATAGAGTGGCCATTCAGATTTCGAATTGATTTGACTTGGTAAGTCTTGTTTCCAATCTCGACTTCGTATGATTCCATGGCTTCTTGTATAGCTGCACCAATATCTCCTAGTCGGACATCAATACCAGCTTCCTAATAAGTTGAGATAAAGTCAATGATACTGCGTTCGACAGTATTCACATGAAGATGGCCGCACGATTGCTGGTTTTTTTTTGCTGGCACTAACAGGACAAATCGACGACGTACCCTGATACCTGTATTGGTAGCATCTTTGACAGCAGCCAACAAATTGTCATATACAGGGTCAAATGTCATGGTATAAGCACAATCCACAATACGTCCTGCGAGGTAACAGACGCGAAAGAAGTAATTAGTCTCAAACAGGATGGTTTCAACAAACTTCATTCACATACCATTAACATGAACTCCGAAATCAACCTTCATAACATCCTGTTGTTGCAACACAGTCTTATCCCCAGCATTAGGAGTATAATGTGCAGCAACGTGATTCAACGAAACACCAGTTGGGAAGCCAATGCCAGACTCGAATCCATTCTCTTCCACTAGCGTACGAGTACCATTTTCAATCAAGTCGACGATCTCAATCATGGACATGCCAGGTTTGATTGTCTTTTGGGCGTATTTACGGACTTGACGATGTACTTCGGCTGCACGTCGTATGTCATTGTAGTCGTCCGCTTGTAGACGTTCGAGGTGGCGTTTTTCTTCTGATGTTGTGCGGTATGAGTTTCTACGAAGAAGAAAGGATTGTGAGAATGAAAGTGTCTTGAGGCTAAAAGGAACACATCATCGACTCTACGTACTCATTCAGGTACTCGCAGATTTGACCTTCAGGATAGACGTGATTGGGGAAAAGTATGGAAACAGGTATAGTTGGTGGTTCGGTCTGTATCGGTATGCCTTTGGAGTCTTTAGCAATAGTTGGAGTTGCTGGTGTTCCATTGGTTGATACGTTGGCAACACCATTGGTACTAGCAGCACCTAAGCAACGATGAGCGTCAATAATCATGATCCAATATCGATATCTCTTATAATGAGGATCGCACCCTTCTTCTTCTTCTTTTTGGGTTTCTTTTTCTTGGCTGCACCTGCGAGAGAAAACAAGGTTTTTGATGTCAATAGTAACGTCTCAATACAAGCACAAGAGCAGGATATATAATGATTTTCTCCACCCTTTTGAAATGTTTACCTGTAGCGGTAGCGGCAGCACCAGCTTCAACTTCTTCCTCATCATCATCGCTAACGTCCTCAACTACTTTTTCATGGTTTCCATTGAGAGCCAGCTTGTCTGTTACGGCAGCTATCTCGGTATCGGTAGCTGGAACATGCATTGCGTGCTTCTTGACACTGATATTCAATGCACAATATCCTTCCTCGAGTGTTTTCTTTTGTCACTGATCCGCAATGTTACGGGTGGTGACTACGAGGCAATTCACATTAAAAAGAAGCGAGATCGACGTATCATACGGATGCTATTTATTCATATAAGCTAAAAAAGCGAGAAATACACGTCTCTTGTCACTCTTTATTGACTTCATTGCAAGGTATGTGTTGTTGTATCGGCTAAAAACGTTCAAATCAAAGAATCAGAATTAAGCGCATATTTAGGATCGATTGCCAGTCACTTGGGACGTGATTTCATTCGTATCTTTACCATAAGGTAAGTGCTGTCTCTTGGTTGCTCCAAGAGTTTGAAGCTCAACACCAACATCACCCTCCACCATTAGAAGGATGACAAGACTAAGTATCCTGAGCAGGCATTGCCTTCATAACACATCCCATACCCCATATATACCGAGCACTCTCTTCCGCCATCTGATACATCAACCAATAACAACCAAACAACACCAACATCAACGTCACTTTACATCAACCCCAACTCTCCTCTCGCGCCGCAAACGAAACTTTTACGAGGTACTGGGCTTACAAACAGACGCAGACAAGAAGGCCGTAAAAGCCCAATTCTATAAACTATCTCTCGAATACCATCCAGACAGAAACTCGGCCGACGATACCGCCCATGCCAAGTTCCTAGAGATATCCGAGGCGTATTCTACTCTAGGCAACGATGCAAAGAGAAGCGAGTACGATCGTAGTCAGGCCGGGTATCGAGCTGCTCATGGATATAGTAGTCACACTGGACATTATGGGGCACCACAGACACAGGGTACAGGGCCTCGTCGCGGTCCACGTACATATAGAGAAGAGATCAATCCGCAGGATTGGATTCTGCATCGTCGTAAACACAACCATACTCATAAACCGGGTGAATCGGCGTATAACTATACGGCACATCAGGATGGACATTATGGATCTGCTGCTGAAGAGGCTCGTGAAAAGGCCAAAGAGAGGAGACGCGTGAAGAACATGTATTATAATGAAATGTTTGAAGCAGAACGATCTCAGCCGAGGTTTGTGACTGTGTTTGCTCTTGTCTTGTTTGGGTCGTTCTTCTTGCTGCATTCTGGGAGTATGTTGTTTATGGAGGAAAGTGGAAGGGGTGGTAGCAGTGATAGGTATAACTGTAGTAGAAGGAGGAGTAGTGTCATAGATATAGTAGAGTTGGAAGAAAGGACGTGTAGACGGCGTGGTGAATGTGATGATGATGAGACATAGTGACTCTAACGTAGTAGTAATAAAAGTTGAAATTTATAAGAAATTCCCTAATTCCCTTGTTATTAGCTTATTAGCTCTCTTTACGCGTCACTAGTGTCAAAAACCTTGCTTCACTCCTGACTTCCATCATTCCTTGACACCAAAGTTGACAGCGATTTTCAAGCAGCAGAAAAATCCTATCAACAAAGTACCAGATACTACTTGATTGAATCTATTTGCAGTCATGGTCTTAGAGGCTACCATGCTCGTGTAAGTGTTCGTTATAATAGTATTTTGAACAAAGGATTTCGAAAGTGCTCCAGCAAGGACAACGCCTAACTGAGCTGACCACATCATAGACTGGATAATTCCGAATGGATGCGAAATGGCGATTACACTCCAACTCGACTCGAAGCTCAAAAGGACGCCGTCACTCTCCTCTTCAATGCTAAAACACAATCAAATCCTGAAAATACCGTTGGATTGATGACTATGGCTGCAAAAGGGTATGCACCATTGATCATATTGCATTGAATATTCAAGAATTCTGTCTAGATTCAGTTTCTATGTTGCTTTACACTCGCCAACACGTTATATTATAACACTAGACCAGAAGTACTCGTGACGCTAACATCAGACATTGGCAAAGTCCTCACTGCCTTACACCACATTAAGATGGGCTCTTCAGCTAATCTGAATACTGGTGTCCAAATCGCTACTGTATGTACCCTCATACCCTTTTTACGCTGAACGCGTCATCACTCAACACTCTTGACTTACGTACTAGTTGGCATTGAAACATCGACAAAACAAAAACCAAAGGCAGCGAGTCATTGTATTTGTAGGCAGCCCAGTCGCTGAAGATGAAGCTACATTGGTCAAATTGGGCAAGAAATTAAAAAAGAACAATGTTGCTGTGGATATCGTCAATTTCGGTGAAGAGACGGAAAATACGGCGAAATTGGAGGCTTTTATTGCGGCTGTTAATTCTGGTGATAACAGGTATGTTACTGACAAGTCAGTGTGTTATAAAAGCATGCAGAAGCAGTGCATGACTTAAATCCAATGTCTGTTTTGGCCGATATCTCTGAGATGTCGTCTTATCTACCGCACACCACTATTCCCTCTCTAAATTGCTCTTTCTATCTCCAATCTAGTCATCTAGTCACAATCCCACCAGGCCCACACATACTATCCGATGTATTGATAACATCTCCCATCATTTCTGGCGAAGACGGTGCACCGCCAGGTTTCGCCAACGCAGGCACATACGAATTCGGTGTAGATCCAAACCTAGACCCAGAACTCGCTCTCGCATTACGTATCTCGCTTGAAGAAGAAAAGGCCAGACAAGAAGCTTCGTCAAAACCTGATTCATCTGCTGCTGGTATCACGGCTGGTAGTGCAAGTGGAGGAGCATCAACGAAAATGGCTGTTGATAATGAGGAATTGACTGGCGATGAAGATGCTGAATTGGCTAGAGCTTTGGCCATGTCTCTCGGTGGTGGTGGTGGTGGTAGTGCAGCAGGTGGAGGAGGAGATGTTGTCATGACTGATTCGAATGAGGATGATGAGTTGGCTCGTGCTTTGGCCATGTCTATGGAGGGTGCTTCGACTGGGGTGAGTTTCTGTTGAAATGGGTGGATGGTCTTCATGCTTTTTTTCGTCCAGAATGAGAGCTTAACCCTTACTCCCGCCTTTTCTGTAGAGTGCTGGTCTTGATCTCTCTGGATTGGACTTGGGTAGTCTACCAGGTGTGGATCCAAATGATCCTAGATTCAGAGCCATGCAGGACAAGAGTAAAGACGCAGACAAGAAGAATGACAAGAAATAGGCCGTCATGTTGAGGAATTGGAATGTCTTGCATTAGTTATTGAAGAGAGGGGACATGGGAGTAGTTGCTGCTAGTTGGTAGTGATGGAAGGTGGTGGTTTTTTATGTACAAAGAATACTGAAATAAACAAGGAAGCTGCATAAATTTTCTCTGGTGCTCTGTGGTTTTTTCAGCCTGATGCTCTTTGAACTGTGGGTCAACTTGATTTGCGAATGAAAAAATTAAGTGACATCTTCATGCACACATAACCAGCTCTTATTCTACATTACGATTTTCCAGAGACCCAGAATAGCCTTGGCATTTCAACGCCCCGATAAAACCTTCCAATTTCTTCGCAACGCAACTTGGGCGTCCATCGTGCTGATGAATGTACGAGGACTTGTCTGTGTATGTTCGCTCCACAGGAGCCTGCCACCAGACGACCTACATATCGATGAGGTAAAAGTATTGTTTGCCGTCGTCCCATCCATATTCAGACTTGGCTTCATCCTTGTCTGGACTCGAGTGCTGGCAATACGTCCTGCCACGTCAAGAGCGATACGGTTGGAGTTCAAGTCCAGATACTCGAGTTTGCTCATTTCAGTGGCCACAAGTCCGATACTGTCTCCATAGGTATTACGTGGGAGACTTACAGAGACGATATTCGGACAGTACTCGCCCAAAATATCCACCTTCAATGATTCTTGGTCCTCAACCCAATTCTGGATTACCAGATCGGAAAGCTGTTTGCCATAGTTCGATAAGAGATGGAGTGCCTGTGTTTTATTGTATGGTAGAGTCAAGGCTCGGAGGTTTCGGATTGAGAATCTGGGTAGCGGATTAAGTATGATATTGCAACATATATAGAGTTTGCGGATAGTTGCTGAATGGCGTTTAATGAGGTTGGTAACGATATGCCCTGGCATATGTAAACCAAGAGACATGCATTCCAAATTGGGTTTAGCAGCTGGTGATGCCAGTGATTGTAGTAATGGAGTATAATCCATGGACGTATTGTCTTCTCGTATGGTGACACTAAGGTTTACATATTCCGTCAAGTCTCAATTCCCCTGGTGAAGCTAACGACCTCGATGTCGTTGCATTGTCTATAGGCGCTTCAGCAACTTCGAAACATACATGTTTCAGTTTAGGATTATGTGATAGATCCCAAGCTGAGGCAGAGACGTCATACCGACCACCACCAGAGAAGATAAGTTCTTCGAAGCTGTTGATGCTCGTCACTCTTAGGATTGGCAATACCGATACTACTTTTGAGCTGCTGCCCTGTTGTTGTTTCCGCCCACATATATACTTCTTGCGAGAAGATCGACCGACAAATCCTGTCTGTTTCTTCTCTATTACCTTGAATTACAATGCCCTGCACACTGTACACGCTGGTCATGGTAGGTCAATGTGGGTAAACTTATTGGGACAACAAAATGAGCCAGTCCGTGATCAATTTTGACTTCACTAAGTCACTAAGAGCGACGGCAAAGTTCATTTGCACGAATATAGTGCCTTTCTTTTTCTCCGTATTCATTAGTGCAAAGTTGCATGTAAGAATACCAGGGCGCCAACTACCACACGAAATGAGGAATTCTTTGATGTTGGCCTGGCATGTATTAAAATAGTGTGCGTAGACGGAAAAGTCACCTTTTGAATCGGAAGGTTGGGAATCGAAGTTGATTCTGGTACGCAATTGCATTTTGCGTCCAAACTCTGAGTTGGTCACCATTTCATTTCACCAACATGCCAGTACACCTTGAAAATCCTTTAAAAGACATAAACCACTCTAAAAGAAGGAGCGTTTCTTGTCTTGGTACGTTCAATCTGACTCCATTCACTCTGCACGATTCTCACATCCTTGCAGATTCTTACAAACCGTTTTCTCAAACAACAAACTTTAATGGGTCGTTCCAAGGGCTTCAACAACGGCATTATGCCGCCTCTGATATTGGTCATAATTATTTTATTGGCTATCATTGTTTACATTATAGTGCCAATGCCGGAATATCAGCCTCCGGTGGTGCAATCCTCGTCGACAGTTTCAACTCGAAAAGAACAAGACTTAATCCGTATTCATGCTCCGTCAGAAGGCAGCAATCCTAAATCCTCAGTTTCATCGCGAAGGGAAGACTTGTTGATCTGGAACACTCTTCAATTCTTGTATAATATCAGGCAACATGAAAGGAGGGTTTATTCTCAAGACAATGAGGACGGAGTGATTGTAAGCTACAACACCAATTCGCTCATCGCCTTGGGTCTCACTGTTCTCCTAAACGGTTTCGCAGGAATACTTGTTTGACAATATGGGAACTACAAACAAAAGATACGTCGAGTTCGGGACTCAGTCATGTAGTGAATGCAATACCCGTTGGTTATGGGAAGAATACGGCTGGGACGGTTTGCTAATTGATGGAAATGGAAAGACTGGCGATTCTCGAATCATTCGTAATCATTACATTACAGAAGACAATATCGTTGGGCTGTTTCAAAAGTATGATGCTCCCAAAGAAATGGATCTTCTATCTGTGGATATCGACAGTCAAGACTTTTACGTATTGGATGCTATCCTTCGTGGAGGTTATCGACCACGAGTTGTTGTCGTTGAAATTAATCGCAGTTTTGGGCTTAATGAGTCTTATGTAAGTGCAGAATAGTCTCTCACCAGCATCACAGGGCCTTCACTGTGGTGATGTGATTTTTATTTTTGACCTGAAGTCTTCGTAAATGTTTTCTTCAGCTCACGAAGAAGAAGCTCACACACTGCTTCATACAATTCCTAGACTATTGACCGCTCTGTACTTGTATGGAAAGGCGACTCGGCTTTTGGCATGTCACCACTAGCGGCCAACCGTCTCTGCAACAAGTACAATTACCATGGTGTATACCTTCAAGCCAATGGTAGAGGAGCAACTCGTTCCTGCAAACGCCTATAAATTGAATGACTAACATACAAACACTCAAAAACCAACAATAGGTGTGAATTTGTACTGTGTGTCTCGAAAGGCGATGTCTGATCTCGTCTTCTCTAAAACCAACATTCGAATTGAACCAAACGAGCTCAGGGAATACTTGCCACAGTTTTCGTATTGGTGGCATAAAACAGAAGCAATCCATACGGACAGTTTGATCAAGTTTAGGAAAGAGTTTTTATCGTTGCCATGCTGGATGGTTGTTAATGAGGCTGGTGAAGCAGTAAATCGTACCATTGGCATGTAAACAAGGCCTTCTTTGTGATTCCAACGTTAGTTTAGATTTTACATCGTGTAAAATTATTGATATTGCAACCTCTCAGAGACACTTGTGTGTTTGATGATAGAATACAAAGATCCTATTCAAGCGCGTCTATTACTAAATCTATTGTAAATCTCTTGTTCAAGTTAGGCGTTACAGATTCCTTTTAGAAGCGATGTCTACCGATCCTTCAAGACTCTAGAGCTTCTTCCATAGCCTCTACTTCCTCAGCTCTGTCTTCAGATAAGCTAAGAATGCACAAGGATTGTCCTGCCTGCGTTGAGTCCACAACAATGAACTCCCAGACAATGTATATACGTCCAACGCATCTTTTGGAGTTGGATGGTTGTTTGTCCCAAAAATATTTAGGCGTGTCTTTATATTGGTCTGCACTCGTATTCCGGCAATACGATCCATCATCTCACGAGATACAGGATTCCTAACACAATCAAGATATTCAAGTTTGCAGAGTCTCGTAGCCATAAGCTCAATGCTCTGCTCGTCAGTGCCATCTGGAAGCAGTGTCGAGACCAAATTCGGGCAGCACTCTACAACTACATGCGCTTGTAATGATTCGGGCATGCCGTTCCAACCCTGTATCTGAAGCCGCTTGAGCTCCCTGCCGTATCTAGATAAAAGCTGGAGTGCTGCTGTTTTATCGGGACGGAATCCAGCTGCAAAATTGTGTGGGAAGTCAAAGTCTTCGAGGTTTGGTATTGGACATGTTGGTAGTTCCTCGAATCCGTTCCTCCATCCTATATATAGTTTACGGATAGTGCTTGCATGGCGCTCAATTACTTTGGTAACGAGGACTGGTACTGCGGGGCTACTGCAAAAGGTCAGAGTCTCAAGTTTACATCTTGCTTCCGGTGAAGCCAAAGACCTCAGTACCTGCATATTCTCAACGTCACCCGACTGGATGTATATACACACATCCGTCAAGCTGGTGTACTGTGAAAAGTCCCAACATTCCTCCGAGAATGGTAACTCAGCTTCAAACCCGTTAAAAGTGAATGACTTTAGACTTTCCGTACTCAAGATTCGTAAATTCAGTAGCAGGGGCTCGAGAAATTCACTATCACACATCACTAGGCTGTCTACTGCTAGATATTGTATCGCGTTCAACACCGAAGTTGGTGGCACTCTGTCCGTGCTCGAGATACTGAGCTTGCAATCCGGATTTCGTGTCGCAAACAAGCGAACAACGTCATCATCTATAGGCTCATCTTCTTCATCCACATCGAGATGAAGTACAAGCTTCTCTAACCCCCGAGCGTGCGTCAACACAGTGGCAAAGTAGCTATAGACTTCTATGTGACGTAGATTGCTGCAGCGTTCCACAAGACGAGCGAAGCGTTTCTCGTCGAGAACTATGTGACTGTCCACTCCGCTGTTAAGAGATTCAGGTTTACTTCTTAGTCTGACAACATTGCAGGGCAGGTTTTGGAGCAGTATCTTACCAAGTACACGGTGCATCCGCATCATCAAAATATCTAACAGGTGTTCCCGAGAAATCTATCCTTTTCAGATGGGTGAGAGCGTCCTGGCCCATCTTGTCAGAGTTGGCGAGAATCACATCCAATTTGTGGAAACAATAGCGGCATTGTGTTTCTTTTAGAGGTGGCAATTGCTTATATAATGCGCGGAGAGCCTAGTCGAGTAGTTTCAGCTAACGGTCGGTATGGATGTTGCTCTACAATTCGCAAAAAGCAAAGTTCTTACACAATCGTTCCATAGCTTGGATGCCCGAGCCACTTGGCCTAAGCTCGCTACGTCAATGACGATTCCGTCTTTTTTTGACATACTCCAGCACGTTCTGGATGATTTCGGCTGGTAGTGTTGCTGCTTCTTCTGTCATTTCTAGTTTTCTGTAGATGACTCGAAGGTTGCCAAGAGAATCTGCAAGCTATGCATGTTACAGGCAACTACCAATTCGCAAATTCTGAACATGAGATCAATTTCGTTACGGTTTCAAACTCTTGTTCCTTGCGACCTTGCCTTGTATTCAAGTCATCAACTTTACTCCTGACCAAATCAAGTAAATCAAGGCGAAACCCATTTACCTGATTTCAGGGACACCAACGTATTTCAATATCCGAAGTGGACGTCATATCTCTGCTTTAAAGGTACTCGCTACTGAACTCTTTTGGAGCAACAATGTCGAATTGCGGCAGCCAAGTGCAAACACTATGAAGGAGGGAGGAACTGTTCTGTGTCTTCACGTTTTTTTGAAGATGCTTATATTAAACGGTCTTGCGATTCCAAAACTATCTCAGCGATTTATCCAGGATGATTTACGAGCAAAAAATCAAGTTGCTAGCAAAAGACTCTCCTTGCTCCTGAAACTTTCACTGCCTTTTAAATCTCACTCCTTACTACTCTTCAGATTGACTAGACCTCCTAGCGCTAGTTGTTTCCTCACTCTGCCAATGAATGCCTGCGGATCCGCCTGTTTATCGTCAGTCCACAAGAGAGTCCCCCACAGACATCTTATATATGGACACGGTGGCTTCTCGTGTTGGGGATCTCCAAGTGTTGTAAAATTTAGACATGTCTTCGTACTTGTCTGAGCTCGTGTATTGGCAACACGTTCTGCCAGTTCACGAGACACGATTCAGTTTCGTGCCAACAAGCTCCACATCTAGCTCCGGACTAGGCTCTTCCACATACAGGTTGGGATAGCACTCTACCAATTCATTCACCTTCAAGAAGCGATCCCATTCAATCCAATCATCTTGTATTCCCACGTGTTTTAGCTGACCACCATACCTAGGCAAGATATGGAGTGCCACCTGTTTGTTGGGTGGTAGAGTCAAGTGCTCGAGATTCGGAATTGGAAACGTAAGCGGAGGATTGAATAAGTCGGAATCTATATCTAACTTACGGAGTCTCTCTGAATGACGTTTAACGAGCTCGGTGAAGATAGTTGAAGGTTGATTTGCTATCGGAAACCCAAATGATAACGATCTGAGTCTGGCCTTCGGTACTAGTGATGCTATGATTGCAATACATGGCTATCGTCTTTAGAAAGCCTACCAGCACGTACGGCCAAGTCGTTGAGATTGGTATACTCTGACAGGTTTCAATCTTCTAAAGTCGATTGAGATCATCGTCATAGCTGAGGAGACTGACTGATCTCAGACCTTCAATGCTAGTGCTTTGTAATGCCAGCAGCATTGAATCGACGGGTTCCTGTGTAGTCTATGTAGCGGTATATACCTCAGTGCTTAAATGCTCCACTTTGACATGTCGCATTGCCATCAACATCGAAGCTTACGCCGTTGCGTTGACGACCCTGATATTGAGTTTACATTGTGGATTGCGTCTTAAAAACAATTGAGCGACTTCAGCTTCCGTAGACTCTTCAGCTTGATGGTAAAGAGAAAGATGGATGCTCTCCAGTTGTTGAGCATGTTTGAATACGTTGGTAAAATGAAGATGTGTCTTAACTTGACGTAAACCATTGCAACGTTCGAATAGTTGGGGGATGGGTTGCTCATCGACAAAGAGCAAATCGGCACTCCTGCTGCTATGGAAACAATGTGCGAGTCAAGAGGTTGACAAAGCAGCATGCGGAAAAACATCCTATCACATACCATCTACAAGGAAGATCAAACGCATCAGCCTGCCCAGGAGCTGCCACGACCACAACCAGCTCTCAGTTTCTGACATGCCTTAGATCATCCTGACCATATGACGTTTGGTTGGTGAGAATGGTGTACAATTTGTGATGACACAGGCGCAAGGAGAAGCAGCGAGGTCAAAACGCAGAGAGGCTTACCAGTCACAATCCGGATCAACAACAGCGATATCGCAAGCAAAGCGGCCAATCCATACTAGCCTCTTGACCTCTTTAGAGCGTCTTGTCCCAATTTGTTTGACTTTCCTTCGATGATGTCCAAGTTGTGTTGACAAAACCGACGGCCAGTATCATGAGGAGGAGGGATTGTATGGTAGAGTATCTGAAGAACCTGTGCAAGCATGAGGCTATTAGCCCTCGGTGTAGAAACGATTCATCAGGTCGTTAGCAACTTGACTCATCCCAAAGTTTCGAAGCCAGCTATTTGAGCAAGACTCTTGGTGTCCATAAATCCATTAGCTTTTAGGTTATCCACTATTTTATCAATGAGCTCAGGCGGTAGCCACGGTGGTTCTGTCATCTTTATAGCGATATAGCGATTGTGAACGAATCGAAACGAGACGCAATAGAACAGAAGAGACGCATAAAACTTTATTAACGCGATGTAGGACTCAAATTTTGTGTTCCATCGAGGTTTTCACGGGAACATTGTCTGAACGTTGCTAATCCGGAAATTCGTGAAATGATCTTTCAGAATTATCGTGTTTTTGAAATTGATCCAAGTCTTACACGTAGTTCGCTAGTAACATTAAGAGAATGTGCACCTTAGCAAGCACGCTCCTCTCTCTCCTTCCCTCTGGTCCTAGCAAAAGCATGTCCCGTTGTTATATATTAGGTGAGCTCACTCAAGACATCCTTTCAAACTTTCGTCGCATCCATCCAACGAATAGGTAAGAAGACGAGAGGCAGAGAGCATCTAGACGATGCAAATACGAGTCGAAAGTCACGGCAATTGCCTCATTGTCCCTACTTTGCTTGCGTCAAATCTGTCGAAAACTCATTGTCGCCAAGTTGCCCTCAAAAGCTCACAACTAGTCAATTCAACAGACAATCTTATCAACCAAATCCCAGCAAATAAGCTAATACTCTATTCCATCATATCACACAGATAATACCTACGAAACATGGGTAAAAACAAGCCTAGAGGTTTGCAAGCTGCCCGCAAATTACGAACAACTCGACGAGAAAATCGTTGGGCAGACAAACAATATAAAAGACGAGCTCTAGGTACCGCTTTCAAGCATCAACCTCTTGGTGGTGCTTCAATGGCAAAGGGTATCGTCCTGGAAAAGATTGGTGTCGAAGCAAAACAACCAAACTCGGCCATTCGTAAATGTGTGAGGGTACAGCTCATCAAGAATGGTAAAAAGGTCACTGCTTTCGTACCCCAGGATGGTTGTCTGAACTTTATTGAAGAGAACGTAAGTTAGTGACGATGCGTTTTGGTAGCAGGTGATGTCAGTTGGTGGAGAAGAGTTCGAAGTCATAGACTGTCATATGCACATTCTTTTGGTTTCTCATGCTTCAGGATCGACATGAGATGATGGTAGATATTATGTGGATGGTGTAACAGTCATTATAAGACCTGTACTGTGATCTTTTTATACTGAGAATCTTCCATATCAAACACCTACCATCAGCATCTAACCTTGTATCATGCGTACTAATAGGATGAAGTTCTCATTTCTGGATTCGGTCGAAAGGGTCGTGCCGTAAGTACTTAGTGCAACTACATCTTCACCTTTTGACAACAATGCTAAACCACTTTCAACACAACAGGTCGGTGATATTCCCGGTGTTCGTTTCAAGGTCGTCAAAGTATCGAGTGTCTCATTGTTAGCATTGTACAAGGAGAAGGTATGGCAACTTTCAAACTGGACGCCTCCATTATAGTTGTAGTATCTGACTTCTTTCTCTCCCGATGTTATATAGAAGGAGAAGCCGAGATCATAATCCCCGCAATCATGTTCTAAAGAAGACCCCTGTGTAAAAATAAATGAAGCTCTTTCTTGCAAACGTGATCAGGATTTTTCTTTCCGGTTTCTTTGACTTTCTACAATCTGGATTTTTTTATTTCTGGTTTCTTTGGACAGACACAGGAGAAGGATTCAGTACCGAGAACAGTGATTCCTTCGATGAAAGACACAGTACACCATCACGAAAAACATCAACAAAAACATAAGAGGCTCGAGGCAAAGAAAAACCGCAATCTATATCTGAGCAGTGTTCAAGCCAGAACATGAATCCTAACGCGGTTCTTGTGTCTCGCATTTATTGAACACTACGAATACAATCCACACATTCACCAAAGTGCTTCACACTTAAATTACTCAGCCTGGCCAGTGTGAGAGAGACGGCCCTTATGGGTCATGTTTGTATGGACGTGAGCACAAAGCTTCCCTGTGGTGCTCGATTTGTTGGGATGCGTGTCAGCCTCAAAGGCAGCAGACACGCTGAAAATGGCATCCGGAGGAGCAGTCGTCTCCATCTTTGCGAATACAGCTATTGATGTAATAAAATCGTCAGCATACATATAATCGTGATTGTATACAAAAGATCAAAACCGTAAAATGTCAACCCCAATAACAAGTAGTATACAACAACCAAACAGTTGCAAAGGCAAAGAGTTGCGTACATGCCATGGATGGATATATCTGGATGCTTTCACACCTCGTAGCGTATTGCGAGATGAGGCAAATTGTTCCACTGTCAATGTCAAAACCTTTTGAGCAGTTTTCGCAAATGTCCGTGTGGATCACATGATCTGGATAATTGACTTTCCGAGCCTGGAAGTTTTCGCTGATACTTTCTCAAACTCTGTGCTATCTGTTGGTCGTAAGTCTGCTTTGCTTGAGTCTTGTGAAAAATGAAAGAAACAAACGCCGCAAAACTCATCCCACAGTGGAGTTGAGAGAAAGCAGACCTCGTTCAAAGTCTCGTGCACACGTCATATTCATATCTGGTGTCTGATGCTATCGAGATTCGCAACTGACTATAACAATTTTCAGGTGATGACACGAGACAAGTTCACCGAAACTTTCGTGAAAATGTCGAATTCGTATATGTTGAGACAGTCATTCTAGTACTTTGAAGATGAAAGAAACAGTATAAATTCACAAATAAACAACGCTATCTTTGAGGTAAAAAGGCATCTTTATTTCGTTCAAGTACAACAGACCAAAGAACCCGCGATTGGTTCTTGCACATATCTATTGAATGTTTCGAACAACCCAATCGACAGATTCAGCAAAGTATTTCACATTTGAATCATTCAATCCAGCCATTGAGATTCGTCCATTGTCAGTCAGGTATATGTGGAATTTGTCAGCCAAAGCCTTGACTTGTGGTGCTAATGTGGGTAATGGAAGGGTTGGTGTTGAGTATTAAGATGTGATGTGTTGTGTCTTGAGCTTTAAATCGCACAACACGAGAAAAAAAAATCATATGAACCATTGACAATTGACTTACGAGTCAGACCAGTATATGAGAACATGCCAATCTGATCGACGATATGATTCCATGTTCCAGGAGTCTTTAGTTGAGTCAGAGTGTCGAATGTGACCTAGCAGGTTGAGTAGGATGAACTTCAGTTCGGCGCAACAAATATGCAGAACGTTTGCTCCTGCTTTTTTTGCATCTCATCTCATCAACTCCGCAATCAAGGTACTGAACACGTACCTGACGCATCTTGATGATACGATCAGCCATTGATTTCAGATTGACAATCCTAAGCGGTAACGAGAAAGAGTTCAGAACTGCAAGAAAGAAGCCCGAAAGGTAGAGAAAGAACGACAAAAAATGTCTCTTTCCCTTCCGCTGTAAAATATTTCAGACGTACCATTCTTGATAGAGTTGAGGATTGTTGAATATCAGAGATACAATCCTAGCACCAAAAGCTGGTGCTGTTGAGATCATGGCACGTGTGATCCTTGATAATTGAGATTTGACTTTGGTAGCGACTTCCGGAGTCTTTAATACTGCAGTAACACATCCAATACGTTCACCTTTGTTGTTCAAAGGAACAATCAGGGTTTAGTTCGACAATTGTCAGCGAAAAAAAAAATAACGAAAAGTCAATGCCCGATGAATGCACGATTCAGCCTCTCTCAGCCCTGATATCACCCTCGATCACATCAACTCACCATATAAGCCAAAGTTCTTGGCATAAGACTGTGCAACAAGCAATTCAAATCCTTGGTCGACAAAGTATCGAACAGCCCAAGCATCACGGTCCAAATCACCGGAAGCAAACCCTTGATAAGCACAATCAAAGAATGGGAAGTGTCCACGTTCTTTGATGACTTCCGCCATTTGTTTCCATTGGTCGGGAGTTGGGTCAACTCCTGTTGGATTGTGTGCGCATGCGTGTAGCAGTATGATTGATCCTGCTGGTGCAGACTAGATATAAGACGGAGCGTTAGAAGTTGAGCTCGAGAGGCAAAAAAGAGAACGTAGCCTTTTTGAATGTACCTTAAAGGTAGCCAACATGGGTTCGAATGCCAGACCTCTTGTTTTTGGATCCCAGTATGGGTACGTCTTGATATCAAATCCAGCATCACCAAAGATGCTGTGGTGGTTTGCTAACAGTGAAAAGAGAGGTTGAGAACAGCAAAACGACATCTGCCACATTTGACATCCATCATATTTGACTCTTCGGGAGGTCAACACACACTTGACTTGCTCCTTCTCAAATACAAGCAACATTACATCAACCACATACCCCAAGTTGGGTTTGAAATATAGATGGGAGCCTTATGGAAGCGAATGAGCAACTCGGCAGCTAATCTAACACCTCCAGTTCCAGAGATCGATTGTACAGCTGCGACACGTCCTTCCTTGAGGGCAGAGCTGGAAGCTCCAAGAATCAACTTGGCAGAACCTTCAGTGAACGGAGCAAAGCCAGCCATATCCAAGTATTCGTGGTCGAGGGTTGTATCTTCCAAGATGATTTTTTCTGCCTAGTGGAAAGCGAAATAAAATGAGTTCAAATCGATAACGCGAAGGATGAAGAAACTATTCTCCAGTCATAGATATTCTATGACGGCGTGAATAGGTTACCTTTCTGACAACAGGCAATACCCAAGGTTTGGCATTGTTGTCACGATATGCACCAACACCCTATTTGAAGCAACGAATCAATATCTTTAGCAATAAGCAGCAGAACTTGACAAGCAGCGTCGCTAGTTCAGGTCAATCTGGCATCTTTCATTCTACACACCAAATTGATCTTTTTGGGATCAGTGTCAGCCTTGAAGGCATTAGAGACTTTGAAAATGGCATCAGGAGGAGCCATCTCCACTTTTTCGAATACAGCTATTGATTGGGAAATATCCGTCAGCATAGGAAAGGCTGTATACAAAACATCAAAGAATGCAAGAATGTAAATTTCAGCAATCAGATGATTCCGCGTAAACGTACATGCCATGGATGAAGAACCTAGATGGTTTGAAATTGCGGATACACGGTCTTCTGATTTTCTTGGCGATGCCATACAACTATAGCTGTCAAATGTTCTAATTCACGAAAATTTCTGGTTTTCTAGGAAGAGTGTGTGTCGAGGTTTAAATGTTATTGCCTACTGAAACTAGATTTATTAACGTGTCATTCATTAAAAACATACTTGGAACGTATATCCTTGCCTTGCTTCGTTCAGCGACCCGTTGAAAAAGTTTTGATGGCGAGTCATTGGAAAAAACGCAATCCAATAATGTGACGTGAAACAGCAGATCTGCAGTGGCGAAGCTAAGCGCAGAACATCGGATATCTTTGATCGTTGAAAGACACGTAAATGGAAACTTTGGAGTTGGTTTCCTTGTGGTGATTATGCATTTGACAAGAAAGTAGGGTCTCTATTCTACAAAGATACACTTACATAGCTCGAGAGGGCTTACATTTTCAATCAAGACTAAAGACTACAATCAAAGGGTATATTACATGCATACCATTGGCAAGTTGTGATTTCAATGTGTCAGAATTGTACGAGGATTGTCAGGTTTATATCGGGTCCACAACAGACTATCACCACACAGAGTATATGCTGCCAACGTGACTTCATAGTTTATGTTGGCCGTCCCTTCAAAGATGTTCAAACATGTCTTCATTCTCGTCTGCTCAGCGAGATATACCGCTGCCTCATCAGTTCCGATGCTGAAGCTTGTCCAGTTTGGTAGCCAGTGGTTCCACATGATGCAGATTGGCCTCACTCGGAAGCTCTAAGATCAATAGATTGGCACAGCACTCTACGATAACTTTACAGTCTTTTCAACTGGGCCTTACCAAGTTTAGACTTTCGAGTTTACACTTAGCTGCTGGTGAAGCCAATGACTCAACATGTGACTGCGTTCAAGTGGTGAAGCGTTGTTCGATCTTAAGCTTTACATCCTTCAGACTGACAAACTTGGATGATCCCAAAAGTCTCCATACAGTGTTTTATAGACACCAGTGCAGTACAATGATTTCAGGCTTTCAATGCTCGATGTTCTTAAAGCCAGAAACGCTGTTTATATCAGCGTGATGCGTATTAAAGTTTTCGACTTTTACATATCGTATACCTTTCGAGACTGATGACACTGCGTTGCTGATCTTGATATTCAGCTTGAAAACGGGATTTCTTGTCACAAACAAGGTAACTGTTTCATCACCCATACAGACATCTACATCATGATCGAGACAAAGCGCTAAGGCTTGGAGTCCTCGTGCATGCTTCAAGAGATTGGCAAAGTGTTTGTGGACTTGAAATCGACGTAGATTATGACAGCGTTCCATGAGACGATTCATACGTTGCTCGTCGAGATACATGGAGCCACGAGTAGGGCCAAATAGCAAGTGAGCTGACAAGTTCAAAGATTGGGCAGTCTTCAACGCTGACCAGTTGCATGTCGAATCCAGAGCATCGATATATCCAACAGGTCTTCCAGACATTGCTACCTCTTGACAAGTCTGAGAGGATCTTGACCACGTGAAGTATGCTTTGACAACAGGACATGTAAATGATGACGACAAACGCGACGGCGAGTATGACAGGGAGGAGGGATTGACTCGTATAGTATGTGAAGAGCCTTCAAACAGTTTGGCATTAGGTTGAGGTACTAGAATAATCAATTACAACAGCAATTCTTAGGCAATCGTTGTATTGCTTTGATGCATGAGCTAAACTCTTGATGTCAATAGTTCCGTTATATTTCAGATAATTGAGAATCTGATCACTGATTTCACTAGGGACAATTACTGCTTCATCTGCTTGTTGCTCCTGAAGTAGAGCGAGAGACCCATGCACGCTGCCAACCTTTGGGTTAAAGGCGTCATCTGGACATCATGGGGCATTGTAACCCAGGATTGTAACAAGTCCGGTATCTCGAGCACGCGTCACAATGTCACAATGCTGATACACACGTCACCACAGAAAAACACTTGCAGTTTTCCAGAATCATGCTTACTTATATCTATTATACAAAGCTGAAATAATAACTGCCTACTACTGTTATACACTGCACACCAACATCCTCCGATAATCCATTCCTACACCATCCCATCAGGCAGCCTCTCGATGGCATACTTGTGGTTTGCGATATACATGATGGGTATTCCAGGCACTTTGCGAATACGTCTCTTTAGATCACGATCGCATGTAGCCACGATATAGCAGTTGTGCTAGAGAGAAGCGATAGAGTTAGCAAAGTGAGGTTGCATTCTGTTTGAGTGTGTCCGTTTTGGCAGTCTCACCTGCATAACTCTTGCAACAATACAATCATCCGCATAAGTACCCTTGTGAGTGCATGGTAGACGTTCAAAGCGAGAGTCTCGTGCAATCCTACGAGTAATGTTGTTAATCGCAACATACAAAAATTGGCATGGTCCTGTTTGTTGCTACAAACCTCAGAGCAATGCGATATTTCGGCCCCAGCTTCTCCAATTCGGCCATTACACAGTCCGTTATGCACACAGTGCACTTCGCAAATAGGCAGTCCATCATTGCTTTCACGAGCTCGAGTTTGTTTTGGATTGAGAAGTTGATGAAATTGGTGTCGACAATGACATTGTATGGAGGAGTTAGGGCCGTGTTGTATCGGAAGAACATGGAAGATGCTACTTGTGGTCTGTGAAGAGAAAGAGAGTGGTTAGCATTGGATCTCTTGCTTGTTGCTGGCAATTATAGCATTGACAGTACATACACATGTCGAACAAGCTGCTTGTCCTTGTCCTGTTGTTTCTTTTCGATCTTTGCCTTGTTAGTCTTTCTATAAGTGTATACCAAGTTAGCGTTGGATCTTAATACACCGCGCTAGAGTACATACAATCTGGCATCTTTTGGATTGAGTGTTCGTTTGACTTCAGCAAACTTTCGAGTCTTTTTAGCCTTGCCCTATAAGAACGATAGCGATTAATCAATGTATTCTGCGACTGTGAAAGCATGCGACACTCTCTTTTGCATACCATTATATGTGAAAGCTGCTTGTTCTTGCTGTTTTTGTTTTGATGGAATTCGCAAGCAAAAAAAGGACAAGAACAGAATCTCACATAGCAATCGCTGATCAGTTCGGTCAAATTACATTTCATTCCGTGTCAAAACACGATAATACACGTATTATAAGTACTATTAACCTCCAGTTGCTAGTTCATGTCAAAGCTCTCGTCGTGCAAAATTCCATCGCCCGTTTTGTCTCTATTAGAGGAGAGAGAGCTATAAGGCACCCGTATGTAGATAAAATAATGGTGCCTAGAATAGTTTTGACACGACATGGGCTAGCAAGCAGCAGGTCGCTCCTATTACATTATAGCAAAACTGCAACAATTCTTCATTGTGGTATTCGACATTTGGCAACATCAAGCGCAACAACTCCAGCATGGAATGTAAACGAACTCGCTCCAAAAGTCACCCTGGCCATGGATGAAACTATACGGCTGCAGAACTCGCTGGGTGAGAACGATGCTAAATGGCTCAAACGAACGACTGCTACTGCTAATGCTACGGGCGTGTTGAGGATTGCTGGTACGTGTACTATATCCGAAACTGAATTAATTGGTCGAACGTTTGATTTTTACTCGTTTCTACCGCTTGATGTGATGATAACTTGATTGACAATTAATAGTTGTTGGAGAAACGCTGTCGGGTAGAACAAGTGTCGTAGATGCTCTAGTTGGAAATCCAGGTGCTTCTCTAGTCCCTGAAGATGCTGACAAGACTTACACCTTGAGGTACACCTTGCATCTGTTGGGTTTGAGCAGTCTTTCACACTTTCAAAACTCACAATTCCACACACAAAACATAGCTACGGAACAGAAGTAGACCAAAAGACAACAGATTCAGACGTCGCAATGTCCTGTCCTTCCGACTGGCTAAAATCCAGCAACGCATCCATCATAGTACCACCAGCACTAGACACACTAGATTCCAATCCCAACTACTCCCTACAAGATCCAATCCTGGCATCAGACATCATCATTCTCGTAACAGATTCCAGAAGAGTGCTGTCATCGCCTCGTGAGAGAGGTGTATTGAGGTCGTTTACTTCGGCTGGAAAACCGACTGCTGTTGTTGTTGACGGGCTAACCACTGATGGCAGTACCACGTATATAATGAAGGGAGTGGATATTGGTATGCATGGTTCCGTACCTGGTATACTCCCGCCATCTATAAAGCCATACACCAAGCCCACAAGCACCAAATCCATCACAGACCTACAACAGCTCATAACATCCCCATCCACAAAACCAAAATCAACACTCTCAACAGCACTTCTAGCACTATCACGTTTAAAAGCTCGTGAACTGGATGCGCAGAAACTGTTGTCTGCAGTATCACACAAGATAACGTCACTTGCTGGTGCACTAAAGAGAGAGGAGGCACGAGTGCATGAACGATTTGTAGATTCGGATTTAGGGATTATTGAACGGATTTCAGCGAGACTTGTTATGGCTGTTAGATATGCCTTGGATGATGTACCGTTCTGGAAGCTGTTTTGGAAGGTCGATGGGTTGAGTTATGATGTTAGGAAACAGGTGGATGAGAATACGCTTGTGGAGACTGAATATCGAGTAAGTGTGCTATTGTAGTGTGCCGTTGTGTGAGGTAGTTTTGGTTGTGAGGCATTCAAGATATTGATTGTATCGTTTTCTTTTGCTCGTCGTTTTAAATCGACTCACATATTTCACGACCAAACCGCATTATAGATGACACATACACTAGGCCGCCTCTCCGAAACGCGAGACGTTCTAATCACCCTCTCATCATCCTCACTATCCTCGATCTCAACAACCCTATCAGAATCCACTCACCCCATACTACACACCCTATCTCACGACCTATCACGTATACGTGATACGAATCTAACGGCTCTTAAGAACATACTTCCCAATCCCTTCTCGTTGCGAAACGAGATTGCGACATTCCATGCTGCTAAAGGATTGGATGGGTTTCAGACCCGGGTTGGTACATTGGTTGGAAGGCAGTTTGTTGGACAGAGTTTGTTGGGAGCTGTACTTTTGGGAAGTGTTTATTTAGGTGTGCCGTGGGCTGTTGCGTTGCCTGGTGGTGGGCTGTTGTCTGCTTTGGGTAAGCGCTTGGTCCGATGTAGACGTGGATTTTTTTTTCGCAATCAGCGTGAGGGAGTGATTTAATTCTACTTTTAAATACAGGACTAACGTGGATGGCATTACGATGGTCGTCAATGTCTGATCGGTTTGTAGGCGAGATTTCTGCAGAGCAGAAGACGCTTCGTGAACGATTACTGGTATGTGTCATAATTTACTGTCTTTTTGGGTCACATTCATCTCATACTTTATTGTTCTCGTCATAGGCATCATACGACACAGAATTCGAATCAACAGTCGTAAATCCATTATCAGAAGTAGTGACGCTTGCCCAACAAGCAGTCACAAAACAAAAAGAGGAAGTTAGTAGTCGGATATCTAGAATTGAGAAGGTTGAGGTAATGGTCAAGGAGTTGCTGGTGACGATACAACAATAAAAATACATTTCATTTTGGTATTATGTGTGGGAGTCATTTCGCTTCGCTGAGATCGTTTGGAGACTCGGGAATGAAATAAGTGACCATCGGCCGTAAATAGTTCCATGTGCTGCGATGAGCTTGACGCGTTTTTGTGTTTTTCATCGCATGGGAGACTCGGTGTACTAGGACGATCCTACCGCCAATTAGCAGAACATGGCCGTATAGTCATCCTACACCAACACTCGTTGCAGCCTCGCAACTCCGCCCGTATCAAACATCGGCATTTTATCCTGAATTAACCTTAAGGCAATCACACCAAAAATGGACGCAAATCCCTAAAACACGTCCCCAAGCCCCTCAATACAAGTATAAATAGCTGCGTAGAGTGAGCATTCATGTCCGGTCACTGGCTCCAAGTACCTCACGAAACCTTGATGCGTACACCAAATAACCGCCTCGCATTTCAGCAGCAGCAGCAGCAAAAGCACCGCCAGAGGCCGAGGAGTAGTAGTAGCTGTGAGTCGATAACGAGTAGGAGGGATCACGATATGGCGAGTCATGCTACTACAACACAAGGTGCTCGTGGCGTGCCTGTGCGGACACATGCTACGCTGGGAAGTAGTTTGTCTGTTGAGGTTCTGTTGAGGGATTATGCTGTTAAGCAGACGATAGGTACAGATCGGATTTCAATTTACATGGGGAATTTGGTGGAGGGTGGATGAACGTGTTGAGGGATTTAATCACAGTTGTTGACATTTGATTTTCTTCTAAGGGCAAGGTGCATTTTCAAAAGTCAAGCTCGGGGTGCATAATGAGACCAAACAGAAAGGTGCCCACATATAGAACCTCTTACCTTTTTTTGCGTTTCTTGTTACTTATGACTAACCGTGATTTCCACCACACCACCAACACACACCACCACACCAACACAGTCGCAATAAAAATAATAGACAAGGCCTACTACGAAAAGCAAATAACACAAGGATCCACACAATCCTCCAAAAAATCAAAAGAATCCGAAGAAAAGCAAATCAAGGTACCTAAAAACAAGCGGCTTGCTGGACATGCCAAGACACGTGGTGATAGTGGGCTGTTACGAGAGATTGAGCTGATGATGAGGGTTAATGATCATCCGAATATTATACGGTTGTATCGGGTTATTGATACGGTGTCGACTACTTTTGTTGTTATGTGAGTATAGGGTAGAATTGGCACTCTTTCGTTTCTTGGGTGTAGGGAGGTTGGCTAACAGATTTGGATAGGCAATGTGCGACTAAGGGGGAGCTGATTGAGACTATTGCTTCGAAAGGTATTAAGCGAGTTGCATGGCTCTTTTTTGCTCTAACGTTACTTATATGGAATAGGTGGCAAGCTGAAAGAGCCAGAAGCTAGACAGTATTTCAGGCAGATTCTGAGTGCTATTGATGTAAGCACGCAAAAATATGGATTTTTTACCATTCCGTGCAAGACCACAGACTCGTTTGAGCTCACACATGTACAAATGTCATTACTAGCACTGTCATCAAGCAGGCGTAACGCACAGAGACCTGAAACTCGAAAATATACTACTAGACGATGATGGAAATGTCCGTGTTGCAGGTACCAAAACATGACTCAAAGCGCAAAGCTATAACACTGCTCACCAACAGTTTTTACCTCCCACCACCAACAATAACATTAGATTTCGGCCTGGGAAGATCATTTAACGAACGAGGCCTGTACGAAGTCGAACCCTACCTCGGCACATTCTGCGGCACCCCCGTTTACGCAGGTCCAGAACTAATATTGCATCGCGCATACCAAGGATCTAAAGCTGATGTATGGGCTATGGGAGTCGTGCTGTATGCTATGGTAGCGGGAAACATGCCGTTTGCAAGCCCGACCCTTGCGGGGCTGTATGAGGCGATTGTGCATGGGGTTTGGAGTAAGCCCAAGGATATTTCTGAATGTAAGAGAAAATTGAATCGGTATAGCAGTACTTTTTTGGTGCTAATGGGTTTTGTGTATTAGCTCTGCTGGATTTACTGCAATCCATGTTCATCGTAAACGCCGAAAACCGCATCGACGTGGAAGGGATTATGAAACATAAGTGGATTACAGAGGATGGGGCGAGTCCCATGATACGCACGACACCAAAAGTAACTGCCGCATCACCTGCAACGTCGATAGTTACCGGTATATCCGGTGAAGAGGCATATACGCTATACATAATCGCAGATCATGAGGGGCCGAGTAGTAAGACCTCACCGTCGTTTATATCTTTTGGGAGGAAACAATCTAGTGCTGCTACAGGTGCCGAAATACCGGCACCATCGTCACCGGACCAGAGTCGAGCTCGAACGAGAGCGAAATCAGTCACGGTACAGAGCAGGACGAGTAACTCCCCCCGCTCATCGATATTCAGAAAGAGCACAGCAACCAGAAACCATGACTCGCTAGAAGAGACGCTCAACAGTGACAAGATGGTTGCACGTGTGCATCGGATATCGCAGGCAGGACGATCTCAAGGCAGGCCGAGAAGTGCTAGCAGCACTTTCAAACGAAAAACGTCGGAAAATATGACAACTGCAACCCACGAGCTTAAGCAGGTACCGATCAAGTTCGTGCTGAGCACGGATTCGGATACCGCTAGCAGTAATTCGTTCCCGGATTCTATTTTGCTAAAGTCTGCTAACGGCAGTGATGAATTGCTGCCGCAGAGACGTGGAGGGTCGAGTATGCACTCGAAGGGTATGGCGAGGAGGCCTGTAAGTGTTTTTGAAGATCATTCTCGAATAAAAAATATTCTGATCTCGTTGCTTGTTAGGTATCGTGGGGCGGCTCGGTATCAACGTCATCGTCAACGACATCACCAAATGATTCATCAAACGGCCTCCCCGCAAACGTCGCAGACAGAATTGATTTCGATGCATTACGAATCCTGGATCGTTTCCAAGCGGTCAATATCCTCCCACGACTGCCTAACGATGATGGGTCCACACCAGACGGGTCACGAAACGGGAGCGTGACATATGGAAGTGTGACATTCGTCGACCCATTCTCATCCTCATCACAACACCACATATCACCAAGTTCGCCATCACATCCACATTCAAAGGCAGCGTCCGTGAAGAGAACGGCGTCAACGCTTGGCCGGGAGATACCGTCGTCACGGAAAAGTAGCGTTAGTGCATCATCACCTGCAAACTCAACCGAGTTGATGCAAGTGCGGGGATCGAATGCTATGGAATCGAGAACGACGAGACTGAGTATTGTGGAGATGCCAGAAGATACGGTTACGCCTGAAATAATGTTGAATAAGGCACTGCTGTGTGTTGTTGGTGGACTGAATCCAATACTGTCTGTTTCTACTATGCCGTCGGAGGGGTCAACGAATAGCAGTGATGTGGGCAGTCTTGGTGAACCAACGAATGCGAATATAACGACAGTACTCCATCAGGTGGAATTAACACCAATCACGAATTATAATGCTCCACGACAAACATCAATCCAAACCCCTGGATCACGAGCAGTATCGCACGTATCCAATACATCAACAGCGACATCATTAGCACCGCCAAATTCACCACCAGCCAATTCAACCGCATCTCGCCACCAAAATAGGGACAACAACAACAACGACAACACTGGCCCACTCCACGTCCCCGAAAACATGCTAGATGAATTCCACCGTCTGCACAAACCACCCGCCAAACCAGCCAACGTTGCAAAATTCCCCGTATCTCCCAAAACAATTTCAACTCTCCTCCCACCAAACATATTCGTCGAACTCCATCGTGGAATCACGCTTCTGCAATCCATATTTTCACAAGATTTGGGAAACCATTTGACATTTGAACGGCCATACGATTCGTATCTGCTACGTGTTAAATTCTGGAAGGATGATGCACGGATGATTCAGTTACGGAATTCGGGCGCGTTGGAAGGGCAGCAGCAGCAGGCTGTTGAGGAGGAGATATTGCTGAATAGTGAGAGGAACAAGTTGGTGGAGTTTGAGGTTGAGGTTTGTAAGGTTTGGTTGTTGAATATGCATGGGTTGAGGTTTAAGAGGCTGTATGGGGATCCGATTGTGTATAAGGATCTTAGAGACTCGTTGGTGAATGTGCTGCGACTGTAGGAGGGTGGATTGAGCATATGTTCGCAAAGTTGCTTTGTTTCATAGTCACATTCACAGCAAACTAAAACAGTAAACAGTTTACATAGTAGTCGCAAAAAAACCATCGTCTTGGTTTGAAAATTGCTTTATCTTTGCTGTTGTTTGACATTTGGTACTGCTCCCGCATACACTATTGTTCTTCCATTGGTACTTGTGTCCCAAAAACGGCAAAGACATACGTCTCGCCTTTTTCTTGTCACTATACATTGCTGCTACTCCTAATCTCCTGCATCAATGGCTGACATTCTCCAATCCTCAATGATCCCTGTCGCTTAACTAGGTATTCGAGAATTGCCTGCCACAAAAAAAAAGCATTACAAACTTCAGCAATGGCACTGTCGTCATCAAACATCTCCAAAATCCCAATAAATCCAGATATCAGCGACGCACTCCACTGCTCAGTTCTAACTTCATGTCTCAGAGGCTTATAGCACGGCACTCGAAACCCAAATTCCTTGGAAAAGAGACCACGATGTCGCGTTGCCTGTAATCGGATACGCGTGATCCGTCACGGTATTGAATCCACAGAGCAGCAACTAACCAAGACATCAAATTGGCATCATACAAATCCAAAAAAAAAAAACTGGGTATGCTTACACGTCACATCCCCCAACACAGCCGGCTTATGATAATACACACCCTCCCATTCCCTGCTCAACGCATGATGCATGCTTTTCTCACTGCCGCTAAACGCTACGAAAGCTTCGATGATGCCGATGACACTACTTCCGATGATACCGAGGAACCAAATGTAAGTGTGCGATGCGCATGTGAGCCCGCGTATGGATGATGTGAGGCCCAGAGAGGCGGAAATGACGGGGCCGAGTGGTGGGAGTGCGAGCGAGGGGGTAAGGGTGAGGTTCAGACGAGTGTTGTGGCTGCGTATAGGAGCAGGAGGAGAGAGAGGGCCTAATGTGTGGGGATGTTTGTGGTTTAAGGTCGGTTGTTTTGGTAGTGTGTGGAAGGGAAGCGGATGGCCTACCGCTGAAGTGTAGTAGTGGGTTTTCTTGTTTGGAATCATGGTTTGGTGCTGAAGCTCTTGCTGTCAGCAAAAAGTTGTTTGACGTCAAAGAATGTCTTTTGTATCAAGCACCCAAAAAAGAGGGGGAATGGCGTAATGTGTCTTGTATTCTTGATAAAACTTCTTGCCTTATTGGTAGCCAAACAGTAGTTTTACGGGATTTCTTCAAGAAATATTTGACTAGAACTCAACCGTATCGCGAGAGTGTACAAGGAGCAAGCAGTTAGCTTCATGTACTATATAAGCTGCAAGATTACGAGCAAAAAAGTTGGACTGCTGAGCTCCTATACCTTGTTCGGTTTACTTCAGTACTTCCTGGAGTACTTCCTCCAGCACCAGTGTGTGCTGTGATGAAGTGCGGTACACGTCAGAAACCACTTTTGTGCGTGTATTGGCACGAGGCAAAAGTACTACTGAAATATCCTATGATTAAAGAAATTCAATAAAGTGGAGATTTGCTCAAGAAATTGTCAACATTTGTCAACCAAAAGTGTGTCGTGAAGAAACTGCCGCATCAAATCCCTTGTTGTTTGTTTGAGCAAATCTTACCATCATCACCGCAACAAGTCGAGCTTGCCTTTTCTTCTCTCTCGACTAGCGTCCATTGCATTCTTTTTAGTTTTTGGCGGCACCCTTGTCACTATTGCAGTAGTCCGACTTCATCAAATTGTTTGCCTTTTTAATAACTTCAATCACCTTCTCACCACCCCAAAAATATCACATTCCATATAAGAGATCGCTACATAGTGGCATATCCAAGGTCGTTTACATCTAGTACATACACCATATCCTAGGGTCGAACTGTCAAAACAAGGTCAAGATCTATCAAGAAACAACAATGTTTGGAATTAAACAAGCAGCAACAAATTCATCAACCACCAAAACAACACCCAACGCAATGACATACAGCAGCAACAGAACAAGGCAGATGTCTCCATCTCCACAACTCCCACTGCCCATAACACCCACATTCTCCGTCGACTCGTTCTCCTCCCTCACATCTTCATCTGCCTCCTCCTTTTCATCACAAGGAACTTCAGGATCAGCGCGCTCATCACCACCAGCATCTCTCCTATCAATGCCAAACGAACGTACTACTACCAACGGAGCGGGCTCAAGTACCAATGCATCAACCCGCGCAATCAAGAACAATGCTACTATGACTGTGGCCACTACTGGAATCGACGAAGAGACAATAACTCCTGTCAGAGCAACACGGAAGAGCAAGAAAACGAATGTAACGGCGTTGGAAGCATCGCTGTATCCATGCTGTGGACCGAATTGTAGTGTCAGCAGAGTGGGCATGAAGAGTTGTAACAGGTGTCGAGGTGCTTGGTATTGCTCGGATGAATGTCAGGTTAGAGACTGGAGTTTGCACCAGCCGTTGTGTGATGATTGGGCTGATAATAAAGGTATGTATGTGTATGGAGAGGAAGTGTTGGGCACGTCCAACTTGCGGCCAACTTGACGTGCTTTTTTTTGCATTACTTTACAAACTCAGCAAAACAGCTCTTACAAGATACTAAACATTACTATAAATCTCATTTCACTAGTGGAAAGAGCAATAGCCTCCCGTTCCCTAGACGAATTCACCCACTTCCTAACAAACTACCCTCAAAAACAACCATCCATCGGTTCAGCATCCCTCCGCACCCTCCTATCTCGCGCATCACGCGAATGCTATGCCAAATATGGGCGCGGAATGCTCGAAATATCCTTCCCCGACACACTCTCATGTAAAGCCGCACTGCAAAACAAGGCACGTATAAACCAAGCACCAGCAATCCGCGAATCACGATATCTACGACCACGAGATCTCAGGTTTGGTGCTATTGGTGGATGTCTGGAGGGCGCAACGGAACCCGAGCTGGAAGAGTATGGTGATGCGTTGAGTAGATATGAGCCAAAGGAAAAGTTTTTGGTGCTGGTGGGTGTGTGGGTGGCGTTTAAACCACGGGTTGTTGCTGAGGATGACGTGGACGGTAGTGGTAGTAGTATTGTCGGTGGTATGAGTGGGTTGGCTAAACGCTTCTCGTTGAATCGGATGGTGGGCGTCTCTGCTAATGTTGGTGGTAGTCTGCGCAAGGAACGGCCTCGTGGTATTCGATTGGCTGTATTGGTTGCTCTAGATCATCCATAAAGGAAACGCAAGGGCTAGTGGTATACAAGACGGATCAATCAAGAACGGTTTAGGGAAATCAGGCAAAATCAGTTTAACTTATAAAATCAAGCTCAGTGCCGTAACTTATTATCATCTTCATTCAAGTCTCTCTCTTCAAGGAGTCATAACTTATTATTTATGGTTGCATGTGTTGGTAACCAAAATTATTCTTTTGCACGTTTTCATGGGGGGTTCAAACATGTGTTAAGTCAAGATCTGTATAGACATAATTTTTGGGGCTGTAACGTCATATAGTGTCAAGAGTCATATTTGGGTGTATTGGACAGAACAAGAAACAAATCATATAGTAAAAAACCACAGTTGGAGGATGTTGTGTGTCAATACAGAATCAAAAGTAATATTTCTGTCCATCTGTCTAGAAACAAGTTTAAAATAATCGTATCATGCTCATTTCCTTTTCAAATACAACAAGTACAACATGAAAAAATGAAAGGTTGGTCGATCGCCATAAGCATTAGTTCAATGCCTCGTCTTTGAAATTCCCCAAATGTCTTATTGAGCATATTCAAATCCACGATGATCCGTCACCGCAAAGGTAGATGGTTGGGACAGCAGCATGAACGAAACGATGTTGAGCTGTTTGGTATTGGAGTTTGCAATGTTCTCAATGTTTTCAGCTCCAGCGGTGCCTAAACAGTCAAAAACAGTTATGAACGTCTCGACACGTACGCAAGTGGTTACAGTAAGTAGCAGAACCGCCAATCATAAGGTACGAAACCACATAGAAGAAACGGTCTATGACTTGAAACTTGGACTCGGCCTTTTTCGCCTTGGTTCATGTTGCAGAAACGGCCAAAACAACCGTCAACGACCAGGCTAGATTGGCCTTTGTACAAACTATTTCCAATCTTCTTCAAATTACACGTACTTTGAGATCCTTGATATCGTTCGGATTCGAGACAGTCAGCTGGGATTATGGCGTTGAGGACCAAGTGTCTTCAGGTGCTATTAATATGAAGCCCAAAAAATGTTGAATACAGGCCAGAATGTGATACCAAATTGTACGCAGCAATCAGTTACGGTGAGGTTCCGGAAGGTCGAATAGGTACATCAGAACGGTTTGATCATGGTGAAAAGTCGACAACCTCATGTAATCTGAAATGAAAAAGATTTGATTGTAATAAGCAATTCCACTTTTCTTTCGTCATTCAAATCCCAGGCAACCATTGATGCTTCCTGTCCTAGAGATTCGATACTGTTATCACAACTCAAATGGCCAGCACGAGATTCAGTAGTGTGAGCTTTAGCACCACCTATGCCTTCTTGCGTAACTTCTTTCTTGGTGACGGTCTTACGACTTCAGGACCAACGACAAAGAAGTATGTTGTGTCTTGGGTCATGAATGTAAAGTCTGTTAAGGCGAGTGAGTGTACGGTACCACAGAAAATCGAGATTTGGGTTATATGCAATGTTGGATGTAGTTTTGTTCCGACCATAATGTATCTTGTGCATACCAGCACAAGGAGCCATCGACATTGAGATTCGAGGTGCGATATCGGAAGCAATGACGGTACACTAGGGGAAGAATGTTTCTGTTCAAGACTCTCTACCAACTACAAAAAACCCACAATCTAAATATCCTTATGCCAACATACTTGGAAACTGCCATTCAAGTAGCCCAACATCTTCCTGAATAAGAGCTCCTCCAGAATTGTTCAAGTCAATGCCCTGGTGGTCCAACCACGACAGCCTAATCTAGAGTATCCACACAACATATTCAACCGAATGAACCAGCATTCAAGACAACATCCAAATGCCTTTCTTGAGCTTGTTCAGTTGTCCTGTGATGGTAATGAAACGATTTCCAAAGGTCTGGTACCAGTTGCTTTTGCGTAGAGTGAGGAGTACGGTGTCTACTACTACGGTGCTTCAGTTTTCTTGTTTCCTATACATTCAACAGGTGGCTTCAGATCGTAGCTATAAAAAAACATCGTTTGGCAACATGTGTATGCAAAGCTTCTAAAGTGTGTTTGACGTCCACCAGTCCACTAATAAGACATACTTGCAAGCGGTTTTCGTACTTTGGTTGTACATACCTTTCTCTTAGAGGACGCTCCATAGGCAGAATTCCCTCTTGGTGATGTGAACTGTGATGCAGGGATGTAGGTGCTCTCAAACGTCATTGGGTCAGGCAGCATCAGCAATACCCAGTAAACCAAATCCATCAGATCCATCATCCAAGCAAAACCAAATAGGGGGTACCAAAACAAACAGAAAAATTTCGATGAAGAATCAAAGAAGTATATTCTCTCTCTAAAAAAAAGTGGCTTTGCAAAAAACAATATCTTTTTTGCTCCTCTCTCTCCAATACAACATGTTCAACAACAACCACCAACAGACATTCTCATATCAGATAACGTTTAAAGAGGAATGTTTCCGTGCTTCTTCTTTGGGTTTTCACGAGCCTTGTTTTTGAGCATCTTCAAGTCCTCAATGATGCGTCTACGTGTAGTAGATGGGAGGATGATATCATCGACGAATCCACGTTGGGCTGCTGGTAGTGGGTTTGCGAATTTCTCGATGTATTCGGCTTCAGCGGCACCTATGTGTTGATGACATAGTTGGTATCAGTCGGCGTCAGACGTGCGTGGATAGAATCGATGCAAAAATCTCCATATGACTGTCTGTTTTTTTGCTCCGGCAAACATCTTCACCCTCCACAATCCCCCTTCTCCAAATCATCAGGATAGTCACGTACCCTTGTCTTTAGCAGCCCTGAAGATAATTTCTACGGCACCCTTAGCACCCATAACAGCGATTTCACCAGTTGGCCATGAGTAGTTCATGTCCCCTCTTAAATGCTTGGACGACATGACATCGTATGCACCACCATAAGCTTTACGTGTGATGACTGTGATCTTTGGTACGGTGGCCTGAAATGAGAATGGACAAGGAGATCAGTGAGTGAAGGAGAAGACTACTCAGTTCGGTGTGACTGTGATAAAATCTTCCTGCACAAAAGACCAAAAAAAGCTCCACTTGAATCGACAAGCATACCTCAGCATATGCATACAACAACTTGGCACCATGTCTAATAATACCACCATGCTCTTGGTTGGTACCAGGCAAGAATCCAGGCACATCGACAAACGTCAATACGGGGATGTTGAATGCATCGGCGAATCTAATCCATCGGGCAGCTTTAACTGACGATGTAATGTCCAATACACCGGATGAGACTAGAGGTTGGTTTGCTACAATAGCAACAGTGGCACCGTCGAGACGACCGAAACCAATGACCATGTTCTTGGCAGAGTCTGGTGCGATTTCAAAAAAGCGGGAGTCGTCTACGACCTAAATTGGAGATGATGGAGGTATTAGGGTCACCATACAATTCTTATTTTTCTAAGCTTTGTTTGTGTTTTGGGCGCGACCAAAACAGCAAAACCGAAGGGCTAGGCATTTGCTTACTCGTGCTATGACGTCCTTGATATCGTAGGCTTTGGTAGAATCAGCTGGGACGATGGTGTTTAGGACAGGGTCTTCTCGGGTGCTATGATTGTGTACCAAAAAGAGTCAAATAGGATGCAGATGATGCAAATATGTTATGAGCCACTCACGCTGAGTCTTCAGTTGGTCGAACAGGTACATCAGAGCGGTTTGATAATGGCAAAAAGTCGACAAAGTCACGTAATCTATATGGTTGAGAATGCAAAGTTAAAATCTACGGTTTTTTTTCTCGCCATATACATTGACCACATTGGACACAACTCACTGTGACAAAGCCTCGATATCATTATCAAAAGCCAAATGAGCAACACCAGATTTGGTTGTGTGAGCTTTTGCACCACCTAGATCTTCTTGGGTGACTTCTTCGTTGGTGACGGCTTTAACGACTTCAGGACCAGTTACGAATAGGTATGAGGTGTCTCGGACCATGAATGTAAAGTCGGTTAAGGCGGGTGAGTATACGGCACCACCTAGAAATCGAGTTTTGGGTATGAGACAAAAGTTCATCCGATCTTTTCTCCCATAAGCCATCATGAATCATCTCCAGCTTACCAGCACAGGGACCCATGATCATAGAGATCTGAGGAACTACACCGGAAGCCATGACGTTACGCTAACGATGAAGCTGTCATGTTAGCCTCATCCAAGAGTCCCTCCTAAACAACCGAGAAGTGACAACATACTTGGAAGATGTCGGCATAACCAGCCAACGAGTCAACACCTTCTTGAATACGAGCTCCTCCAGAGTCGTTCAGACCAATGACTGGTGCTCCAACCAAGACAGCTTGATCCATAATCTAAAGCACAAAAAAGGACAAAGTAAGAAAACCCTATGCAAGTCACGTAAAGCTTACACCCAGTAAATTCACACCTTGCATATCTTTTGAGCGTGCATCTTTGACAATGAACCACCAAAAGTGGTGAAATCCTGACTGAATACATATACCAAACGTCCATTGATTGTTCCCCAGCCTGTTACCACACCGTCACCAGTGATCTGGATAGTTTCAAGAATGTTGGGTTTAGGTAAAAAAAACTGGCCCAGGTCCCATAATGTGCTCAATGTACCTTTTGCTTTTCCATTCCGAAATCCACACATTGGTGTTCGACGAATGCATCATATTCACGGAATGAGCCAGCATCCAATAGCAAATCTACACGTTCTCTGGCGGTCAATTTGCCCTGTTGCGATAATAATGTAAGTCTCACGATCAGTACAGGTCAAGAGTAGCAAGCAAGCCTAGCATACTTTTTTGTGTTGAGTGTCGATACGGTGCTGTCCACCCCCTAAGAATGCTTCCTTTCGCTTGTTTTCTATGGCCTCAACGAGAGCCTAAGTTGCAACAAAACAGAATGTTAGTTGATCCTCCAAATGTGGGTTCTGGCACATCCAAGCTGATGCACTGCATGCATCAGAGGACACTGCGTCCTTGTGCATATGTGTGTGTCTTCCATCTGTTATATATACCTTTTCTTTTGAGGAAGCTTCAGAGGCATAATTCCTCCTTGTTGATGTGAATTGTGATGCAGAGGCTACAGCCACTCTAGCAGTGTTTAGCCTGGCAGCATAGGCACCGGCTCTTAGTAGCCTCGAAGCAGCGGCAGTCCTTTGCATGGTTATGACAATATGCTATGGAGGATGACGGGAGAGGGTGATCAAAACAGTTCAACCAGGTTTTTTGGTGAAAAGAGGGGAGTGGGTTTTAGTTTACCTGGAAGTGAGGCTAGCCTGAGATATAGAGCAAAAATAAGGCGAGCGATTTGCTTCCACCTGTATGATGTTTACAGTGATGTTATTTTGGTTGAGAAGACGGGAGTAATCGGCGTGTGAAAATTTGTGACACCGACTTGACATCACTTTTTTGAACCGACAAATCCTCCCATTAGCTCATACCAATCACTCACCTTTAGCGTCACTTTTGTTATTCATCTTGTTGCTGCAAAGAAGGTATTCTATGTTCTCCATTCATCATCGAGGCCTGTACGGTCTTCCCGTATCAACTTTCAACAAATGCACCCTTTGACTAGTCGGGAGAACTGACTCTTTTTTTCACTTTCACATACATAGTCTATCTTTGGTAGCTTATTCGAAAAATGTTCCACCAGGTCGCTTCTAGGCAGCACGCTCGCGCCGTCTCTAGAGTCGTCGTGTACTCGAGAGCGCACAACATTAGATGTCTTGCAACCACTGCCGACTATGGAAAGGTACAGACAACTTGCAAATCCAGCGGAAGAGAGCACATTATCGACACCAGAGGCACTTGTATCAATCCGTACAAAGACTTGCCTGATGCATCTCTCCTACTAGACATTCGACAAGATTCTCGTCGCAAACCGTGGTGAAATCGCTTGTCGAGTCATCAAAACAGGTACTTAGACGCCCTGATGTCGTACTGACATGCTTACTGTCGTGGTTATCAGTATGGAATTACAAGTTTCAGTCGCTCACTCTCGTACCCTCCTACGAAAAACTTAGCCAAAAAGATGGGAATCAAGACTGTAGCCATCTACTCTGACGCCGATGCAAACTCGCTCTTTGTCGAAATGGCCGATGAAGCAGTCAACGTCGTAAGACCAAGCGCGTATACACTCCAGATCGTGTTTAAGTCGTTACTCATACATTGTATCTCAAGGGTCCTCCACAAACGAACAAATCATACCTCAACATCCCAAACATTATCGGCGCAATCAAAAAGACGGGTGCTCAAGCTGTACATCCAGGTACCTATCATTGTAGACACCCCGTGGTCATTTTTGTTGTGGTATAGCTCACACCTCATACTAACACCGACATTGCTGTGCAGGTTACGGTTTCCTTTCAGAAAACTCCCATTTCGTCAAAGCACTAGACGACGTCGGTGTCACATTCATTGGACCCAATGAACGGGCAATGGCTGCTATGGGTGACAAGATTGAATCTAAAATATTCGCAAAGAAGGCTAATGTTAATGTCATTCCGGGATTCAATGGTGTTGTTAAAGATGTTGATCATGCTGTACAAATCGGTACGTTATCTACGGTTTCTTGTCTTTTTCCCCCCAGTCTACACACTCTCACATCTTTGTTTCTGCAATCAGCCAAGGAAATCGGGTACCCAGTCATGGTTAAGGCTTCAGCTGGTGGTGGAGGAAAGGGAATGCGTATTGCCTAGTACGTTATTTATATACTGTTGTTCGAGTTGTACATTCTATTTTTGCTTCGCTGGTTCTATACTTAAACTAACATTTCGACTATCTAGTGACGAAAAGGAATGTCGAGAAGCTTTCCGTATGTCAACCGCCGAAGCTCTATCCTCTTTCGGTGACGATCGTATGTTAGTGGAAAAGTTTGTAGAAAACCCTCGTCACATTGAAATCCAATTGATTGGTGACAAGCAAGGCAACGTGGTATGTATCTGGAATTAGTGGAATGCGAGCCAGTGCACCAATCCTTTGGATGTATTTTTTTGTCGGTGATTTCTTATACTACTCAACATTTCATCTAGTACTATCTACCAGAACGTGAATGTTCCATCCAACGTCGAAACCAAAAAGTCATTGAAGAAGCTCCATCAGTCCATATCGACGCAAAGACTCGTAAGGCTATGGGTGAACAAGCCGTAGCTTTGGCTCAAGCTGTCGGATACTACTCTGCTGGTACTTGTGAATTCTTGGTTGACCCTCAACGAAACTTTTACTTTTTGGAAATGAATACTCGATTACAAGTGTAAGTGGTGATATTGTTGTGTGGTACAGTGTGTGTGACGATGGCCGCCGTATGCAAAGAATAAGAATTATTTTTTCTTTACCTCAAACCTAATATTGACACTATTTCACCATCATGATAGTGAACATCCAATCACAGAATACATCACCGGTCTCGATCTCGTAGAACTCATGATCCGTGTCGCAGCAGGCCAAAAACTAGACCTCAAGCAATCCGAAATCGGAATCAACGGTTGGGCTTTCGAGTCTCGTGTATACGCTGAAGATCCAGAGAAATACCTTCCATCTATCGGTCGATTAAACAAGTATATCGAACCTAAGGGAACACACGGTGAAATCCGATGTGATACTGGTATTGTAGAAGGCAGTGAGATCAGTATCTACTATGATCCATTGATTTGTAAATTGGTCACTTATGGAAAGTCGAGAGAGGAGGCGAGAATCACGATGGAGAAGGCTTTGGATTCGTATGTTATTAAAGGTGAGTTTTATTGCTTGGAGAGTGGCATGCAGAGGACGCAGTTGGTTTAAATGTTTACCAATGCTTGAGGAATTATTCTTTCTTTTTTTGCATCCAAACTAACTTGCACCTTTCGGAACTCACCCCACCTTCTTCGTCTCAACAGGTGTGACCCACAACATCCCTCTCCTCCGTGAAGTAATGTCGCACCCCCGCTTCGTATCTGGCAAAATCTCAACCAAATTCCTCGCCGAAGAGTACCCCAAAGGTTTCAAAGGCAAAACCCTCGACGCCGCATCCAAACTCGAACTCCTCGCCGTTGCCGGACTAATCAAAGCCAAACAAGAAGCTAGAGACCGTACATGGTTGTCTGGTGGTGGATCTGTATCCCAAGTATCGTCCAAGTCGCACTGGGAATACTTTATTGGAATAGGGTCTGAGGGTGCTGATAAGGTTGTTGTGACCAAGGATAAGAAGGGTGATTACACTGTTAAGGCGCTTGGAGAGACTATTGCTGTGTCTGCTGACTGGGCGTTAGAGTCGCCATTGGTGAATGCCAAGGTTGGAGACAAGGAGGTTGTATTGCAGTACTCGGATACTTTGCCATTGGGTTTCAGATTGATTCATTACGGTTCCAAGGTAGGGTTGGATTATGCAAAAAACATCTGTAATGAAACCTCATAACTCATGTATTTCTTCTGTTCTCTAGTTTGAACTGACAGTCAAGACAGAAGCTCAGCACGCCTTATCAAAATACATGAAGGAAAAGCCCAAACTCGACTTGTCCAAGGTCGTGCTCGCACCCATGCCAGGAACAGTCGTGTCGATGGCAGCTAAAGTTGGTGACGTTGTAAGTAGCTGTACATAACTTGTGCCAGTATTATCTTTTTTTATCCATACTCGCCATCTCACATTCCTGTCATACTAGGTCGCCGAAGGAGCTGAATTAGCCGTAGTAGAAGCCATGAAGATGCAAAACGTGCTCAGGGCTCCACGAGCAGGCAAGATATTAAAGGTTAACTGCAAGGCTGGATCAGCTGTAGCTGCTGATGAGATCATGATTGAGTTTGAGGATGAAGTCAAGGCTTAAAAAAGGGGGATAATCAAAAGAGGATTTTTTTTGGTTGAGACTATTTCTTATAGATGCATCGTGTTTTTTCTTTTTGTAATGTTTGTTTTGGAATGAAACAGATTGGTTGCAAGAGGTGTATGGTATGTTTTTACGCGATGAACGCGTGGAGGTTGCATTGTATTGTACGGGTGGAATGTTTCGATTGTGTTGTTTTCAATACGAAGACAGACAAGAAAAAGGCAGCAATAACCGAAGAAGCAGTGACTCTGTCTAATGAAATCGTTGATAAAGTGCTCGAGTAAGTAGAATTCAGATTAAACTGTGTTGTTCAATACTATGTTTCTATAATTACATGGGAAAATGACCACCAACACTACTCAAATTATATCATATTCTGATGAGGATCATACGAAAAATAAGCCCTAAACATTCCATCCTCACGCAACTCATCACATTGCTTGACGACATCATACACATGCAAGACCAGCATAGGAAACCGTGATGTAAAGTACGACAAGAATCCATCTGGCAATGAGCCTAGTGCTCGTTTAACATTATCTGGGAGATCCTGGTAATGGTGTTTCTGTTTCAAAAGATAATCACAAGGTCAGTAAAGCAAGTGCAAAAAAAAACTCCCGCAAAGAAGAGCCACAACTTGCCTTATTTCGCAACGCCCTCAGCAAATCACGAACGCTCGCACCATCATACTTCCTATATTTACCGAGATTGTCCAGCAGCATCTTGTCAATCCTCTTGTACCAGTCTGTTCCAACGACACGACTAGCATTGGCTTCAAGTAGTGCTAGTAGAGGTGACGGTGGATCTCGTTGTTCAACTTCAAATCGATCCGACACGTCTTGTAGGAATGAGAGTCGAGTTGCAGGTGACCAAAAGTATGGATGAGTTAGGACTTCAGCTGCGTCAGGCCTAAATGCAGAAACAGGTACATAGTGGGGAGTGAGCAAAAAAGGAAACAGCTGATAAAAAAAACAGATTCACACACCTTTTTGAAGAATCACGTTGTATCATCCTCTCAACAAGATCTCTAGCAATAACTCCCTCCTCTCCAAGCCCATCAAGGGCATCCAGAGAATACAATCCACGAAGCACATTCACTTCTCGTGAATACCGATCTCCAAAAGGATGCTCTCCATTCGAAAGCACGTAATAAAAGACACACCCAGCCGAAAACACGTCAATGGATTTCGTGATTCGACCTTGCAATGCCAGTTCTGAAGTCAGTGGCGGCATACCGATACTACTATTACTATGATTGTTTTGTTTGTTACTGTTATTGGGTTCAGATGCTTCGCCCCCTTTTACAAATCCGTCTGAATCCGAACTTCCGTTTGTAGCAGCGTTGTTATTATTAGGTGTTTGATGTTCTCGTTGGGCTGTTACAGGCATGCATTCAGCGGCTCGCCATCCAAGAGTTCCTCCTGTGTTGTTCACAGTGTGTTGGAAGGAGGATTGATCATCAGCTAGTCGTTTACACAAGCCAAAGTCGGATATGAGGATACGTGGATGTCGATTTTTTGATGCTTTAGCATTAGGTCGACTTGGAGCAGATGAGATTAAAATGTTCTGTGGTTTGATGTCTCTATGGGATATCAATAATGTTGATTATTAGTAATTCATGCCAAGGGTTGAATAGTAGTTTTTTTGGCTCATTCACTTCTCGTTCCAGTCGAGCCTTCACAACCACTAAGCCACTCGACATTCAATACACAGCACACAGAACGTACCTATGTACAATCTTGAGTGTATGCAAATGATGCAGACCAGCCATGATTTGGTATAAAACTCGAGCAGGATTGAGTTCCTGTCTCAAAACCAGCAAATCAGGCCGTGACGGTGACTCAATCACATCAGCTAAAGAGGCAGGACATAATTCCAATGCTATATACATGAACTTCTCTGATTTTTCCTAAAGTTGAGGAAAACACTATGTTGGTTTCAAACCGCAAAAAAATACTTTGCAGGAACAGTAAGGACTTACTTGACAGTAATATCTAACCACATTTGGATGATGATCACTATCTTGCAACACTTTGACTTCATGATGAGCCACTTCATAAAAGTCAAGCAAGAGTCTTTTGATGGCCACATCTCGATTCTCGAATGAGCCACGATAAACAACGGTTCCATGAGATCCATATCCTATATGGAAAATGACCAGAGTTCCTGTTAGCTCAAAGAGTTGACAGTGTGCGGTGCAAAAAAAGGCCCAAGATTGTCGGATGCTCACGAAGAGTTTCAGCAATTGATCCCATCAACCACCACTAACGCACGCACTCACCTAATACCTCCTCCGTAACAGTCAAAGACTTCAACAACGCAGCCGACTGCTGTTCCTGCTTCTTCACCGCACTAGTAGTACGTGGCCCTCGGCGTCTCCTCCTCTTTCCATCATTCGCAATACCTTCACCATCAACAGCTTTAATAACAACTTCTTTCGGGCTTCCAGGCACCTCACTCAACACACCATTACGATTCGAATACCACATATAAGCTCTCCAAGTCACATACACAATCAAGACAATTCCAGCAGTCCAGACGGTAAGCAGTTCGATAGTAGAAGTAGGAGCAATCTGTCTCATCTGGACTGATCGACCATGTCTGAATTCTCGCATCCAAGTATTCCAGCTGTTGCCGTAAGACTTCCAAGTAGGTGCACCATCTTCTTCGACAATGTGTGATCCAATCAAGCATTTAGGATCTACACATTCGGGATCTGATGACGATGGGAGGCCGCGTGGACGGAATGCATCTAGCAAGTTTGGGAAGGATGCGGAAGACATAATATAGTATGTCTTGTTGACGACACCTATATAGCCTTCGGTTTTACGTTTATTTGGTCCTAGAGGTGCAGGTGGTGGATATGACTTTTGAGCTACATATTTGTCACTGGTAGATGAATCTCCAGTTATAGTAGTAGATGGATTATCATTCAAACTACTTGATCGAGTTGGGTTGACAGAGAAGGCAGCTACAGGAGGTGACTCGAACTGCAGCTGCAATTCATTTACACCTTTAATCAAAAAGGTTCCATCTACGCCACTAGAGTAATGATATTCCGGCCCTTTCAGCAAACTGGTACTGGTCCTACGACGAGTACCTCCTCCATCAGTCAACAATCCCCCCTGATTGTTACTCGAGACTGCGGATGTGTCATCATCCATGTCAGCGGTCGTGAATTCCGTATATGATATATTCCATCGTAGTCGACGAGTATCTCGGTCTAGAATCGATAAACTATATTCTCGCTGTCCGAGTAGGATGACGTTTGGTTGTTTACCATCTGGTGACGACTCTGAAGCAAAGGAAGCGTCTAATACATCATCGCTAGTATATATATGAAGGATTTTGCCTGTTGACGCGTCCATCGAGAAGTACTTGTCAACTTTACGACCAATGGTGATGAATCGTTCAGATCGAAAGGGTGACTTTTCGACCATCCATTTTATAGAGTACGGTAGTTTCTATGATTTTGAAATCCCGAGTCAGTCCAGGTAGTAGAAAAAAGTCGAAAGCGAGTCCACTCGGGCCGACGAGGCACAACAAAAAACATCGCAAATACATCTTCTGTATGTGCTTACAGACAAACACCTAACTTCACGACATACCTTAATAGGCTGTCCCGTCCCAGGTTCATGCAAATACAAGTTACCCTGGCCAGTAGGCTCCGGTATAAACACAATATTATTGTCCACGTCACCGTCAGACGACGAAGGCAGTGCCGCCTGTTCAGCAGCGACATGTTGCAATACAGCCCCCATCTCCTCATCATCAATGATGTTCTCAGGCACGTCTGTTTCAACGGCACATGTAGTCTTGTCCGTTTCTTCTGGTACAAGGTCATCACCAATACCAAGTCCCGAGTTGTTTGACTCTGTCTTCTTCTTGAGCGTTGAAGAAGCCACATCCACACGGACCATTGGACCGACTAGTTTATCATGACTCCACAAGACAGATCCAGTGATCTTGTTGATTCCGTGCAATCCTCCATCAAGCGTATTAACAATAACAATTTCTCCTGGTTCAATGGAAGAAGGTAAGCGGTGGTTTGGACTGAGAGGAGCTATAACGTGATCGTCTGGGATTATGAGAACGGGGGCGACAGCACCATCGTTTCCTGCCCTATCCACTAAATGTGCTTGACGTCTCGATGGTCCTCCAGGAGTAGAATCCGTTAAAGTGAATAAGAGTAATAAGAGCAGCAGAATCAGGCTATATCGTATCTTCAACATGGTCCATGCTACTGTCTCCTAGCTACTCTCTACCGACAGGTTGCTATTAGTAATTGTGCTTACTTTCACTGGATTCGACGAATGTCCGATTTGTTGTAGAGACAAGTTGACACGAGCAAAGTTGTCCTGTAGCAAGGGTGAACCTGGTATTTCAAATCTATACGCGTATTAATGGCAGGTGATCATCGCTCCTTGACTGTATAGGCTATGGTAAGAGAGAAATAGTTGACAGGAAGTTTGTTCTCGCGAACATGACGTTATTTCTTGGAGTTGTTGTGATTTGCCACGTTGATTCACCTTACATTAGGCGTCAAAAATCAGAACCTGCTATCGTCTGCCTGCCTCCTTTGTACTAAATTGTCAAATGCTCCTTCTGTAAAAGTTCAACGTTTTAGAATAATAGAAACCCATCAGTTTTCCCAACAGTGTAGAGCAAAGAAGATCATAAAGCCATGTGTAAGTACTATATATAATCACTTTTACTACAGTCATCCCTCTTCTTCCATCAAACACTTCACTAACGACCAACATCAAATCATAGCTGAACGAAAGGTCTTGAACAAGTACTTTCCTCCCGACTTTGACCCGGCCAAAATCCCAAGAAGGAAACTCGACAAGGCCCAACAACATAAAGTCCGTCTGATGGCCCCCTTCTCCATGCAATGTAATACTTGTGGAGAGTACATTTACAAGGGAAAGAAATTCAATGCTAGAAAGGAACGTGTCGAGGGTGAAGACTATCTGGGTATACAGATATTCAGGTATGTGTGTTTTGTTAACATTGGTAGTGCTGAGATGAGGTTTAGCTTTGCTGCTCACTGAGATTACCACCAACTCACTTTCCCTTCTGATCTATAGGTTCTACATCAGATGCACACGATGCTCTGCCGAGCTAACCTTCAAAACGGACCCAAAAACCTCAGACTACATATGTGAAGGTGGCGCACAACGTAACTTTGAACCATGGCGAGAAGAAAAGATAGTCAGTGAAGAACTCGCAGCCTCACGTGCCCAAGAAGAAGAATACAATCCAATGAAGGCACTCGAAAACAGAACCGTAGACTCTAAACGTGAAATGGATATCCTAGACGCCCTAGACGAAATACAAACCCGAAATGCACGCACAGAACGCGTAGATGCTGATGCTGTATTGACGAAATTGGTTAAAGTGAATAAGGCTAGTAGGGTGATGACTGAACAGCAGCAGGAAGAAGAGGATGCGAGGATTGCTAGGATGGTGTTTCAGGGTGGTGTTGATGCTGATGGGGAAGGGATACGACGTGTTGGGGTTGAAGAAGACGAGTACGCTGAATCGCTTGTGCATAAAGCTAGACAGAGTAAAAGTATCGCTATTTATTTACGTGATGATGATGATGATAATGGTGGTGATGACGACGAGGATCTAGAAGATCTGGATGCTCTCGTAAACACTCGACATGGTAATAACGGTGCTAGCAGTAGTAGTAATGGCGGATCAAGAGCATCTATACTCCCCACTTCCAGTAGCAGCAGTACAATAAAACCCGTCGCTCCCACATTGAAGAGGCCAGCACCAGCTTCAACCAGTCTAGGCATAGTAGTCAAGAAGAGCAAGCCTGAAGTGAAGCCAATAGTGAAGCCAACAGCACCAATAGTAGCAAAGAAGCCCGCCAATGCACTTAATCTATTAGGCGGTTATCAAGATGATGACGAGGACGATTGATAATGCGTATAACATTTTGTAACGCCCGATAACAATGTAGAGAACGAGCATATTTCCAAAAAATAAACCATAGTTTCATATTTGCATCAACATATATCTTATGAGGAACTGTTTTCAACCAAGAAGCTATATGAAAGCTGATGGTGTAAGCATACTGGATCGTCAAGATTTTGATTTTGTTGCCCTTACCCAACATGATCATATTTCGACTGGAAATGCCCAGCCCACTGACGCAACTCATCCCACTCATCACGACTCAGATTCTCCAACGTATCAATCCTTCCAGCAGGATCTACCAGCATGTCTTCATCAAACGACCCCTTTGATAGACCTCGCGATGCGTCTCGGCCTGCAAAGTTTCCATACGGGCCACCTTTCATACACAATTCGAGATTTAGAATTTAGAACATGATCAATTGTGATCTTCATAGGTATGAACTTCCAAACATCGTGATCTGGTACTACCAGGACAGGACTATGTACCTGGTCCATAAAAGTTGGCGCCACGACTGACATCATATACCCGTCCATTAACACCCATGAATATCTTTTTCGATTTGCGGCCGTCGTATTCGAGGAGTTCGATTGGTGTATAGTTCCTTAGTTCGATGACGGCTATTTCATTTGTTAAAGAAGTGAGTAGATGTTGTTGGTTCAAGCCGTAACTTGACACAGAGAACATGCTAGTATAAGCGAATTCAAAGTATTCCATATCCTGCTTTATTCACATTTCAATTGTTTCATTTTGCTTACTTGGATGTTGTGATGGAGCAGCCTTTGAACTTCCTGATGTAGCGAGGGAATAGATCATATAGGCCACACCGGCTAGTAGCGCTGCATTCAGTGGGTTGTCTTTGATGAGGTTGAGTGTTGATTGGAGTGGCATCTTGCTCTTCTCTGTGGCTTTTTGGAAACTCGTGAAATTGTGAACGTGGAAGTGTTGGATGAAACTTAGGCAGTTATAAAAAGCGGGAGTATGAGATTTAACCGTACGTGTAGAAAACGGTTGCATCTTGCACTTCAGGTAAATACTACTCTTTATCGAACGTGATATAAATTGACGCGTACTCCTGCCAAAACGACCTTCTATGTTTTCTTTACACTGCCGCGTCCCACACATTCAATTTCTTAGCATCGCGTAGAGCAATGAGCTCGTCACATGTGGTCTTGAGCGACTCTTCAATCGGTATAAAAGTCATTCCAAGAACGGTTTTTGCGCGAGTAGCGTTGATGGTTGGGTGTTCATCGTATACGCCTGGCTTTCCTTCGGCGATTGGTTCCTAATGTAAACGTGAATGTGTTTAGACCAACGTTTTACTGGTGCTTAGACCAACTGCTAACAGTCTGGATGTGAGTTTTATGTACCTTTGGATACAGTTTCCTCAAAATGTCAGCGACTTCTTGAAAGCTTTTGAAATCAGAGGCGCATAGGAAGCGTTTGCCACCCGCTTCTTTTACTTCGATAGCTAAAACGTGTGCTTTGGCCACATCTTTGACACTATCAGTAGCGAAAGGATCAGTGAAAGGTTGTGGCAACAATATTCAAAGCAATAACAACAGTGAGCTGAGCGACAGCAGTCCAACCATATAGAAGATGCCCTTGAAGTACTCACTCAACGAATCCAATAGCACCTGGTGGAATTGGGTTTCCCTTCAATATATTATAAACATTATTTGTTGAAGTGTTGAGCTGTTCCACGCCTGAGGTCTCGTGGATTAGAGCGCCAATAACGAGAGGTGGGTTGATGGTGACGATATCAAACTTTGGTTGGTTGTCTTCAACGAACTTCCTACAAGGGTTCAAAGTATGAGGTTACTACGAGTATAAAGGATCAAAGCATGGGCTAAGTTCCCTCAAACGACTTTCAAAAGGAGTTACAGCGCCCTGTCCAAGAATCAAGCGTCCAACACATACCAGGCAGCCCTTTCAGCCAGAGTTTTTGAAGCACGGTATCCCAACATGCCAGCATCTTCAGGCTTCGAAGATTCATTCCAATCAGCTTCAGTGTACTCATGATTAGCAGGCTTGTTGACAACATCAACCACAGCAGCGAAACTTGACGTGACGACAACACGTTTGACTTTCGAGTCCTTGTCATTGTATACAGATTGCAGGACACCGACGGTACCCTTTGTGGCTGGTATAACCAATTCCTACATATCAATTAGCAGGTTGTCAGTATGTTGCAACGTCTATATGTCAAGCTTAAAGTGATTTCGCACCTCATAGGCATCTCCCTTGGGCAAATAGAAAGGACTTGCGACGTGTAGGATAAAGTCACAATCCTTCACAGCCGAATCAAATGCTCCATCCTTGGTGATGTCATCAACGACAACAACCGAGAACTTGTCTCCGTATTTGGCAAAGAGGTTCGTCAAATGTGTTCCTTTTGCAGCACTTCGGACTGTTCCGCGGACAGAGTAGCCCTTTTCTAGTAATTGTTGGACACAATGAGCCTAAAAACGCATATGTTTAGTACGCAATCATACTGTCCCATACACGAAAATCGTCGTTTGCCAAATAACCAAATCGATCAAAAGCTTCTTCAGGATCCGATGATATGAGGACTTACTGCAATGAAACCATTGGCTCCAGTGACTAGAACGAGGTCTCCGTGAGCCATTCTTTCTTATTCAAACTGTGGTTAGCTTGGGATGTTTGCAGATTTATTGGAATCGTGGACAAGAGGCATTTTTGGGAGCTGTGGTCAAAGTACGAATTACACAATGGATTTCTGATTTTGAATATGTCAGATGGAGATCTGGAAACGTGTTGATGAGCGAACGCTATGCGATTTGCTTCGCTACACGCAACCGTGACATCAAGATTGGCGTATTGGACTTACACCGGTCTGGATCTATCCCTGGACCTTTCCGGAATCGCTATCAGGAAGATAGCAAGAACGGGGATTGTTGTCTACAACCTGCTATTAGGCTGATTGCTGAGGTGATGCATCATCATCAAACCTCCACACCTTCATTCAAGCAAATAGCCACGCAAGGTGAGAGTTCCTATTCTAGGACTGCATACCAAGATGCATGCCTTTGTGTAGATACATGCGATTAACTCATTGATGGTTCCCTGTCTAGTTGTAGCTGGATCAATTTCCAACCAAAAGGTTTTTCAATGCTCTTGAAAACCAAATATGAAACCCATTAACGCATCTCTGAGTACTCTTCTACTCCCACTGATACTATTTTCCATATCGGGAAAGGCTTCCATTGTGCCAGCAGGGTAAGTTGCACTAGCCAAACACGCAAATCAAACACTAACACTCTTCCCACCATCAACCAGACATATTGGAGTAGTATGCGACGCAAAAGTCCCGAATACGACGAACTGGCAGCCATCCTATGGCTTCACCAGACAGTGCTGCTTTGGGGTGGGGAATATTATGGTAGACAGAGATCCGGCATCTAATTCCAGACTAGGTGAAAAGCTAAAGACGTTCTATTATGCTTGAAGGCCATATAGTCCTGATTCAACACTTGGAAATTAGTGCTTTCCTCTCGACTTCGAACCATATTTCCAGTGTTGTCAAGGTATTGGTGGATCTGGTGGATCCGGTCATATTGGAATATAGTTCTTTCGATCTGCAAGGTCTTATCGAGGCCTCGGGCATCCACCTTGTTGCTGTGTGGTTTGGTTGGAGATCTGAATTAACGGACCGTCAGATAGCTCTCTTTGGTCTACCTCTCTTCAATGGGGAACAACTTTGACGCTCAAGACTGAGATTGTCTGATTTGTCAAAACGCAGGAACAGCCCCTAAGCTGAAATTTCCCATCTTTTGAAACCCGGTCGCTACTTGTATTTGAAAGCAGTTTATTATTGCTATGTGAAGACTTGCTTGTCTATTGTTTGGCAATCAAACACCACCGTTGTTCTTGGCCTCAAATTTTCTTGCTTTTACCAGTTCTCATCGTACTCCCGATCATAATCCTCAATATAACGATCCGCCTGACGGAACTCACGTTGCTCCCGTCTAGAAGATTGACCAAGCACCCTATTATCAATCTCCTTGTCCACCTGCTTTTCTGCCTCATGTTGAAACCTGTTTGCAACCCAATGCTGGACCTGTTCGACCGAGACACCACAATCCTGCGCAATGCATTTTAAATCATGCATTTCGGCGAAAGAGTTGCCGATACATGCCATTAAATTCCCAACACCCATAAATCCAAGACAGTCAAAAGCTGTAGCGACAGAATGAGAAATGGTACGACGAGCAGCTACTTTGGCTACGAATTCAGCTACCCGTTCTCCCAAGTTTCTGGAGTTGGTCTGGTGTAAAAGAATTCACCGATAAGTTAGGTGAAGGCGCTCATCAAAGAAAACTCAGATGATACGATAAGACAGAGGGCTTACCATTTTGTCGTGCAGGGACTCTTCTCTCTGATTATTTATTGTATCCGCGACTCGATTTGATTGTGCGGGAAATGGATGAACAATTTTTGTACGTTTTGGGCTGGTTGGGCTTTGCACTTTCCCCTTGGTCATACACAAAGAGGTCAACATGATAGGCTGAATCGTGGGAGTCCGTGCTCAAAGTCGTCACTCCGTTATTTACCACAAGTCGGTCTCGCAGTCTCTCATGTTGCAAGATTTTTTTGAAACGCTATATTTTTTAAGCACTCTAGTGATCCTCAATTTGTAATATCAGCACGTCAACACCGACGTCAAAGTTGGGCGTTTCAACAGTCAGTATATCCGTAACAGGCCAAAATCAAACACAAAGCCCGAGAAACATTCTTTAACGCAGCATCGGTCTGATGAGACTCCTTTTCCTTCACTTTGTTTCGATCGTGTTTCTGTTGATGGTCGAGATCATATCGTTTACTGGCAACATTCTGTATGAAATTACGTTTTGTATAAAGATGGATGTGAGAAGCAGCGTCCAAAAGAAACGGTTGGTCGACTTCATTTTGTTTTGACATCCAGAAGAAATGAGCGATAACTAGCACAAATGAGCATTAGAAGCCTATCGTAAACTTGAGAAGGTATTGAGTAATGCCATTTTTTACCTCCTAATCCTCTCTGGCGTCCGAGATGGACAGGCTATCAAGACTGGTTGTCATTGTCAAACTGCAATAACGGATAACGATCGCTGGCACACGGCCGTCAACAAAACAAGTAATTGCTACGCGTAATCTCGCGTATATGTCGTTTTGAAAGATGTTTAGGGCATCATTTACGTCGAGTTGGCATTGGGATTTGCCACTTTTTAATAAATTCACTACGCGACGACAATTCCATACATCAGGGAGTACTGTTTTTCTAACCGATCGCTGACCGAAAGACGATCTTGGAGGCATTTATATTCAACTGGACATATCCACGTAGCTAGAACGTGTCGAATAGGTCGCCCTCCATCAAAGTCGTTCGAAAAATCCCGTCAAAAGTTATTGTTACAGGAAGAAGTGATAATCAGCAGTGTCTCTATATACAAATGATCTATGCGCCAGATGCATGAGCCATGAAAGGTATCCTCCTCGGCTCTCTAAGATGTCGAATCTCATCCACCTCTTTCAAAAAGGCTGGATCACCCTTCTTTCCAAGAGCGTCTGTAGTAATTTTAAATACGTGGGTGACAAAGGCAGTTGTTTTCAATCTATCCATGAGTGTGTCTCAAGGAGCAGTAAGATGTTTGAACACAAAACACTTGATTGCGAGGATAACTTACCGATAATGACTGCCGCACTGTCTGATAAATACAAGCAATGGTATCAGATTCTCTTTACACAAGTTCTGTGCCACTTCGTAAATCAATAAGAAGTGAAAAACGGCAGTGAGGCATGATTTCATTACTATGGAGTGCAGTTTGGCTTCTAATCCGACCATTAGACGTGCCAGTTTAGCAATCCTTAGTGCGGATTCATGTGACTGTCTAAAGTTGTAGTCCCGCATCAGCATCTCGAGAGTTGCATTTGGATACTGTTCAAGAGCAGCAATCACCCTTTTACCGATAAAAGTGGCTGTGAGATCGCGGTGCCAAACAGTGAAGGCGTTAGCGTACCGTTGCTCTCGTAGCGAAACTTCACTACCGTCATACAGGAACCAGGCGGCCGCTGGTTGCAGAATAGCGTTTACGACACCACCGTCTTCGATTGACGCTTCGAGAGCTTCCACCTTGACTGAAGCCGGTGCCTCTGCAAAAGTGCTGTTGAGAACGTACAAAGAGTAAGAATGGCTTCCATATAATACAGCAAGAAATCATCCTTACGTGGCTAGAAACCGCTGTATCACATCAAACTCTGTAGTATAAGTCACCGTGGACGTCTCACTCGACGGCAGCCGATGAAACTCATGGACTCGAGCAACACCCTCTAGGCACCTCAACCAAAACACATTAAATATATCCGGAGACGTATCGGCTGTGGGATCTGGTCCATCAGGATACCGATACGTCATGTATACCGAATCAGCACACGGGTATTGTGTGGTGAAGCTCCCAGCTTTGATAAGACAAGGCGTTTCCGCAAAGAGAGAAATACCAACATCCCGTAGCAGTATATGGAAGAACATTCGTCGTCTACGTTCGGTATCAAACCAGGTTCCCAACGGAGTCCTAGCAGGGTTATTACTATTGATTGACGGTATTCCGTCCCGTAACAGTATTTCTGGATCCGTTTGCAAGTTAAGATACAGAGCGAGACGAACCACTACCAAGGGAGTAATATGAGCATGTTTTGCCAAGAAGAGCCTACTTGCCTTAACATTGTTCGGTAAGAATGTACAAGGGCCTACTTGCCTAAACACATTGTCCGATAGCATTCATCAATATGACCGGCGTAATCTAGACAGGCCATCAGCAGTAGCGCGATATCAATCGTTTCTAACGTACAGGTCTCCAGATTCAGCAAGTCCAGTTCGCCCATGGCGATATTCTACAAACCGTGAAGACACAAGTCAATACATATCTACAATCCAAACATCACAACACGAATACAACCGACACAGCTTACAACGAGCATTTCTCTAGCTTGATCAGGGTCCAGCATGACTTGCTGATCATCGTCCCGAGTAACTGGAATGGTATCTTTGAACCCGATGCATCCCCAAGCAGCCATCGCAAGAGAATACAAACGATACCACTTGCTAGATTTGTTTGCAGTGACATATCCATAATGATCCGACAAGCACGGTATCAGTGGTGAAAACTGCATAAAATGTTTACCCAACGTTCGGATTGTAGAGACAGCAAACTTGAGATTTCCACGGTCGAATCTATTACGATTGATATGCATGCTGAGGCTGGTAGCTTCTTCCAAGAGCTCGAGACCAGTACCGATAATCGCATTCCATTCAAAGCATGGTGATCATATGCGTTACCGGAAATTACAAATGGACTAGATTGTGAAACAGCAACAGGAAAAGGAAACAAACTTCAACCTGGAGCGTGATGGAGCCGTCCGCCGTGTTCTGATCCTCAAATCATAAGTATCGCGGCTTCGAACCTGCAGCGATTGCTCCTCATCCCTCATAAAAGAATGAGAAAATCAACACAGCCAAACAATTTCATTATTTTGAACACGTTGTACATTCGATCGGGAACAATATTGACGCCAAATGACAATTTTTTGATATTTTCACACTTTACCTGTTTCAAAGGCCTCATAATCGCGCTGTCATCAACGGCTTATACTCGCGATTGATCTGGGCACGTGATATGTGAATGAATTCGAGAACGGTTCATTCGAGTCTTCTAGTGCTGTAAATATACTCGGATCTAGATTATTTCATGTAATACTCTCTCTCAGGAAGCGATCGGTTGAAAACAATTGTTGATGTTTGGAGTTATCTGGCGAATCGTGATGCAAGTATGGTGCACCTTGATCTCAGTCGAGTCACCCCATAACGCCTAATTGACATGTAGAATTCTTACGCACGTGGAGAAGCTTCCCTGCTTCGTTGTCCTATCATCTCATGTCCTATATCATGTCTGCGTCCTTCCTTCCGATTCTTGACCAACATTTTGGCAAGGGGGTAAAATCAACCATCATCATCATCAATTATACCAGAAAAGAAGTCGAAAAAGACCAAAGTCAGCAAAGAGATCCACCAAACGATACTAAGTAGTCGTATTTGACAATTGAGACTGAAAAAGCGCAACGAATAGTATCAACACTCCAGTCCTCGGGTTCCATGGTTTAGTTGGTTATAACATTCGGCTGTTATCGAAGCATGCGACCGGAGAGTCGCCAGTTCGATTCTGGCTGGAACCGATTCATTTTTGATGCTGAGCCAAGTTTCTAAAAAAAATTCCGTTGGCACCCTCAACAACAGCGACTGAAATATCATTCAATAGCGCTAAATTGTAAGCCATTGTTTTACAATGCAGGCGAATCTCTTTATTGTTTATGAAGACGGGGGATGTGCTTCCATTTTATGCCTCTCTCTCGAAGCCTATTTGTTGTGTTGTCTACTAAAATCCCCTCAAGTTTTTATATAATATACTCCACAATGAGCAACCTTCTTCTTCTTTCTTCTACCTACAAGTCCTTCATCGTCATCATCTTGATTCCATGTCCCTGTGTCCACACAATCAAATGGCTACAGGCGTTGGATTCTTGTCAATCACCCAGCCTAGTCCACCTTCATCTATATCTTCTGGTGAATCAGGTGCATTAGGAGCATGTAAGACAGTGCGTTCGTCGAGAGGAACTACAGTGTCGGGAATGGTTATAATGAATTGGCCTGGTCGTTTTGATGATGATGTAACCATGGCCTTATAGAATTGAGAAAGAGATGTCTGAACAACAAAACAGAAGATATGACTTCTATATGAGCCGAATGCTTACATGCATAGCAAACAAGTTGGGAAGTCTCATCAAGTCCTTTGCTTTCAAGACAATGCCTTGTTCCTTCAATCGATGAGCCGTGAGTGAGGCGACATAGTCAGAGAGTTCACCCAAGCTCACTTGCGTTCCTCTTTCCTATTGGTTGAGAATACATGTCAGCGAATTTTCTTTTAGGGTTTTACGATTAACGACTCCCAACAATATCTGAGTGCATCAATACATTTCAGCAACCACCCTCTTGCAAACTCACAGTAAAGGCTTCCTTCATGGCTTCCTGAAAGAGTTCAATGATTTGTGGAGTGGCTGCAAGTTTGGAGACTGTCTGCCTCATACTCTTTGCTGAGCGAGTCCATACTGGTGTAGAGCCTGGTGAGACACCAGCTATAAGGTCTGTCTCTGTGCTTGGAGTGTCTGGCATGACTGCTGGTTCTATGTCGAGTAATGAAGTCTTGAATCCAGCTCCCATGGGAGCTGATGCAGGTCTGAATAATGGTACGGGGGTTGTTTTGAATGTTGATACATTTGATGATGATTTCTTTGTCTTTACAGATGGTAGTGAGAAGGCGGATGTATCGACGGTGGTTGGAATGTCTACTACTAGTATATCTGATTCGGCTTCCTTTTGCTTCTTCTTCTTCTTTTTAATCTTTTCAGGTTCCAAGACATGGACATCGTCTTCCTCTGGTGCTCTCTTTTTGCTCTGCTTCATGATTTCAGTAATCAAGGGTTCTGATTTCGGAGCTTGAGCATAGTTTGGCTCATATCCGTTCGCTCCTTTGTTGGATGATGAAGAGGCCAGAGTAGATGATTGCAGCTTGTCACCTGGTCGTTGCTTTTCGACAGCCTTGTTTTCCGCTTGTTGCGTTGATTGTGATGCTTGTGCAGAGCCCTATGATTCGAATATATGAGTATTGTAGACACTCAGATATGCAACAGCTTTGAAGCTCCAACCTTTTTCGGCTTGTACAGAGACTTTTGATACTTTTGATCTTCCGAGATGCAACTTGTATGCAGTTTGTACTAGGAATATCATGAGAATGAGCTCCAACATATGATTCAATTATAATAGACAACCGTCTTACAGCATTCCCATAGAATGTCACGCTGCAATCAATGCAGGTGAACTGAGCGTTTGGACATTTGTTGAAGTGTTGATCAAGCTTGGCCTGGTAAAAGGACTAGGGGATTAGCTGATGTGAAAATATCATGTATTGGACAGGTTTCAAAAGCGAAACGTAAGTGAGTGGCCAATATGCAAGGATCATGGTCTTGGACAGATCCGGAGTGCCTTTTATGCAACAAGTACCTTCTTTAACGTCTCCTGGCAGACCTCACTAAAGAAAAAAAAGTTGTTAAAAGATAGTGAAAGCTCAAGGAATCACATAGTTTGATATAGATGTAAGGCAGTCTTACCATGAGAATGAGACCATTGTATCTCGTCGCTCACTCTTTCCTATTGAAAACTCTCGCCCGAAAGGATTCCTTCTGCTTGCAGAAAAGTTGTAAGCAGAAATGGATGATGGTGCAGTGCAAACCACTTACAGAAGCTTGGAACGTCAAAACATGTGTCTTTACACGTGAGATTGCATCATGGTATGCTATAGCTTACCGGACGACATGCCTTCCCCGTGCTGATCGTCATGTTTTGAATCCGTGCGTGTGTTCGCGGTGAAATAAACGTTCAATCGCATTCCTTTTGGACATTTCTACGTGATTCCCGCTTTTAAACTTATATTTGCACGAGATTCTCTTTTCTGAATCCTTCTTTGTGATCTCATTGGGAACTGATCTCGTAACAACCAAACACCACGGGTGCAAATTGCTGAATTACTTCATCACCACTTGGTATTTCACTAAGCCATGACTGGTACGGCATTTGAGGAACATGACTGATGGATTTCCATACTCATATCCTGTCCAAAAGTTGAAAAGGCTTCAAAATCACGGCTTTGCGTCCAACACTGATTTTGCAAGAAACTTCATCCAGGTAGAAGTAGAGACGTGTTTTGGATTCTTTCGTGATCTGAATCGTAACTGTATACCCAGCTAGCACTGTTTCACTGTGCCCTTGTAGGGAATGTAGCGCATTATATTGACCAGTATGCGAAAACTCGATTTTCGCTTTTGTTTACTGCCACATAATCGTTATTCATCAGGGCTTAAACCAAAGAGGCAGTGTTGTAGTTGCCTTGTGGCCATTTTGTACGATGCAAGAAGGTGCTCCTCTGGCCCAACACCACGCATCCTTGCTGAATTCAGCACGAGACCTGCCATCCGATTTGGAAACTGCAAAGCATGACGACGAGGAACCACTCAAGACTGGCGACGGACAGACCTACGATGATGCTGTAAACACGAGAATATAGTGGGTGATGCGCCTTTTACAATGCTGAGAACGTCCTTGCCACACAATTCCATAGGCTAAACATTTGGCAATATTAGTCGTTATGTTAGATTACGGTGGATATTGATCGTGGCCGGCCTAATTGCAATGATACTACTAGCTGTGCTTGTATGGCAGTTTGCAACAGACAACACGCAGACCGTTTTCATGAGCAACGAAATTGATAGTGAGTGCGAAGTCTTTCTTGATTTTTTTCATTAGTTCAACCCGTGTTTGGGTGTTAAAATATCTTCTTTCGTAGCTATGGACAATGAGGATTGTTTAGTGAATGGAGTCTGTCTTGCATCGAACTCGTCGTCGAAATCGTATGTCCCGGCGACCACAACGAATTACAAGACGATGGCGTACCATTATGGCAAGGTGTATGGAGTGTCTGGACCTACTGTGATTTACCTCATCTTTTACGGCACGTGGACGGCCAGTCGAATACAGATACACGAGGACTTTATCAAAGGATGGTACGCTTTCACAACCCAGATGATTTTAGATCTCTCATCTGACCAGGACCGAATTATAGGTCTAGCACCACCTTCTATAACGTCTTGAAGAGAAACTACTACCAACAAGCTAGTGCATCAGCTGCGAAACAATACATTCAATACGGAACCACATTCGGCGGTTCTGTTTCGGTTGGATACCCATACGGAAAGGCTGTTAATTCGACTAGCATATGGAAGACCGTTATGGATTTCCAAAATCCCAGAGGCTTGTACAAGAGTACGAATGGAATGTACCTTGTGATAACATCGCCTGATGTGAATGGTGGAGCACTGTGTTCGAGCTACTGTGGATGGCATAGCTATTGTATGTTCAATCGTCTATTAGTTTGCTCGGCTCTCGTTTTTCGGTGCTCAATGTAGTCTGATGTAGGGGGTGTCTCATACGGGACAGCAAAAACCGGATTGACGTACTACTACCATCCTTTTGCTCTGGTATGCTACATATCTTTCTATTCCAGTTGTAAAGAATTGTACTCAAGCATCAATGTCATTAGATCGGTTCATGCAGTTTCGCATGTCCAGGATACGGCTCACAAGTTTTCCCAACCGGCAAATCACCAAATGGTGATCCAATAGCAGACATTGCAATCAACGTTGTCGCTCATGAAGTGTCAGAGATGATAACAGACGGTGTCGGGAATGGTTGGATTACAAGCAATGATAATGAGGAGGCTGATACAGTAAGTACTCACTTGTCATGAGACACTCTATGAGAATTCTACTAACACAACAACAAATATCATAGTGCAACAAATTTGATTTGACCACCATGAAGCCGGGACTCTATGGTGGACAGTACAACTTGGCGTTTAACGTTGAGGGTACGTTTGATCTCGTTGTTCTTATAACGCGTTCTTGTCGGTACTATAGAGGAGACCTTACTAAGACACTTCACTAATAGGAAGGAATCGGCAATATACCGTCGCTCCCCAATACGACATCGCATCACAGCTTTGTTCCATAAGTTGATCGTTTTGACGGTAAAATCATATATACCCTTTGCCGCTTGCTTGTAATTTTTCTGTTTTCGAAACTCCGACGCAGTGTCGGGTTTCAGTATACCCCAAATATAGTACTAGTCTATTTAAAGTGATGATTTGGTCTCCTCGTCGATGGCTGAACGCATCGAACACGTCAATTCTGAACTGAGGACGCCAACACGGTTTTGTGCAAGAGGAGCCTGTTAAGTTACGATTTTGACGTTGATACCTCGTATATTACTATGTTCTGGTATGGATCTGGACTGAAGTATGGATCGATGAATGAAGTGATGCATCATGACAAACTCCCCTACTCACACTCCAAATCACACAAGTCTGAAAGCCTCGGCTTGATGTTTATCATGAAGAGCAGATGCTTTTCAAATTGTGATTTGTGCAGCAACCCTGGCAATCTCGATCCTCATGTTGTTGTAGCTGGAAACATCAAAATCTCCAACAAACCGCACAATCGACGCCCAAACTTTGTGAAAACCAACCATGAAGCCAATTCAGGGCTTTCGCAATGGTCTCGTCCTCTCAATATTACTATTCCTTACTGATACAAAGGCGTCTATTGCTCCAGCAGGGTAAGTTGTGCTGGTTAAACGAGCAAACGTGCTCTGAGTAAACACCAACAACACTTTCCACCAATTGCCAGATATATTGGAGTAGTATGCGATGCTCAAGTCCCGAACACAACGACCTGGCAGTCATCGTATGGGTTTACTCGAAAGTGTTGTTTTGGGGAAATGATGCACTACATTGACCGACAACCATATTTGGATTCCAGAGTGAGTCAACTAGTCTGAAGAGCTTGTATTATCTATCGCGTCAGCCCTAACTCGCACATGACACGCCTGTAGTGCTTTGCCCTTGACTTTGACCCATATTTCACATGTTGTCAAAATCTTGGTGGATCGGGCCACATTGGAATATAAAATCTTGCGTCTCTTGGTAGTCTTGTCAAACCAGCTTGTGTATTGCTGTTGGCCTCTCAGTCTTGTGTTGTTTGCGACATGGGAAATACTCGTTGTAGCTGAAAAGGTCGCCGATCCAAAAACGAAAGTTGTCGACGGAAACAAGATGTGTAAGGTCTTATCTCCACATCCAAAAACACACTAAGACCTCCAATTCAAGTAACAAAACTATTGAAAAATGCTAAGCGACACCATCAAACAAGTTCTTGTAGTCCTGGCACATAGCGCCATATGTATCTTTGCAGCTCTACCAGCTGGTGTACCTCCAGGGTAAAGCTCAACATCGGACTCCACATATCTTCGTTTTCAGTTAAGATAACTTTCCCTTTCCTGATAACAGATATGCACAATACATCTGCAGCAAAACAGTCAATGGAACAGCTGATTACGGCTTGACAAGATACTGTTGTTTTGGTGCAAAACAAAAGTACATCGATGCTAAGGACGATGAAAACTCTGCCGTGAGTGGAGACTTAGTCATTGATGGAGTAAACAATCGAAAACCATGGCTAATTCACCCTTTAATGACTAGTGCTATATCAAGAATGATACCGCAACTATCACAGGATACGGATCTTGCTGCAGCACAACTCTTAAAGGGTTCAGTGCTCCAGCTCCAGCGCCTTCCATAATCGGCTCCGCATTACCTAAGCATACTATGAAAGCTTGATTAGCTGTGACACTTTGGGCACTTGGTTGATCTTGTTCATTTGAAATTTCCTGCACAACATATCTTTAACCTCATGTTTGCACTTTAAACCTTTGGAGTAGATATACCTGTTCATTCTGATGCGAGTCCTGTCCGTTCATGTGCCTTGTGCTGCCAGTCGAGTATGAAGATCGGTTACACGAGCAAAATATTCAACGCTAGTCCAGTTGGGTCGTTCCTTTCCCGTTCATCACCAGAGAATGATATTGTCTATCAACAGCAAAAGATATTTGGATAGAGTATATTCGTTCAGATATATGATGTCGTAACTTCCTCAATCATACAAAGCAACTTCAATGGCAGCCTGTCATTTGGAGGTTCCTGAGTTCTTCAGCCTTAAAGTAAGGCTTCATGTAATCTAGAGGCTCTTCGATAGCTCTGTTTGCTCGATATACTGGAGAAAGGTGTTTGTGGAACCAGCGTCTCAATCCAAACACTTTCGTTTCTAGTTAAAGGGACGTGTGTTTTCTTCTCTGGTCCTAGATATATCCAATGTGTCTACAGCACAACCGCAAACGGACCTGATCGATACCAAGGACACTGAAAACTCTGCAGTGAGCAATTCAGATTGTTAGCAAATGAAGTTGAAAGCAATCGCAAAGCATGATCTACCCACCATTCAATGACTAGTGCTATATTGATATAGCCACTCTCGCAGCATACGAAACTTGCTGCACAAGATATCTCAAAGGCATTAGTCGCCCAGGTGCAGGCGCTTTGTGTGCTGGGCGTGGATCGGTGGTTCCTTGATGTCCTTGGGCACTGTCGATCTTGGTCAGTGCACAACATTTCTTTGACTTCACTTGCAATTCAACGATCTGAAGTAAATAAATTACTTCATTTCAATGAGAGTCGTATCCGTGCATATGCATTGTGCTGCCAGTCGAGTAGGAAGCGCGGATACAGGAGCGATGTATTCAGTACGACTTTATATGAAGACGTTTTCATCCAGTGCGCACTGCATCATTTACTGGTTTTGAAGCTCGAAGCAGATTGCGGCCGGTACTTGCTGGATTATGCAAAGGAAGCATGCTGTAGCACAACCAGGTGTTGCTGCTGAAGACAGGCAAGACAGACGCATGTGTATTGGCCTTCCCACGTTGCCGTTTGCAACGTGGAAACCCGGGAGCCGGGATGGTTGTAGATTCAAAAGCAGAAGTTGTTCGACAGAACAAATTTTGAGAAGGTTCCCCGCTCTCAATTTAAACAAAACCCCACTGAAATCTCCAATTCAAGTAACGAAACTACTGACCAATGATCAGCACCACCATCAAGCACGTCGTTGTAGTCCTAGCAATTTGTGTCTCATGTGTCTTTGCGGTTCCTCAAATAGGTATACCAAGAGGGTCAGCTCCGCATCTCAATCCAAATACTTTCGTTTCCAGTTAAGCTGACATGTGTTTTCTTCTGTGGTTCTAGATATATTCAATATGTCTGCAGCAAAACCGCAAACGGACCAGCCGATTACGGCTTTACACGATATTGTTGTTTCGGTGCAAACCAAAAGTACATCGATGCCAAGGACGCCGAGAACTCTGCAGTGAGCAATTCAGATTGTTAGAAAACGACATTATAAACAATCGAAAAGTATGATCTAACCCACCATTCAATGACTAGTGCTATAGCGATATAGTCACTGCCGCAGCATACGGAACTTGCTGCACAACATATCTTAAAGGTTTTAGTCGGCCTGCTGCAGGCCCTATGTCTGCTGGGGGTGGATCGGTGGGGCCTTGATTTTATTGCCTGATCGATGGGCACTTTGTCGATCTTGCTTGCTCATTGTAAATTCTTGCACAACATTTTCTTGACTTTGTTTGCGATTCAATCGTTCAGGAGCAAATAAACCATGTCAATCAAAGCTGAGGCAGTCAGATGGAGACCCGTTGTTGGACCATTTTGATTTGAATGTGGTTATAATGGAATGTTGATGGCCGAGAGGATTCATTTGACAGGCACATGTCAAAGTGTTTCGTAGCCATTATGAATTGTGGCCAGATGGACGCGATAGGCTGCATCCACCAGAAATGTCGCCGGAGCAAAACTTTTGACCACAGCAGTTACATTTAGGACAGCACCCAGCAATATCTACGTGTAGGAGCAGTAGGGAAGCATCTCGAGAGTAAAATCAATAATGGTTGTACTACCTACTAATCTTCCCTGTGGTGTCCGATTGATGAACGACCTGTCAGTGTCGAATGTAACGTTCTCCAAAACAGATGGCGCGAGGCCATGAAGGAAGATACTTTAAACCATCACGTCTATAAAATTGTCCCTATATAACATATCACCGATTCTCCCATATGTCGTTTACCTATACGGAAGGCTTGGCAAAAAGAGATGCGGTTCCAGCCAGAATCGAACTGGCGACTCTCCGGTGGCATACTTGATAACAGCCGAATGTTATAACCAACTAAACCATGGAACCTCATTATTGTATGAGTCTCTGACTTTGTCCTTCATGCTTTGATATCAAGCACCAGGTCCCTCGTTTGTGTCGCCGAATTTTTTTTAGCAAATCGAGAGCATTCCAGCGCCAAAATCGAGTGAATTGCCAATGGCAATTTTTCTGAAAGGGTTTAAGGTCTGAAAGCCGACTCAGTTTACACAATTCAACCTTCGCACTCCGACTTCTTATCAAATTCCAGCTTTTGATGTTGCTCGTGTATCACAGCCAAGGTTGATGCAGAAGAAAACTTTACCTTTTGCGATATTTAGCTGTATACTGTCTCGGAATCGTTCGGTCAAGAACGTTCTACTCACCGCCGCAATCACCGTGCGTTATGTGCCTGTTGTTTTGCATACCAGTTACACTTTCTGTGAAGGCCGTTTCAACGATCTGTCATAGTAAAGCACTTTTATGTTGCATCTTTAAGGAAAATGCGTCGACTGCAAGGCTGCTACTCGTACAAACCAAGGTTCATTTCGCAATTGCGTCGAAAAAATCAACAACGCACCGAATTTGAGGCGACGGACAGATTATGAGCCTCAAAGTACAGACGACTACCGAATGCGTAGAAACATCTTTCCATCTGGTCTTCCCTTCTAACTTTATGAGAAAGTATCAGTGTACAAGCGTTCGCAAGGCCAAACCCAAGTCAAGAAACCGACAAGTACAACCGACGTTAATGACAAGCACGACCCCAACAGGTACTAAAATGATATGAGACTGTTTGATCTTATTATTTAAATACACACTAGATAGCATTATTTCGTTGTTTTAATGTTTGGCCTGTCAGGGTTTCGTTTTTACTTGTGGTCGCCTTTTCGCATGACACTTGTCTGAAAGTATTGAATGAATTCATTAAATGAGACCTTTCCGTCTCTGTTGGAATCAAAGTCCTCCAAAGTTGCAGCCAATCCTTTAGTAGTCAGACCATGAGCACTCAGCTCCTTATACCTAAGAAGATCAGCAGAAAGTGAGCTTTCCCGTAGTGGGTAACGGGTACAGGTTTTGTTGTACACATACAAGGCGGGGAACTCCTTGACGTCGATAACACCGGATAGGTTCTTGTCGTATTTTTGGAAATTCTTTACAGCACGATTTAGGTTCTCGAAATCTTCAGGACTAAGTCTTAGTGTTTCGAAGCGTTGGTCTTTGGACCACCATTGAATGACTAGGATTGAAAATAAGAAATGAGATCAAGTTGTTTTTGCCCCCGGAACTCCACTCGGAATGGCTGAAACTCACATTCTTCGTAGCTAATGTTACCATCGCCATTCACATCTAATATTCTAACAGCCATTTCTAATTCCTGATCGCTCAAGAAATAACCGAATTCATAGACCAAAGTGCGGAATTCCTTGGTTGAAATCGTTTTAGACATAACGAGCAGCTAAAACTCAGGTAATCTTGGATTCATACCTTGGCATCGATACTTCCACTTCGATCCACATCGTACTTATCAAAAACGATACGAGAAACTAGCTTCTTGGGTGTTCCACCTGGTGTTCCAACCCGTCCTTGCTGCATTTGCAGACCACCTGTCTTGTTTATCGGAGGCATATCCTTGTAACAGGTAAAAAAATTAGACTGGAAAAAGAGACTTGTAACTTGGTTGTGTCAGAAACGATTTTCGATATAAAACATTGAGTGATTGTAGTTTTGCGGTATTTTAAGCCAATCAGGAGGGTTGTTATCCCCAATCCTAGGGAGTTCCACACATCCCGTCCGATCGGCATGTGAGGGTCTGTAAACCGAGCATCGACGGAGCCTCACCTTGCTTGTACATATGGCCAAAAAGCAAAACACTGGGGCATCGTTCAACAGTCAGGTACTTGCTCAAACCCAGCCCACATCAAAGCGCCAACATGATCCACCTTCTTAACCAGCTTCTTCCAGACGCCCAAGTCAGTCAGCGTCATTTCCATGCCTGATCTTGCAAAGAGGTCTTCCTGCGAGTCTATCGACACCATTTTCAACCTTCCACAATTTTTAGGATATGTGATTGGCAGACATGCAGCTATAGTCACTTGAGTATCAGATAATGATAAGCTAACTAAAGACGTTCCGTCACTTGCGATATGACGCATTACGGAATCAGTAACATCAGAGCAACATGCCAATCCAAAATGACGAAGTTTTCGACAGTGTGTGATGAATGATACAACTACTTCATCCGACGCTGAAAAGGGTAGCTGTACTGCTTCCAAGTGAGGGTGACGAGATGGGACTGCTGCTAGGGCTGATTGGTTTACTTTATGGATTCGAGGCAAGAGGAGCGCCTTTAAGTTCCGAGAAGTATCGACTAGTGTATCAAATATACTAGCTGTTATACGGAGGGTTGATAGCATGGTTGACAGCCGTTCAAGAGATGGATGTGCAAGTGCATTATGGACCACCTTTTCGGATAGGTTGTGAACGACCGAGGAAGATATCGAGATATTACGAGGTGTCTGTAAGCGTAGCAATATACCCATGTCTTCATCGCTCCCTTTGCCAACATCGCCGTCAATCTAAAGTAATAATGATTCAGTTCGCTGTCGACGGAGCATAAAACTCTGATAAAGCCCAAGAATACCTCTAGAGTTTCAACATTCTTGCACCTCCTAACCAACAAGTCCAATGACGAAGGCAACACGTGATTCATATTACACATCCTCAATGTTTTCAGGTTGGGATTTAGGTGTTTTACGACAGAATGGAACATGGCTGCCCCATGTTCTTTACAAGGGAAGAAGAGACACTGTCTCAGTTTCAGAGATTCAAGTTTAGCCAAAGCTTTCAGTAGTGGTTCCATATACAGAAAAGACTCATCGTATTTGTCCATATGGAACTAGTCGAGCGGTACTGTTAGTTTGAACAGCCAACAAAAAAATGGATACGATAGAGAAGAAATCAGAAATTTACCCTCTCAAGCGACATAACCTTTAACTGACTCTCTTCGTCAAGAATCAAGGCAACACTTTGCAAATTAACTCCATTCAAGGCCAAAGATCTCAACTGACGACATCGACCCTGTAATGCTGCAATCATCTTTCGTTCAAGTGCATCTTCACCAGTCCCCGTCCTACGTGTATGTGGTTGTATGATGACAACTGAGCTTAAATCCAAATGCTTCAAGTATCGAAACCGAGTGTGGTTTGAAGGTGGGAAGAAGTATCGGGATGCCATTGTGGGGTTGGTGATGATCGGACGACAGCATAGTTGCTGCTGAGATGCGGCACTCCAGTGCCTTGATACACGAGAGGTTCGAACCAACACCCTATGAATTTAGTGTTTAAGTTGAGCGTGATGTTCATGACAGCAACATCAAAGGCAAAACCGACGACTAAATCCACCGAAACACCATCAGCAAACAGCAGTAGCATACGTTTGCGGTAAATATTGGAAGCAATGAGTCAATAGCTCTGTTGGCAATGTGCTCCAACTGCACAGTCTGATTCTAGATTCCAATACATTTCGAGCAGATGGTACCAGAGCTTGCAAATCACGTCCAGATTCAACCGCGTCCACGAATGATTGTAACAATGACGCCAATATGTCCTCCATTTCGATGACTTTGCTCGGATGCTTTAGCTCAAAAGTTCGTCAAATCGTCAACGACAGAGTAGAACCTATAGGAGACGAGGTATAAGTAAGAGTAGTATATGAAAGTTATCAAAGAGCTGCCAAATTCAATTGAGGAATCATGCCTGTTGTAGTCGGATACTTTGCAAACTGGTAAAGTCTGGACCTGCTGTTGTTTCTGTGATTTTGCAAACTGGAAGCAATGAACTAACAAGTACAATTATATCTAATCTCTAGGAAAATATATGCTACTCCACCATACAATCCATCAGACATCCCTTTGGAAAAGCTGGTAAATCGCGTCCCATTCACCTGCATCTCATTCAACCTCCCACTTCCGCGTCCCAGTCAAGATCCACGCTGAACAGCATTAGCTCACAAAATCTTACATCATAGACACATATCAATTACGGTACTTGAACAGACAACCATTCAAGAACAACAATTTTCAACGATGCCAACCTGGAGGTGCTTATACCGTTTTCATCCACCTAGCATTTGGTAAACTGGACCCTAGTGGAACCGTTTCATTCAGCGACCCTTGGTTTGTATCAAATGTCTGCTCCTTCTTGTTGGAATTGGTCCCTGATCTCCGAATCTAACATCTCAACTCTTCTTGTTCCAGGGCCGACATTCAAATGGACTTTCCTGGTGACGCCGCAAATCAACCTGTAAAAGGTTGCATCCACCAGTTGACTACAGTCTTGAAATCGAGGAATCCAAATATCAAAATCATCTTGAGTGTTGGTACGTAGTCGAGTTGGGTTTCTATACCGAATGTTCTGAGCTAATGGTATTATTTTTCATAGGTGGATGGACTGGGTCAGGTTGCTTCTCGAGGTAATAAGACATCAGATGTTTGAGCAGTTCCACTAGTATGAACATGTATGGGAGTGACAAGTCATCAGTCGTGGATCACGAGAACTGGCCACACAGTTCTTGGAGTGAGATCAATTGTGGAGTTAGATCAATTGAACAATGAAATGCACGAGAGTGGGATGAATCGAGTGCTGTATTGTAGATCATCAACATGATGTGTATTAGAGTGGAGGAATGGAAGAACTGATCATAGTCTCTCTCTATTGTTAGTGTCGCTGCAGATCCAGCCAAGAGGCAAAATTTTGTTACATCTGCTGGTGAACTCTTGATTGCATACCACATCGACGGACTTGGTAATACTCTCTTCTCATGTATTTTTTTTGCCGCACGACATATCCTCAACCATATTTCCCGACACACGCAGACATCGATTGGGAATTCCCCGTTGAAGGAGGAATGGATACAAACGAACGCTCCGTACTCGACTCCAAGCACTTCAACTTTCTACTATACGAACTTCGAATCCACTTCAATCAACTCCTCACTGCAGGACGCGTACCTCATCATTTGGAATTGACTATAGCAACATCAGCTTCATCATATATTTATAAACATTTGGATTTACCTGGGTTGTTGCCTTATGTTGATTTCATCAACTTGGTTCGTGATCACCGTAAATTCTTTTTGTGTCTCGCTTGAACGCTTACCCTAATAAAACCTTGGTAGATGTCATACGACTACTCTGGCTCATGGTCACCAACAGCAGGCCACCACTCTGCACTCTACACTCCAACACCATCAACACCCGATACAATATCAACAGACGCAACAATCCGAGACTATATCGCACGAGGTGTCCCACCAAACAAACTCGTATTAGGAATCGGGTTTTATGGACGAGGGTTCTCGGGAGTTCAATCACCAGCATTTAATTGCCCACACGGTGGAGCTTCAAAAGCTGCTAGCGGTGAAGACGTGTATACTTATGATGAATGCAAAGCACTCGTATCTCAAAATGCTGGATGGGAGGTTATTCAGGATGGTCCTTCGGCATCTTCGGTATTATATAATAGGTCAAGTGCGACGTGGATTGGGTATGAAGATGTAAGATAGAACGCCTGCTACAGCAAACAAGGCGTACGCTAAACATCCCCACATGTATATAGGTTTGGAGTGTCACGCAACGGGTTGAGTATGTGAAAAGGATGGGGCTGCTTGGATGCATGACTTGGGAGTTGTCCCAAGATCGAGGGGGGGAATTGTTGTCTGTCATGTCCCGTGGCGTTCTAGGTCGATAAAATGGAGTCCAGAGTAGTAGTTTATGGTGCTGTATGTATATCGTGTATTTGGCGAACCTCTAAATGCAAGAAAAGCGAGTTTCTACAGGTTATATACAATAGGATTCAATCATCATCTTCATCCTCATCATCTGCTCCTTCTATCACCCCAAATTCGTCTTCATCCTTATCGCCTATAAATCGAAATATGTTACAACATCACTTTCGCAGCACATAAAAATCATTCAAAACAACTCACCGTCACCACCATCAAAGTTCAACTGCTTCATAGCCTCGTGTACTTGGTTTGTCACATTAGCACTAGCACGTATGTTGAATTGCGTTGGTGCTGCTTGCGTATACGGAGCCTCACTTCCTTCAAGCGAATCAACATCATTATCTGATTCACCCTCTTCGTTTACGTTGTTGCTGACTGTTGTGGGTGGCAGAAAGACGTTTTTGATATAGTTCTTGAAGGCGGTTTGCTCGTCCTTGTCATACCATCCTAATACAGGCTGTTTGGATTGAAAGTGTGAGGGATGTATGTATTGATTGAATCGAGAAACAAAAAAAGCAGAGGGAAATCAAACAACACTCACATCGTAATTCTGTCGAGTTGGCAGATTGTGAATAAAGGATTTGATTTCTTTATCTTCAATATCACATATTTGGAAGAGTCCCCATCCACCACCCTTGTTTACATTCAATATTTTGGCCAAGATAGCATCATACCTACAAGGAAAACGCCTTAAGACTCCAACAAAAAAAGCAATGTCATGAAACTTGCATCGACTCTCATTGAACAGAACTCACTCATTCTTCATCGGCTTGCCATTCTTGGTACTGGTATTGGCTCTCTTTTCAGCCACACTCTTCCATTTCGTAGCATCAATAACCGTATACTGACTACTCTGCACATCCACTTTCGGATCATACCCATATCTAACCCACGTATTCCTAAACGGGCCCTGCACGATACTGTATGCTACGGTAGGTAGCAGCTTTCTCAAATTTTTAGCATCGGCTTTGGGCAACGACGCAACTATATGCGCACGAGTATACATTGGTCTGTCTTCAAACAGTTTGCGCATACGATCTCGTGATGCCTCATTGATTTCGTGGAGAATGTCTTTTACTTCTTGAGGTGGTGCTTCGGGGACTGCGAGTAGGTCGGCGTTGATTGTGACGGCTTGGGATTTGTCTTTGCGTTTTCGGACGAGTTTTACTGCTGGAGACTAATTAGTGCGAGGAGATGGGTTAAAAGGCGTAAAGAAGCAAAAAAACCTGATTTCTGAAGAACAGACCTGCGCGTCTTGTGCCCTTGTGGGAGTCCTTGACGGAGGAGGAGCAACATTTTGCTTATATTCGTATTCTGATGGCCATGTTTGTCTTGTGAATTGGGGTGGTGGGATGTGTGATAGTACAGTATTACGAACACCACTGGCTTTTGACAATTCGAACTTGTCTGTGCCGTCCACTACATAGTTGGTGATAGGTTAGTCTTGGCGATGTATCTGCAATTCAAATAAAAAGAGCTACGAACAATCATATTGATCCATATCACGTCGGAGCTGAACTATTGGTTCTGTTTCCTTTGGTATGTATTGAAAGTCTGCGAGACCTGAGAAAGTTCGTGGTCAATTCGAGCAAAAAAAACCGCTCCAAAACGGATATTAATCTCAATTAGCTTCAAGCTGTATCGTCACATACCTCTAAAACGTATAGTCTTTGAAGCTATTCCCACGACTTCAGTCTTGACTTCTTCAACTTCACCAGTGCTCTTCCTCTTTCGTCTAGTTACTTTGACAACGAGGTTGCCCGTAGGATGATTTTCGCCTGCTATTGCATGTGAGAATGGATCGGAAGCTCTAAATCGTAGCTGAAGTTTGTTGCCAGAGTCATGAAACGCCTAGTTGAGTTTGATGTCAAATGTTGGGTGAGCATTGCGATGCAACGATTCGAAAGGAACGACTCAGATACAGCTGATCTTTGAAGCTATAATTTATTGGATCTGCTGCTCTTGTACCTTTTGTATAGAATGGATTCCTCCCAAAGTGTCCACTGCTTCGTCCAGCGACTTTACAATTCCAGGATACTCGATTATATGGAAGTGGCTATTGCCAACTCGCACGGTCGGGGCCACTTCGACCACTTCAGGCGCAGGCCCTGCTCTCGTTGCCCGTTCGCTCATCGCTACAATCTGCTGCGTATGTGCGAAAGTCAAGAGCTCAACACCAGTCATCTGAAACCACTAAGATGATGGACACAACCTGTAGGGTTTATGCTAATTTATTTTACATTTACAAAAGGGACCTTATGCACTCAATTTAAGGCCTGGTGGCAGAGATTGCTTTAACTAGAAACCGTGGTCAAAAGTCAGCAATCTGTCTAATACACGGTCGAAACACGTCCAGTTCTCACCTTCTCGGCCTTTTCAGAGTCAGCAATGACTAGCGTGTATAGGTATCGTGAGCATCGAACCTTGAATTTGGATTGTGATCCATTCTTTTTGATTTTTATAGCTTGAGAGAGAGTGTCAGCATTCTGTGGTTGTGGTGAATATAATCGACAGTGCAAGACTTACATTTGGCATCTTTGCGACGCGCAATCAGTAAGAATTCCTTAATATCCGACACTTGCTTAGGCTAAAGGATGAAAGTTTGTGAGTTCAGAGGTTCGGTGTTTGATGTCGGTTGTAAGGTTTGCCGAGTTGAGGCGAAACCAGAGAGTCTAGGCTGTAAATCAACGATTCTAGATGCATTCAACTCTACAATATTCTCTCCCTGCTCAATAGTATGCTAAACTTGTCTCTCCTCGTCTACTACCAGTTGGGTGCGAATAGAGCAACAACGACATTTCACGATTTAGAGCTTTCCAATACGTATTTCGACCCTGCAAGAGCAAAGATTCCATGCATTCGTTCTGTCTCTCGTATCTTACTTACCATCTTTGGCTTCTTTAATCAACAAAAATCGATGGATGTGTTGGATGTCTTTCTGCGTCTTACACAATTCGAGGGACCTGTCACCATACAAAATAGTTTCGATGCGAAAGCACAGAGTTTCATATAGTAAACCCGGACCACTGCCGGCATCAACGCGTCGTAATGCGTTTTTTCACGAACTTGTCTACTGGAACTGTTCAATCATGTTGAGGTTTTTCCTCAAACGTGAATTTGCAACAACTGTGGACAATTTCAGTATGGTGATAGAACGAAACGGTATATACGCCAGATGCAAGAACATGGGTATTACACGATTGTTTTCAACGCCTATGATATCGGCCACCGACCGATACGAGGAATTCATCAGTCGGCACAAGATATCATTTTGCATATTCAGAGCTCGATCGCAGACTTAATCCCTTTGGTCATACCTCGGATCACAATCTCTGCTTGCTTCAAGATTACTCATTGATGTAGCTCTACCTAGGAGCCACAATTTCTCATCTCCACCATACAACTTTTGGTGCAAATCGCCAATATCAGTCCAAACATTGAAGCATCAAAAGGCAATTGTTAGAGTGCTAGCTGATATTTGATTCTGCATTACTGTCTTGTCAAAGGAAAGTCTTAGTGTCTCTAGCTCAAAGATTCACCAGGTTCCCTGATCTGCACACATGCTGAAATCATTGTTCTTTGTGTGCTGGTTTATATCAGTCGCTTATGGCCAATCGCCGAATTGCTTAAGTCTGGCTTCCAGTACTACATGTACCGCCTTCTCAAAGGTATGAGCTTCACTTGAAAAAAGTTCTTCAGACACTGCTCGGGTTTCTCATCCAACACACTTTTGTAGGACTTTGTACTCATAAGTCCCGACCTTTTTACCGATATCATTGGATTTGATGCCTTCGTGAAGTCAAATTTTGATACCTCGCCAAACTATGTGTCGTCCTTCAAGTCGGCATACGATTGTCCCAATGTAAGAAGTGTACAACGTAGTCAGGCAGACCTGCAGCACAAGCACTCACGCTTACGTTTCAATCTAATAGTACAATGGCCAAGGTCAACGCTATCATGTAAGAAGCTGTCTGTGCTGACAAAACATCAAAGGCAGACCTCTAAATCAACCTTGGCACACACTGAGACACACAGGAATCCATATTCTGTGCCAACGTGGTAGAAAAATCCGCGGCATCAGGCTGTGGTGCTCCAACTCAGCAACTCTGTGTGAATAGCTGCTGGGCAGCCGTAACAAGCCTATCATCTCTCTTCAGCTCAAACTTATGCACGCCAATCTCAATAGCAGCTGCCCCAGCTCGCGCCGAAATACTTCGTCTATATAACTCATTCTGCAGCAACTTGACAACGTCTAGTCAAACGAATTGTATATTCAGTGAACCATCAGTGCACGAAGATGTGAATTGTGGGTTTAACACAGCTGCTGAAAAGATGGCATACTGTGGTATGAACCCGAATGATCCATGTTGTCAAGGAGGTGGATCAGGAGGCGGGCTTCCTCCACCGGTACCTGCTCCTATAGTGAGTAAAGTGGCTAGTGTAGCTGCTATTAGTCCGGTTGCTACTGGAAACGGGGCACCTATACCTGCTTTAATTCCTGTTCCTACTGGAACCGGAGTACCTATAGGCAATCCACCAAAGCCAAATCCACCGCCAGGGTCCCTAAGGCCGACAATTCGTGCTACAGCCAATGGCGTAGCTCCTCAGCAAACCCAACCACCTGCTATGCTACCTGTTGGTACAGCAGCTGCAACAGCACCTGCATCCCCCGCAGCCAAGGTATCTCTTGAAACCTTTTCGTGATTTCTTGACATCACGCGTTTACTGAAACACTTGAACTAGACCTCGTCGCCCTTATATATCGGCATCGTACTTGTGATACTCTTCAACCTGGCCATGGTGGGCGGATACATATATTATAGAAGACAACGAGCACGCAATGCAGCCGCAAGGCTGGAAGGTCAGACTGAAGCGGGTGGGACGCCTACTGAAGAGCGTGGATCACCGAAAGAAGAGGTTTGAATATCGCCCTTTCGTCATTGAATGGGCAACATAGCTTTAGTCTTGAAGGCGTCATTTTTAAGTATGGGGATGCTGGCCATCTCTTACACGTTATTGAATCACGTAAAAATAAATCATGACTCTGAAATACCAAACATTACATTGATTTGTGCGCGTCCTTTCTTCGGAAATGAATTAAAGCGCCAAGCCACTCACTTGCAGATTTAGCGAAAACTTGGTTGTTGTTCCTCACTGTCGTTTACGACAGCATCCTCCTCCTCCAAGCTTCCCACTCAAAGGCCACCCTTATTAGAGTCTTCGAGCAGCAAACTTCTGTTCTAAGCTTGGATTCCCTGTCAATCAAGACTTTGTCGTTTCGGAAATGTCACAAGCTTTTGGAATTCTAGCTTTCTCGTGTTGCGTCATATCAGCCCTGGGACACAATGGATTGCAATGCTTATCATTGCTAGGTACTAGTACTTGCTCGGCCTTCTCTGAGATATGTTCGTTCGAAACGTGAACAACATATGAGCTGGTGCTGTGCAGTCACGATGACGAGCACCGTGATTTATCCACCTTCATGGAATGAATGGATTCGATGCATAGGACTCCGTAATGATCATGACAGAATTGTATACGGACGTCAAGACTTTTGATGCTTATATAAAGTCTCATTATGGCCACGTCACAGGCTACACATCTGCCTTCGTACAGGCTTACGATTGCCTAAATGTACGTATTTGTGTACTTATCTTATCGCTCAGACTTTGAACACTTTCACATTTGTATCATAGTACAACGGTCAAGGCCAACGTTATCATGTATGGAACTTCAATCTTTGAAACCATCGAACAAGATCACTGATGTATACATCATAGATATCGACATTTTGCGCTCTTATGGTAGCACGATCTGCTATAATGGGGTGTACTCCACCGACTAAACAACTATGTGCTGCTACTTGCCGAACAGCTGTCAAGAGCTTAACCTCAGTGTTTAGCTCACCGTTAATGTGTAATGTAATGCCAACACGAACGCAGCATCACTGTTTGCTCGTAACGAGACACTTCGTGTGTATTATACGCTATGTACCAACTTGACTACAACTGGACTAGCGTTGACCGAGATTACCACAAACCTCGGGCCTTAGGAGGACAATAGTCTTGACACTTGCGATAGAGTAGCTCTAGTGCTTTCTGAGCCGCCAATCTGCAGCTCCACGATCACGCTGACCCTCCGTCCAGTCTATCTCCCTCTCCCCGCATGTTTCGTGTGTGTGTGAAAAAATTGCGCCTTCATCCGGGATGAAGGCGCAATGACAGTATGTCCACGTCGGACAGGAAACATGCTGAAATTGCTCTATTAACGTGTACTTACGCCATATTTTCACTAATTTGAAGTGAAAGCGGCGTTCTACCGTGTAGATTGAAGGAAGTGAATTGATGGTTGAGGAACAGGGGACTGTGGTATTCAATAAGCTTTGTAGCACTGATTCAAGCTACATGTTTTGGTCTTCATTGACATGCCTTTACCGTTCCGGAATGCAACTTCCAACGCCAAGTCCCACACCGCCAACAGAACTCTTAAGAAGCTCCAGTATGTAACTTGTACATATCATGAAGCCAACCCTATAAATTGCTATGAACCTAAACGATGACCTGTCCGACGTACTTCGGAGGCCACCGTGTAGGCGGCCCCTCTCTGATGTCGCGCCGTCAAACCTAGGAAGCACTGGCATAAAAGCCAATGCCTCATCGCCAGCATTAAGTGAAGTCTTTCCTTTGATGGTGACAGCAGCCAGACTCCTCTGCAAGGGCAAGAGACCTTGTTTGGTATGGTGAAATACCAGAAGGCTGCTCGGACCGCAGGAATTCAAGGTCTTGTATGGCGGTATACGATAGTCGTGTCGGCCCGCCTTTCCTACGCCTCCTGTCCAGCAGCTCAAGATCACGCCGACCCTCCTCTGAGTCTTCTCCCTTCCCTCTCTATGTTGTATCGTGTTGGTGAAAGTTGTGAAGTCAGAGAGTTAAGATCAAAGTGCAATCACGTGAATAACGATTGTCGTTGGAGAGGCCTAAAACTTCGGATTAAGATAACAGCGCGTAAAACACGGATATATGAAGTTTCAAGCCTCTCCAACAACAATCGTTATTCACGTGATTGCCCTGGTATCTTACCTTTGTGAATTCACAACATTCACCAAGTCATTTTGATGTTATAACATGTACACACAACGAACTTATAGCATGGGAACCGATACGGATGAAGGTTGAATTTATGTGAGCAAGGGACAAATTCCATATAAAATAACTTATCTACTGGTATATCTACTCTTCACGCGAATCCGTATTGAAGAAAGCCCACAACTTTCTCGCACTCTCTACTCCAACCAAATTCTGCAAATCATCATGCGACATTTCGCTCAAAGTTTTGACATCCTTGACATTCATCATAACGTGTCGATGATTCTTGGATGTTATGCCGGGTAGTGAGCGTAGCAGGTCCTACATCAAGAAAAAGACCGGTTTAATACAATGGTCGAAACTTGCAATGGGGCAAGTAGGAAAAAACTTACAGCAGGCGTGATAGCAAACGCACTATCAATCTCGTCACTATTCTCCACACCAACTGCCATTGCTGCTTCTGTGCTTGGTTCATCTTGATTCATCTAGTTTGTAAAAAAAGAATGTGAGCAAACAAATCAGGGTACTAAACTCCGAGAATGTCGCAATCGTATCATTCGACCTCTCTCCCTCACTTACCTTTAGATCCAAGAAAATATCAGCAGTGGCAGCCGGAGAACTACTCCAAATCACCTTCAACTTCGGGAATGCAAGAGTCAACAAGACCAGCTTCGAAGATAAATCCACCGCTGATATATCACTCTTCATTTCAGATGCAGACTGTAGCGAAAAGGATTTGTGTTGATCGAATTCGATGAGTAGAATGGGGTACTTGTAGTGGAGGCACATGGATTGAGCTTGGGTATACCTAATAATAATCATATGATTAAGATCGGTTTTTTTTTTGCTGGCAGGCTTCCAGTTTCTCAAACACTTACAAGCGACCGGAACGAAGCGATGAAATCAAATCCATAATTGATTTACGTTCGACGCATATCAGTGGCGATAGAATGTAATCACCAACTTCTAGTGTACATGGTCGAATATTCATTCGACGAGCATGAATAAGGGACGGGAGCGATGATCGGAATTCACGAACATCAACAACGACCTAGAAGTTTAAAATGGACGGTGTCGGCAAGGTCGTGGGCTAACGGCAGAAAAAGGCCAGAGGCGCTCCGAATATTACCAAGTTGGAATCTTTGGCGGAAATACGTTGACCACCAGCGTTTCTTGTATCCAGATTCCTAAAGAACGTCTCGTCGGGATCTGGCTGCACACGTCCATCTTGATCAATAGGTATCGCCATGATCTAAATGATGCAGGTCGATCAGCGAAAAAAACAATACAACAGAATAGACCAATGGTGCTCTCCGCGTCAACGTACACTCTTCTCATGAATAAGCTTCTCGAAAGCCTCCTTCTCTTTACGAATCATAGACAAGTACACAGACTCTTCAGTCGAGTCCTCGTAAAGCATAAAGTAGACCTTCAAATGCTTTTCTAATTTTGATGCCTTGTATACCTATACCAAAAGAGGTATGTGGAAAAAATGACTTGACTATCGCTCTAATAAGCACACACCTCAACCCTCCTAATAAACCCGACATCAGGGTCATACAGAACAATCCACTGAGGATTAATTTCTTCCAAAGCTCTTGCATCATCATCACCATTAGCAGATTGACCACCGGCTTTAGACGATGAGCTGGTAGCGTAAGGACGAACCACCACCATAGAAGCTGGTTCGACAAGTCCATATGAATCGCCAAATAGGGAGGCATCAAAGTCCTTTTCGTGCAAGGTATCGTCTGGTGCGATGGCAGTCATACTATGTTGTTGAGATTGGTGAGCAAAAAATTGTCACAGACAACAGCACTATTCTTACTAGACAGCAATATCATCCGCTTCCTTCTCAAACGATGCAGGTACAACTTCACCATCATTGCTGTTGGTACCAGCATTTCCACCACCACGAGCTCGTCGACGCTTACTAGCCGGCTGTCCACGTCCACCTCTCGTGTACTTGGATGATTCTGATGTTCGTTCGGAAAAGGAACTTTAGAGCAACAACGTCAAAAAAATACAAAGAGACATAAACCACTACCTCCATTGATATGACTCGAAGAATTACCGCCACCTCCCCTTCGCTTGTTGAACACGGTCTTCATCTTATTCAACGATCCCTTCCACCTGAAATAGTTGTTCATCATACGCTTCAACAGTTTCTCTGATCCTTCCGAGCTGAATTGCATCTTGGGCTTCGAAGCACTAGTTTCCGCTGGCTTGGTCTTGCCACCATTTTCCTCTTCATCATCATCGTCGACTAGTCGCTTCCTCTTTTTATCCTCGGATGTAGACCTTTTTAGCGACGTTGGTGTGGTATTACCATCGTCTTCGTCCTTGACTTCAGGTTTGACGACAGTCAAATCAGCACCTTGCAAGATCTCACGTATTTGCGAGCATGTACGATCACCAGTTGCCATAATCAATACAGGTCCTGTAGCTATTCAATGAAGCGTTGGATGAGTTGCTTTGCACGGAAACAAAAAAAAATCCCACACGTTCAACGCTTTTCATTGATACACTCAGTACCTTGCCCCTGACTAGCCATTGCCTTCCTCGTCACCTCAATCTCCCTCATAACATTCCTCAAATGCCTCCACTTCGGTTGTTCCTCCAACACTGGTTCAATGCCAGGTGGTAGACCCTGATAAGAAACAAGCCCAGCACTACCATTACTGGACTTTCGATACACGCGTTCACGAGCTTGCCCAAACACCACTTGAGCAGCATCCATCATCATCCACGGCGACTCAAGATCAGCACCTCGAAAGACGGATGCGTTGCCTGCTGCGTTTGATGCGATGAGGGCTTCGATGAATGAGTTGAAGGTTACGCAGTCGTATGATGCGAGATAACTATTGTTTGGAAGAGGACAGTGAGTGGGTGCCCACATCCAAAAAAACCCCCAATGCAGTAGCAGACAAGATACCCCAGTAGTTGTCTCAATGTCTTCAAATCCCCAACAATCTGCTTAGTTTTCAACGATATCCGATGCCATATCGGATCCAGCTGTACGCGGATCACTGCATCAAATGATCGAAACATGGCGTTCTGTGTTGTGAATTCTTCCACGTCGATCTATCAAGCCAGGTATCAAAACAGGTATAAGCTTTTTTTGCTTGCGATTCCAAATCAGCTCAAACCTTACAGAAGGATTAGCCCTCTTCAACTCATTAACACACGCACTCATACATTCCATCAAAGCAGCCTGAATGTTCTTCATTCGTTTCGTCATTTGGACTCGGATTTCAACTACTTCGGGAGGTGCACGGTCTATGCAGCGTGATACATTCACATGGAATCTACGTGGTTTGAAAAATGTGAGATTGATGTGTACAAAAGAACCTCCCGCAGAACGGATCGATACCTTGGCCAGATGAATACTCGTCTCAAATATAATATCTTCATTGTGCGTTCTAGCTTCCATATACCTTGAGCCCATCCTTCAGGGTAGTCTGAGAATGCTTTGATGAAGCCGTCCTGAAGTTTAATAGTTTGCAACGGGTTTGAGCCCAGCGCTGTATGTATCACTATCATCACTCTAAGTTTACTGATAGCTGAATGCTCAGTCGATTTACCTTGTTCTCATCACGATACAGTCTCAGCACAAAAGCTTCAGTCGACGTGTCAGTCACTCTGAAAAAGTAAGAGTTCGTTAAGCCTCCCGGCTTGAATAGAAATGAATAATATGATAGTTGATCATACCGATGAGCATGATTGACAAAGATCCCACTAACGAGATGCACCGGAATCACCTTATTCAGCATGTCAACAACCAGAATCCGCGACGTAACTGACAGTATACCACCAGACATGTACAATTCAGCTCTATAATAAAAAAATACATTAAAAATCAATGTATCGAGTGCTTTGACCGCTTCAACTTTTCAAAGATCAATATCCCAACAGACAAAACAAGAAGGCCAAACCTCTCAACAGCATTCGTCTCATTATCAATAACCCTAATCAACTTCGATGCCTCCCTATCTTCATCGCTAATCCCCATATCATCATCACTTGCAGCAGCAGCAGCCGCAACATCCTCCTTCAAACCCTGCACTTCTCGTGATGGCGTATTAAGCAACAAGACCAATGCATTCTTGCGAGCATGAATGCGCATTAATGCAATGATTACATGACGTAATCCAAGTCCACGAGCTAGGATTAGGAGGCCATCGCCAACTCCTGGAGCTGATTGTAAGTTGTGCGATGCAACAGTTGCTGATGGAGAGCCCGGTTTGATGTATTCGGTTATTATGTCACGGTGGAAGTCGAGGAGGGTGCTCATTGTAATTGAGGATGGCTGTGCTATGTGATGTTTGGGTGTCTCTCTGCTTTCATGTTTTCTAATAAAAAGTGAGGGCGTGGTTGACAGGAGGCGCTGCAAAACACGAACACGCTCTTCATCAACTACTGCCCTTTTAAAACTTCAGTTCGAGATATTTTGTTATTTGTATTTTAATAGAGTATAAGTGCGTACTTGTCAAATTGAGAAATGATGTTTTACAGAAAAGAGAGAGTCCAATGGTTTTACATGTTGTTTAACGAGCCAATCACACCCAGATGTACCAAACTTGACTTGTTTTGTTGTTGTTATAGTGTTTTTGTTTAATGTTTTGTAGTTGTAGCTAATATAGTTCGAAGAAATCCTAATTGCTGAGTTATCCATTCCAAGTTATTTCTACAATTGCACACTAGCCAGAATCTTTTCACAAATGTCTTTGTAATCCGATGATGATCCAGAGATACGTCGGAATCGCAACCCATGTAGGTTCTTGAGACGAGGCAATTTACAAATTTCGACTTCGAATTTGACTGGACCTTCACGACCACCACCAGCAGATGGAGACGCACATTCAACAGTAAATCGTCCAGTTCGGTTTGAGGTAAATCCATGTTTGGTACAGGCTTCAGCGACTTCAGCAACGATTTCATCTGGAGGACGAGACGAGGTAGTGTTGCTGTTGAAGGTGAATCGTAACGATCGTGGTTTGTTTTCGTCACCGGGTTTGGCGGATGACATTGTGCCACTGGATTCCTCGACTTCGTCTTCATTGGCAATGTTTGGCTGGTCGTTGGATGATCCGGCTGTGACTTCAGAGGGTCGACGCATGGATGTGAAGATACCGACAATGGTGGTACCACGTTTACGACCTCCTGCTTCTCCATTCCGTAATGTGGATGAGGATGCTTGCGTGCCTGCTCCTGCTGAGACGGATCCTGATGGTGGAGTAGAGACACCGGGTTGAGCTGATTCGGAGTGGACTCGGGATTCACCAATGCTGGATAGAGGTCGTTGAGATGATGGGGCAGCTGGAGTGGTAGGACTGGCGGTTGCTGGTGCTGGTTTGCCCTCTGCGGATCCAGTCTGTTGCAGCTTCTTGAGTGCTTCAACAGCTTCCGGTGTACCATCCTCATCAGCCAATTTAGCAACATCTGCTTCACCACCGACAGTGAATCGACGTTTTCGTGGTGCTGGCTTAGCATTTGCGTTGGATGTTGGTGAAGGGCGTGCGCGAGCAGCTGGCAATTCCTCATGTGGCAGAATAGAATCCTCTTCAATAGCCTTGAGATCAGACTTGTCACTGCCAGCAGGGACACCTGCCTTTGGTGCAGGAGCATGAATCAACGTAGTTGGAGACGACATGGCTGCAACTTCAGCAGCAACCATATCACGAGTAGCTCTTTCGTGGTATAACAGATAGTAGATGGCTGCGATATCGTCATAGACATTTTCACGAAGCGAGTGGATGACGGCTTCACGGTCGACCTTGTACTTGATTTCAATCAATCGGATAATGTTTTCGTCCTCTTCAATCTTTTGAGATACGTCTCCAACGATTGGTGAGTCTGGGAAGGATTCGTTAATCCATGGGTCGTCAATCAGCATTTCTAGACCAGCACGTTTGAATGGGTCTCGAATCAAGAACTTGCGTAAGAGTTTTTCACAGTCTAATCAGAATTCATGATACGTGAGATTGTGTCCCTTTGCTCAACACATCACCAAAGCCAAAGCAAAAACATCTATGCTTCTTGCCCCACGACGGCGACTTACTGTCAGAAAGGTAGAATGGAATACGGTACTTTCCCCTACAGACAGACTCTCGCATTTCTTGAAGATTCTTTCCATCGAATGGAAGACATCCTGTTGTCAAGACATATAGAATTACACCAAGTGACCACACATCGACTTCTGGTCCTGTGTATCGACGACCTTGGAAGAGTTCTGGGGCAGCATATCTAGATTTTGACAATGGTTCATTCTCAAGTTCCCAGGCGCGAAAACAAACGACTATAAAACAGACACGTACGGTGGTGAACCACAGAAAGTATCAAGTTTGGAATCAGGATCATAATAGTTAGAGAAACCGAAATCAGCAATCTTAATATCCAAATTAGCGTCCAAAAGCAAGTTTTCAGCCTATTTGCAAGCGAATTTATGTTAGAGCTGCTGACAAACAAGCAAAGCACATATTACAAGTAAATTGTCATCAACACAACGTACCTTCAAATCACGATGAATAACTCTCTTCTTGTGACAATAACTAACAGCACTCAGAATCTGTCTAAACTTGGCCCTAGCTTCCTTTTCCTTCATTTTACCATGCACGACCAAGTAATCATACAATTCTCCACCAGAAGCATACTCCATCACGAGAAACACGGTGTGACGAGTTTCAATGACTTCGTATAGTTTGACAATGTTTGGGTGGTGCAACATTTTCATGATTCGGACTTCACGATATAGTTTGGAGAGTTTCTTCTCATCGAGGGTTGTCTTGTCAATGATTTTGATTGCGACCTGTTGGTGGAAGACGATGGTAAAACAGATTAGGATTTGAAGGAGACATTTGGAATGCGTTCGTTTCCATTCATCGCTATATACGTGATTTTCAAAAAATTTACCTCAGCACCAGTGAGTTTGTGTTTAGCTAACTTGACTTTAGCAAAGTTACCTTCACCAACAGTCTTTTGGAATAGATAATTTCCAATAGATGCTATAATGATACAAAATCAAGGAAAAAAATGCGCGTCAGTTGACCACATTCTTCCCCAACAGAATTTCAAACACCAACACTTTATCGATTACCAATGTTGATGTCGGGATTAGTAGTATCATCCTTGTCGCGTCGTTGTCGCGACGACGACGGTTTAGCTTGTGCGGTACTCATTTACCGTCTAGTATTAATCTGTTCGACTCTTTTGCTTTCTAAAAAGCTGCGATTGTTGGATGTTAGACTTCCGAAGCACTTCATTTTGCAAATCAAACACTTCAATGGGAGCATACCTCTTGGAAAATGTCGTCAATTGGCCGTGAAATTGATAAAAGAATAAACACCCACACGCTGTTTATAGTTGCACGCGTCTGTCTCTTTGCGATTCTTTTGTTTGTCGTGGGTTGTGATAACAGAACAAGGCACCAATCACGCCAATGATGGGCGAGATACCCTTAAGACGGAACCCTGTTATGAAATCATATTATGTGCGAGCGGAGCGTTGCTCTTTTGCATAGTAACGTCACGAGATATACGCGTCTGCGCCAGTCAACAACAAAAATGGAGCCTCCATGATAAGTGTTCGTGTATGCGACCTCCCATCTTCTACTGTGGAATAATAGACTCCTATGTATACCATCACCGCGTCTTAAGATCCACTTTAAAGATCAACCGGATACATCAGTTCTACCTCTGTTTGCCCTCCTTCTTCTTAATAGTCTCATCCCCAACAAAGATACCCTTCTGATTATACGGTTCCGGCTTCCTACACCTCCTGATCTTTGCAGCAAACTGCGTAATCTCCTCCAGATTAATCCCCTGCAACATAATCCTCTGTGGAGCAGGCACACTAGTACTAACGCCCTGTGGAATCTCCAATATCACAGGATGCGCATACCCGACTCTCAGTACCAAATTAGCACCTTCTACAGCAGCACGGTACCCAACACCTACTATACGTATAGGTACAGTGTACCCCTCTGTGACTCCCTCTATAGCATTCTCGATGAGAGAACGCACTGTACCCCACTGGGCCTTCTGTTTACGATCTGATGGGTCGGTTACGGATACAGCTAGTGTGCGTTTCGGGGCTCCTGGTGGAGCGTCTGGCATGAGAATGTTTACGAATGGATGGATGGGCGTTGTGTTGATGCCGAGTGGTCCTTTGACGACTACTTGGTTGATACAGGTCGGGAACGATACATCTGGTGTTCGTGGCGTGACGAGGATGGATACGTCGTTAGAGTACTTTAGCAGTTTACGGCCTAGCTTTGAGTGTTGTGGTGAGCTGGTTGAAAAAGATTGTCGGGCTAGATGTATAGATGGAGCGAGGCGTTGGCTGCTACAATGAACTAGATTATTTATGAGTCTGAGATGTGGAGGGATCATACTTTGTATTTGCCAGATGTGATTTTGATGTGTATCGTGCAAGGTAACTTTTTTTGTAAATGTGAAAAAGTGGCAACTTTGACAACCAGAAACAACACATCAGGTTCAACCTATTACAACTATAATTTCACACGTATAAGCTCGCTCGCGTGCCCTTTTCTACTACAACTCTATACACAAATACAAATCAATCGTCGTCGTTGTCAACATCATCTGCCGCAACACTATTGCTAAACTGAATTAATAATGCACCAGCACCGTCCGACTTGGCCAAGTCCGAAGCCAGCTGGTCATCTTTGTTGCGTAACGTTGCATTGATTTCTGGTTGTGATAGCAATATCGTTATGACTGCTTCAGATCCAGCTACGCGAGTTAAGAGTTTTGAGCCCGGGCAATTATTCGAAATGGTCGAATGAGTACTCGGCTATAACATACCCCAAGCAGCACAATGAAGTGGTGTATCTCCCAATTTGTTTTGTGCATTCAGCACTGGTTTATATTGTAGCAGGAGTTTGACTGCCTCGGCGTGTCCACCCCGACAAGCCCAGTGTAATGGCGAGTTGCCCGCCTTGTCGAGTCCGTTTACAGAGATACCGGCTGATAGAAGTTCTTTTAGAAATGGTATGTTGCCTGTCGGATGAAAGATGATGGTGAGTTACGGGTACTTGAAAGGGGATTTCGGTATGGCGGATTTAAACCTCGTTTTGACGCCTCTATGTAAATAGTAAGAGAAGATCATCAGCGCTACATTCAGGGTCATAAGGTCTTTGGCTACCAAACACATACCATGCAGAGGATTGTCCACCGTTGCGGCGTTCTCTCCAAGATAATTGGCTGGTACCATTCCTTCTTTTTCCTCGATTCGCACTCTCCACCAGTTAGGATCATTCTTGTTCACGATACTATAAGTGTGTTTGGTCGTGAGCGGCGTGTTGACTTCAAACTGTTCCTCCAATAAACGATTTGGATGAGCGAAGCTTCAAACAATTCCAATGAAAACCGTACTAGATTATGGTGCCTTCAGTAAAGGATAGCTCATCCTCTCTATAGTCAAAACAAGTTTCAGCAAACTCCACCAAATGTTGGCTGATTACCAGATACGCAGATGTTGCCGCCTGACCTTTGAGCAGTATAGTCAAACATGGCCCTCATTACTTCTATGGTGCTCTTGCCTGGCCTGTATAAGACTCATCGTTAGCGTGCAGACGAGGTACCAACAAACAGACTCGCGAAAATCATCACTACGAGGTACCTAGGCAAGACTTTTGGTGGTGGGGCTGCCATTTGGAATATTCTATGTAAGTATCAAGATTATAGTGTTGTCTTCCTATTGAACTCTGGAGCGTCTTAAGTTGAATGTTGGCTGAATTGGGACACACAATTTCGAATTGTTTGAATCAATAAGACTTGAATCAAGTTCATACATACTGTACACGTGTCATTGATATTATCTTAACGTTTTATTTTGTATTTGATGGTATTCATTTACTTGTATCCTCATTGTCTCAGGTATTAACTCACATTCAAATCTCATCAAGCGAAACCATGTTGACTATAGAAGCAGGCCCAATGATGCTACCGAATGAGATTATAGATAATATTCTCGAATATCTGCAACAAGATGGCACTATTGACACAATGAGCCTTGGTCGAGCAGCCCTACTTTCGAAAGAGTGGAATGAATGTTGCTGGTTTCCTTTCCACATGGATCTCTATGCTCATTCCTATACGAATCTGTTCGCATTAGGCTCTTCCAATACTCTACAGGACATTGCCACCTCGTTGTCACGATGATAGTCGTCGTCGCTTTTGTCATCATGTTTCGGATGTATTTTGTCCAATGCTGCAAGAGTGGGCCAAGATGCATTGAAACACGTGAAGATACTAAAGATGATCGGACAAACTGCCGGAAGCATGGACCACGTTGACGTCCTTGTAGATGGTAGGTTGAAGATTTGGCCTTACTGTTTTGACGCAGCCAAGAGCTCACTTCTTGTAATAGCACGTACGATCGAGTGGACCTGGATGAAGAGCGCATCATCAATCTGACAGAGCGTTCTAGGAGTATGCGTAGAAACAGCGTCTCTCGCCACTTTGAATGCATGCTGAGGCATGCTCGAGGCCTTGAAAGCCTGAAGTAAAAACGCTGCCGAGACTGGACTGACGCGCCTAAGGATGATGAAGTGGCTCGGTCATCTGCCACAAACAATCCCTATTGTAAGCTCCACATTAGCATCCAGGAGGCAACATCTTCAACGCAGAAAGCAATCCGATATATACAAGTAGAAACGTTTGAGAATATCCGTTTTACTACAGACTATCACTCGATGCTGTTGGGAATATGAATTTTAAGTACTGAAAGTCTCAAGTCCTTCACTTTCGATCCAACGGAGGCCGATGTGAAACATTCCGCCAAGACATGGGATCTGTCGGAATTTATCCATCTGAAGAAGGTAGAGAGTAACGGCTGCCCTGAATTGTTGTCGTCTCTCGCCTCGCTAGTGGCTAGATGTAAACTTGAATGTCTAACTCTAAACAATGGCAAAAATGTAACGAACCGCTCCTATGTTGTGACCACAGCCATTGCTCGTCACGCAACGACTCTCCGCAGTCTTAACGTATTTTCCGAAATTCCGAAATTATATTCAATCCGCCACTAATAATTCCAATGCCAAACGTCGAAGAGCTGACTTTGCCAGCCAACAAACCACAGATAATCAGCCTCCTGTCTGGATACGGCGACCAAATTAAGAGGTCTGATATTAGTGGTAGCCTCTCCGAGAGTGATCTTTGACGGTGGAGGTATTCGTGGAGTGGTACCCGAATCTTGTATAGACCCCTCTTGATGAATTAACATTGTACTGAACTTTTGGCTACCAATCTGTCAAAGTTGCAGGAGCTCAATTGCGATAAGAATTTGTGTAGACCAGGACGAAATCCCCGAACGTCGCATGTCTCGTGGAATTAGCAGAACCTATTTCCAGGATACGAGTGCAGAAGAGTATAGAGACATGCCTGAATATTTATCTAACGACAGACGAACCCACCTTAAAAGACACACTAGCTGTATATAATCTGTCAGGAGGGAATCTTTTATGGTCACCAGTCTTTTAGGAAGATCCCCTCAGATATGTTCGTGCCCTGAAGGCACAAATAGTCCCAGATGATGAGTAGTCTGAACCCAGTGTAAAGACTGACGAGTTTATAGAGGTTTGATTTATTGTAGGGTACTTTCCAATATATGTAATCTTCGGTGCATTTAGATTGATAAGTAGATACTCACGAGGACGTAGTTGATGTAGTCCATAGTTAGGCCGAGATCAAATGTGTAACCCGAGCACTAGAATCTTTGTAAACGACAAAAACAAAAATTCTCCTAAACAGAGCTTCATCGCTTTGGTTGCGTTGCTTATTGCCGCAGTTCGAAATTGATCGTGCCACGAGCGATTAGCAACACTTCTACTCAATAATAGAAACATGAAATACGCGTAATTCGCCTGTTGGAATCTCTTCGTACTCCTTTCAGTTCTTGCTTTATATCCCATTCACGACACTGGTTGAAATCACAATTTTTTTTTCCAACTCAACCCACGCTTTGACAGTATCGCAATGACAAACTCAACAATATTACGAACTCTGCCTAACATACTCGTCACTGGGACTCCAGGAACAGGCAAAACGACCTTCTCTGCTCAGCTGGCAGCCGCATTGACACCGCCATCAGCATCAACAGGAACATCAAGTTTTACACATAAGAATATATCGCAGCTAGTAGCTGAAAACAGTTGGCATTCTGGATATGATGAAAGGTGGCAGTCATACTTGCTGGATGAGGATCAAGTCGTTGATGGACTAGAGCCTGTAATGGGGGAAGGAGGTATCATCATCGACTATCATGGATGTGACTTCTTCCCCGAACGCTGGTTTGATCTCGTTATAGTATTGAGAGCTCAAACTTCGGTGCTTTATGACCGTCTGCATGCAAGGTAAAGATTGCGATCGTTTGGTTTGGGGTCGATGAACTATGATTGTCATGTTTGCAAAAAAAAAATTGACGCACTACATACTTTATACTCTGGGTCCCCACCTCATTGACAAGTTTCTGTATTCTCTAGAAAATATCCCAAACACAAGATCGAAGAAAACATAACCTCAGAAATCATGAATGTGATCCACGACGAGGCATTTGACTCTTACAAACCAGAATGCATACTGGTGTTAGAGTCAAACACCGAACAAGATTTGCAATCCAATCTCGCATCTGTATCTAGAATCGTGGCTCAATATCAGCCCAAACAGGTCATGGCTGCACCAACAGCTAAATATGAGGATGACGATGAGGAATCGAATGGGGTGGACCAGGACGATGAGGACGATGGCGAGGATTTGCATGAATATAGAGATGAATCGAACGTGCAAGGTGTGAATGAGTATCCAGATTGGCCAAAACCTATTGCTGGGGATGTCTCTGATGAGGAGTCTGAGGAGGAGCACTATATGGAAGATGTGGTGACGGATGGGAAGAGGAAGAGAGCCTAGAATTGCATTTTATTATATATTTTCTCATTTTATTGTATATTTTCTTTGACATGTACATATAAGTAGATCTCTTCCTACACCATTTGAGGGTTGTCTCGAATTTTGGACATAGGTTTGTTGCAAGAGGGCCTAATCAAGACCGAAGCTGGGACACTATTAGATAAGAACTACACGAAACATTTGCATCTCAGCAGTGCTTTGACAGTTTTATTGCTTGATGCCGCAGTTCGACATTGTTCATTCTACAAACGAGTAGCAGCACATCTACTCAATAATAGGTCCGCAGCCAGAGCTTTTGGCTTTACGACGCTCTAGTATTGAAAGCCTCAAATCGTTTGCTTTGCTTGCCGATGAGCCTGGATTGAACAAGTCTGCCGATGGTTGGGACTTGTCGCAGTACGTATGTAAACCAAAAGAAGATAGATATTGACGGAGACTTGTCTCAAATCAATCCGGTATTGAAATCCTTGGCCTCTTCAGTAGCTCAATGTAAACTTGAATCCTTCTCGCTCGATTAGAGATGATATGCCCTTGGATCTCACCTTCGCCCTAGTAGCAACACTAATTGAACGCCATGCCGCCACACTCTGTATCATATTTATACAGTCAGAAATAATATTTGGTCCGCCAGTCACAATCGCAATCCCTCACCTCGAACACTTGGCCTTGCCAGGCGACATACCACAAACAGTCGCCTACTAGCTCGATACGACAACCAAGCCAAAACACTGTATATCGATCATCTGTGTCGCAAAGGAAAATCCTGAGCGTGGGGTATTGGTCGAGTATTGCCCAAATCTAGTAAAACGTACCACTACCATCCGATGATGAGCCCACTATGGAAGAATTGGCCACTAAACTGGACAAATTGCAGGACGTGAACTGTCATAAATATCCGAGACTTGGATAATATCGCGGCTTCCATGAATGTCGAATGTCTCGTGAATTGGCAGAACATATCGCCAAGGCACGAGTCCAAACACCAAATACCAAGACATGTCTAAATGTTTACAATACTGCCATTCGACCCACCATAGAAGATACATTAGCAGTATATACGATGTCTGGTGGTACGTTTTTGTGGTCTAAAGAACTCCAGAAATGTCTGGAGGATATATTCGACAGCTGAAAGCACAAATAGTGGCCAATAGTAGTCGTGACGGTTTGTAAAGGGTTAAGGAGTACGTGAAGGTCTGCTATTATTGCATTGTACGTAGCTTCTAAAACACGTAGTTTGTCGCCTGCTTCAAGATCAATTCGCGTAATCCCGTAAAATAGTAACATTATCACGTTTTATATGTTTCAACCGCTAGAGGTGCAGAGCGACCAATAGTTCTAAAGGTATTTGCAATTCGTGAACATCCTCACTGGATTTTAACTTGCATCCAACGTCCTCTACTCTAGTCGCTAATCGCTGACTTTCAATTTCTCAAATTAGCTTGAGCACTGTCAATCCCATAGGACGCAAACCAAGGCTTAAACCTTTAATCATGTCTTTGCTACGTATGAGCCCATCCTTACTACGGAACGTTACTGTGTCAACCATCGTCGCAGTCACATTATTCGCACTGCTTGGCAACATGTGGACGAAAAGACCAAACGACAAATCATTGCCATTTTGTTATGGATTGCCGTTTATTGGTGTCATGTTGGAGTATGGAAGTGATCCAGCTGGTAAAAAAGGGTTCGATTCTATACCTTGTATATAAGATTGAACTCATCCACCATCGTGCTGGTCATAGGTTTCTTGAGGAGGACTAGGAAACGACTAGGAAACATATTTGGTGTGATGAATCTTTTAGATTACAGATGTGCATCTACATCGGGACTTACATGTTGTGAAAATTTCGCCAGGTATAAACTTGGCTGGACGACGAATCGTTTTAATTGCTTCCACAGATGCCGTAAAAGCGTATTATGGATCTGATGAAGCTACGCTGAATGCCACTGAAGCCAATCAGGTTCACCTTGCTTACTTATTCATTTTTTTGCCACTGCACTCACATAAAGTATCTAGAGTTTTGGATTTGCAAAAACCTCCACAAAAAAAGTCCCCAAACTGAACCGTCATGTCATCTTAATGAAACTGAATCCCAAAATGGACTATTTCATACCACAGCATACCAAGCAGTTTGCTCATTTCTTTGCTGAGAGGCTGGGATCATCTTCTTCAAACACACTGGACTTGTTTCCTGATATGGCCAAGATTTCCTTGTTGAGTTTTGTGTCGGCGTTTGTGTCTAAAGATGTGCTGGAATCGCAGTTTATGGATGAGTATTGGAAGCATGAGGCACTCAAGAAGAGGTATGCACAGGAATTTCGTAGTGCATTTTATTTGCTGGGTGTTGACGTTTTCTCTTTAGGGCGATTATGAAAACCATTTTACTTCCAGCCTGGTTTTCAACATCGGATTGGGAAACAGTGGCTAAACAAAAGGCTCTGCTTACCAGTCTGTTGATACCTGTTACTACTGAATGTCTTGGTCGGACTCTGGAAGAGATACGAGGGCAGGAGAGGCAGATGAATTATGTCGGTAAGACAAGTGGTGCAGTTTTCCGACTTTTTTCTTTCATCGAGGACCAATTTTTGGTGTCCTATTTAGACTACATAATTGAATGGCATTACGAAAACGTAATGGTTGAGGAACTCAATCCTCTCAAAGTACGCAATACTACTGTACCATCACCTCCGTATTCAACGCTATAACGTCACAAAATTACACAAACCTAGCTGGCAGACTACACAATGGATTTAATATTCGGCACATCCGGAAATCCCTCCATCCTCTTCTCCCAAGTCCTGCTCTTCCTCTCATCACATCAACATCATTACGATCGTGTATTGGAAGAAATCGGGATGCTGGCATCCGTTAACGATTTAAACATCAAGGACTTGGACGAGAATCTCCCACATCTCGATCGATGTGTTCAAGAAACACTCAGGATGTGCGCGCATCCCATTGGATCTATGCGGAAGGCTATGATTGATTTGAATGTCAAGACGACGGATGATGATGGGGTGGTGAAAGAGTATGTTGTTCCGAAAGGGTCGTTTGTTGGGTGAGACATGAGAAAACGAAATCGCTGGAGATATGGTAGGTTGATATTGGTCTTCTCTTTTGTAGGCTGCCACACGTCCTGAGAACTTGGGATGAACGTTTATGGGACAAGCCCGAAAAGTTTGATCCAGACCGTTTTGCTCCTGAACGAGAAGAGCAGAAACGTGAGGCGTTTAGTTTCTTGCCGTTTAGTGCTGGGAGGCATATGTGTCCTGGTCGTAACGTGAGTGTTGTAACTGTTCAGCCACTCGAGCATGTCAGGTTTTTCGTTGCATCATACTCACATTGAAACTCACTTCTGGATAGTTCTCGGTCCTGGCAGCTAAATCAATCATCGTTCACCTTTTATCCACATATCGAGTTGAAGTACTCGGTGAAATCCCACCTCTATCATGGAGGAATTCGGCTGCATTAGCACAAAGGACCAAACCTGTACAAGTCGTGTTTCATCCCAAGTGAGACCATTTTTATAGCTATTATAGATGTTAACAATACAAAATACACACATTTAGACACGTTGCAATGAGTATGGTTATATTTAAAGAGAGTGTGGTGGTGTATGTGTTGCAGATACGCTCTAGTTTTACGCACCGAATGCGTAAAACTCTCAAACTATTTACAATCAATGAGGAATTGTATTATAGGTCTAGTCCCTTTTCAGAGTATGCTCATGCCGGCACAAGCAACAAAAAACAAGGTGACAATAAGTATCAATGATGGTACATGATTCCGTGACTGGCTACTTATTAACGGCAGCACAAAAGTAGTCGGGTGTGATAACTTCGGTGATGGCTCAGGCGCACTGGTATTAGTTACTCTTGATGCGATGGTTTGGAAGAGTGACCATCCTCCTGCTGGTTGTAAGACACAATCGACCTGACGAAAAAGAAATCCAGATGCCAAATTTAGTAATTCTTCAAGTCATCCCAGAAGGTCCTTGCTTTTGAAACTTACAGCATGAATAGGCCCCACACTGGTCGTAACATCACTCAGCGTCACATTACACTGATTATTCACCTGCGTAATAACCTGCCATCCGAAATACGTTGTCGTGTTGAAAAACACGTATGCATTAGTCGACGAGTTTCCAAACAGGGTTTGAACTGGCTGTACTCCGGTGAATGTGGTGCTGTAATGAGCGCCGTCTGTTATTATATGGTATCTCACGATTTCGGCAAGCTGGTCATTCGTAAAGGAGGCAAAGTTGGGTAGTGCTGCGTCCCATGCTGCGTCTGTTGGTGCGAGTCTATTCAACCAAAACAAATCTGTACTAAGAATTTCGAATATCACCAAGAATCCAAAATTGTGATAGGACTTACATGGTAGATCCACTTCCCGGCCATCCAGTAAGTTCCTGTCCTTTTACAGGTCCAGCCAATGCATCAATCTTTGACAGCAGCCCAACCTTGTTTGCAGCAGCATAAAAGCGATTAAAGTTTGCAATGGGTAATATAGCTGATGGTGGATAGTTTGATACAATGACACCCGTTGTTAGGATGTATAGCCACGATGTTCCTAGTGTACTGTTTGGGTTGATTTGGAGGATGGTGAAGCCTGTGCAAATTATTTCCATATATCCCATGCGGATGTGGATTTCGGGTGGGATTGATGGTGGCATCTTGAAGAGGTGAAAGGAGGTAGTGAGTTTAGGCTTTTCATCACGTTGCGATGTTGGAGTTTTTTTCTGCAACATGATGGTACCGAGAGCACGTACATAGTTGTCCCACACAAACTGTGCAGTCCCCGTATCATCGCAAACAACCGCATACTTGTCGTGGTTGAATGGCGTTATAGACTGGTTCGCCATGTATGCGAATCCTTGTGGAGACGGTACCTAAATTGTCTAGTTTTAGACATACGCTCGACTTTATAAGCAAAATTCGAGCAAACCTGCGAGACTGTTTTGCCTGGAAAAGCAGCATTCCAAGCAGAATCAGTTGGC